GGATCACTGCGAGGCTCACTCAGACACAAGAAATGTTCCTGACGACGATCCTCCGTACTCTTTCCCTGGTGAGGTACCGAGGGTCCCAATGGACACGTCAGGATTGTCATGGCAGCAGGCAATTATATTGCAATAGTCCGCTGGATATACACAGCGCGGCGATGATGACGCTCGGAAATAGAGGTGGGCTGCAAACCTAAAAAGGTAATTCATCTCCCTCGGCCCTAGACGCGGGCGGAGTCCGACCAAGACCAGAAAATCAGTCGAGTACAAATGCATCATCTCAGTCATACTGTAGTCATGTAGCGACCACGTCGTCTCATACCACGGGTATGCACTGATGCAGCATGCACTGAGCTCCACACACTACACAATGAGCCGTCCAGACGACCCAGGCGGCTGTGATGAGTTTCCTGCATCCTCGAGTCAGGTCTTCGCAAGGAAGTATTCTCGTCGCGGAATCCCAACAGAGCAAGATTATCTCCAACCGCGCTTGACGTGGGGACGATCTGACCCATCTTCTTGATCTCGGCACTTGGGTGACCTCTCCGCAGGCGACGGGGCAGGGAATCGGAAAGGCGCAAAGTACATACCTACAGTAGTGTGACCGGTTATGATGCACGCCTCTAGACGAAGCAGAAACCAGGCTCGGCAAGCTCAAGCTGCCTTGCGGGCTTAAGTTGTCATCCCGCGAGGCAATCCTCAAGAAGCCGAGGCGCGTTTGTGCATCGCGCATCTCCATCCGTGTGACAAGTTTGATACTGTGAAAAGGTAAATATTTTTGGCCCCACGAGGCCATGCTCCACCGAAGAAGAATGGAGAGGCCGGGCGGATTCTCTTTCCCCCCCCCCCCCAAGAAGGAAAACCAAAAAAAAAACAAATAAAAGGGGAAAAAAAGTACCAGTCGTTGGCAGCGATAAGGAGTTCCAACACGTCTTCCGATAGGTCCCGACTTGCAGAGATCTGGAGATAAGGCACGCGATAAGCTATGGGTTGTCATTAGCCGTTGTCAGTTGTCGATATGATCAGTCCCACCCCTCAGCTCAAGACGATCAAAGCAGGGCGAAGATGCATCTCAAACAATGCCACAATGCGACAAAAGTCCTCGCTTCGAGATGGAAATGCAAGACGGTCGAGTATCGGTCATCGCTTAGTGAACAACGGGTTAAGTGCTTGGCGTCTGTATGAACGGCCGAGCCAAGGACGAGAGGAGAAGAGCCGTCGACCGTCGTCTGAGGATGCAAGACGATCACTCGTTGCTCTCTGATGGTAAAATGATGGTCGACCATGACAGAGGCTGGGGTCGGGAAGTCTGATTGGACCTGAGGTGTTGCTCCGTTCATCCATTATGGTCGCATGGTATCCTGCTTCTTGGAGACGTGCAGCGGGTCAAGCACCTTCGATGACGGACGGGTGATCCAAGCTTTGATTGTATGAATGTTCCAAGTCCATGTCACACATACACACACACACACACACTGCGTGTCGCATGAGAGACAAGGATCAGGACACTTTCACCCCCACATGTTTGATAGGTTTGCTCGATAGGTCGACCAGACAGGCAGCACTCATCCTCTTTTGGGTCGTCAAGTGAGTGACAAGACGGCCATTGTGGCTCATTGCCCCCTTTCTCACCATTCCAAAAGGGGCGACGATCTGTTTGGCTATCTCGCCAAACCAGTGAGTACTGTCACCCTCATGATGGCAATGCTGGCTCGGAATCCGAGGCAAGTCCAGTACGCAACGGGTGGTTCGTAAGCTGCTTGTATCAACGGTCCAAGAAGAGGAAGGAGAGCCGCACGACCGACCATTCACAACTCATGACCAGGACCAGCAACTTGGGCTGTGTGGCGCCTCACAAGAGCTCCCAAGTGGGCCGTGGCGCTCCGGCAGTCCTGCCTGCATCTCAAGTCAGACTCCACGCTTGATCGAGAAGAGGAGGGGGCAAAAGATCAAAAGCTCAGGTCCTCAGAAGGCTGGCCGAGACTGGGGGCCCTTGGGAGGCAAGGGGGGTCGGGGAGGAACAGTGGCGAGGTATTCATGTGCGGAGGAGTGTACGTGTCGGCTTTGGGGAGGTCACTGCGCGAATCGAGATGAGACGGTGGACCATCCCCCTCGTGGAGCCTCGTACAGGTACTGGAGACCGGGAGAAGTTAGACAGAGCCCGGGGGGGCAAAGTGGAGGAGGCGGAGAAAGCGGACAAGTCGAGGATAGATGGTAGGCAAAGATGAAAGATTTCCACCGGAGAGGGCCAATGAGTGAGAGGATATCATATTTGAGCGGCATCAGCGGTTACCAAGAGAAAACAAAAACACACCAAGGATCCCCACGCCCAGGAGACACCCACCTCCTGGAAGGGGAGGGGGTGGTATAGGAGAGCATAAGCGAGAATCATGTCCAGGGCAGGGCAGGGCAGGGCAGATCAGTCGTAGATCGACCGAGAAGGGGGGAGACTGCACGGGAGAAGCACCAGTAGTCGATGTGACTTGAAGGGAGCAGAGTCTTTCCAGAGAGAAAAAGTCCATTGGTGGTCAGTGAGAATGTGCGCTTGAACAAGCACACGTGAGCCCAAAGGAACTTAGCAGTCTGTGAAATCCAGCAGACGGATCGAGGTCACGACCTGCACAATGGCACCTACGCGCCCTTCACCTCATGAAACTCTTCGTTCACGGTGACCGGAGCCTGACAGACAACAGCAAGCTTCAAGCTACGTGGCCTCGACAGAGGGGAAGAACGGGCTTGCTGAATCTCTCATGGATCAGCATCCAAGAGAATCGGTACTCGCCTGGCTGGATATTCACATATCCCAGGCTCATGGGTGGTAGAGCTGAAGGTTGTGATCTCCAGTCGTCTTCATATATCCTCCACGACGGGGGAAGAGAAGAATGGACGGCCCGTGATAGAGAAGGAAAAGAAAGAGTTTCGCAGTGTGAGTGTGCAAATGTACAGTACTTATGAGGTTATCGATCACGCATCCGGCGACGTGCTATAGACAGGAGAGACTCTCCCTTCGAATGCACCATGAACCAACCGCATGCTCTGAATGACTGTTATCAGAGGCCTCCAGTGAGACGTATCTCTTGATTTTGATAAAGGCGTCACCAGGGGGTCTCTGCGACAGGACGATCAGAGGCCAGTTGCGTGCAATGGTCATCTGGCAAGGATGGAAAGGTGCTGATAACATGATAAGTCTGCATATCATGGCCCATTCAGGGGGAGTCTCCTTGCGGGATCACAAATTGTCGGAACGCAAATGAACGGATCGAACCCTATCCTGATAAGACTCTATCTGCGTCTTCGAGCCTTTTGGCCCCTCTGGGGTGATCAGTCCGATTATTTCACTAGCCCAAGATGAAAGAGATCTGGCGTGGGCAGCTCTACCGATCTCTCCACGAAGAGTGGATGTGCTGTTGACCGATATTCTTTAACGAGCCTTGCCCACCTTTTGAGTGCTATCGCCATCTCAAACATGAGATTAACCGATCTCTCTATCTCCTCAACCCACCCGCATCAACCCTGCAACGATCTCGCTGCTTGCCGCCATTCTGAATTCTACTTGCTTCGAGAGTCACTGATCAAGGAAAGCTAATCTGAGACTGCAATGTTCCCAGCCATATATCCCTTCTGCTGATGCGTCTACCTGCGACGTGAGCTAGTCGAATTAGTCCTATCTCCGAATCCTGGACCCCAGCATGATCTGCATCCATCCGGCGGCTTCCCCGCGGAGTCAGACGGTAGCCCGATTCCTTATCAAGTGATCGAAGCTGACCACATGTCTGTTCAGGCCTCAAAAGGGCTGTTATACGACCTGCCCAGGAAACACAAAACCCCCCTCCCCTTCAGGATACAATTCCATTGCCACAGCTGCTCCAAGAATTCCCATACAAGATGTGAATCTCGCGCAAACCTCCATTTAAAGCATCACTCGAAGGAACACTGTCGATATCCTGTCACTACAATAGATCCGGATAGACACCTATGGCCCCTTGATTTAAGGTTATTGGACCCGGCCGAAGCTGGGAGCCCGGAGCAGATCAGCACGTCTCTCCGTACTTTCATCAGCCCGCGTATCATTCGCAACTCGGATCAACTCATCAGTTTCAATACTTGAATCTGAGGACGCGGCAAGTCTATGCATTCCAGCATTATAGTCCGGGAAAGACAACAGTAATGTACACATGACTCGCTGTAGTCTTGGGTATCGTCAGCTGCAGAAGATGTCTGCTACCTCATACCAGACTAGTGTCCATCACGGTAGACAGAAATCCGTACATCACACAACGAATACGGAGACAGATCAACGTGAAATGCGGTCTTCCTGGTCACTGAACCGTGTTCAAGGAGATGCCAAGCAAGTGGCATCTACCGCTGCCTTCCCACGAAGCGGAAAGGTCAAAGTCGGAGGCTGATCATTGCCAAAAAGGCTGGTGGTATAAGAAACTTGGCCGCTACTACTATTCGAACAGAACTTGACATTAAATGAGCAACATGCCACCCTTTCCCTCTTGAAACCCCTTGTTGCGCCGGCTGATGACCATCCAACACACCCGTCCGTCGTCTTTGAGCAAAAAGAAAATAAAACTGTCCAGGTCACGGGGAAAACGGGGACACCCAAAGGAAGCCAACAAGGGCAGCAAGCGGAATAAGAATGAAATAAAATGATGAGACAAACAATGAAGAAAAGAAAAAAAAATCTTCCTGTAAAAGAAACATCCAACCAACGGGGGTATTGTGAAGCAGAAAACCGAAACGAGCTGTCTAGGGGGTTGTTCGTGTTTAAACGTGATAGAAGAGGCCGGACCCAATGCGAGAGATGGGGAAACGAGTAGTCATTCCTGCACATGTGAATGAATGAGAGAAAGATGACCGAGACCGATGCGAAAAGCACAGATTAAAAGGGATGTGAGGTCTGGGGGGAAAAAAAAAGAGGAAAGAGAGAGGGCGAGATAGGAGAAAAGCAAGAGACGGCACTCCAGGAGAAAGAGGAGAGGTCAGACCAATTAAGGTCCAGATGTCCTCGGAGCTCCAGGATGACCCATCGGGTGAGGGATAAATTGCTGTTGAGACATATCGCCCGTGTACATTGGATACGGCACTGCGTTCATCCCGCCGGACATGGCGTTCATTTGTTGCCACTGGACGAAATCCATCTCTCCGGCTTGATTAGGATAGGGAACACCCCCCGGTGGCATTTGCATGCTGTAGCTTGACCCCGAGGTAGCGTGGGACGCGGTTGGATTGGCAGGTGTGGTCATCCTGCGTTTCAAGTCTTGTCCCATGGGAGGTTGAAAATGACTGGAAAAAGTGGCGCCCGGTTCCTGGGGAGGGTAGCTCATCGCTCTTGATGGAGGTGGAGGTGCCGTCCAAACAGAACCATCGGGATGCATCGCGTAACCAGCAGGCCCCGGATTCATCGGTTGTACGTGACCGGCCATTGGTGATGCGCAGGAGAGGGGGGAATTGGGAGACATCGCAGCCGGAACGGCGGCGGAGTCCCAGTGTTGAGGCGTCATGCCCATCATCTGAGACTTGCCGGGAGCGATTCCCGTCGCGAGCATTTGTTGATCCGACATGGTGGTGAAGTCATCCCAGCTCGGCGTGCCTTCCATCGCGGTCATTCTCGAGAAGTCCTCTGTAGGGCCATGTCGGTCTTGAGGGAACCGAACGAGTTGATCAGTCAGATTGCACTTGCTCTCTATTCTTGAACATCCAGATAAGTGAACACTTACCAGGCGTGAACGATGACATTTGAGTTGGCGCAAATGCTCCTGGATTGAAAACGGCCATCTCGCTTGTCGACACATTCATGGACATTGAGTTGTACGAATAGTAAGGCTCGGTCGATTCGGGGTTCATGCTGTTCGGCGAAGAGGGGAGAGACATTGGGGTCGTAGCAGAAGGCGCAGATCCAGCATCCATCCCCGAGCTTGGTCGTGACTTCTTCTCGATGGGTGGTTGTTGGTCAACGGGGAAGAATTGGCATTCCTTGCGTAACCGGATACAATTCTCGCATCGTCCTTGCGCATCATCCGCCGAAACTAAGCATCGAATCTTGCGACGTCGACAGTGCACTATAAAGGTTGTCATAGAAAAGTTAGTCTAAGTCCTGCAGTTTGATCATGGCCGCCGTTTCAACTGTTCAATTTGCGAGGACGGCTTTGGTAGTATTCGGCGTCATAGAATCATCGAGTAGAGTTGTTGAACCGGGCTAAAAGACCCGCTGCACGCTTGGCTGGATCTTTGCAGGAAATGAGGGACACTCACCACAAGCGACAGACGTGCGATGGTAGCCCAATTTGTTCCTCTTCTTATCGGCCGAGCTGGCCTCCATTGAAGACTGGGAGTTGTGTATGGAGTCCATTGTCGTTGCGGCTGCGGGCATTACCCCCCGTAGTGAGTGATTACTGATGTACCAGATCGAAGCGCATGAGCGAGCGCTTAGATGAGACAGCCACCGACGCCCAATTCTTCACTGGTATGATGCGTAAAGGTAAAGTGAACGGCTGGCTTGTTCGAATCCAGATGGAGTTTCGGGCTCAAAATGGGAACTAACCACGCAAATAAGCGATCAAAGCGAGCGATGGGTCGAGCTGAGGCAATGGTCAAATCGATGTAGCCGACTGCTTTGACTCGCGGCCTGGTGATGGATTGGTGGTTCAGAGTCGACGAAAGAGCGACTGATCATCTGACCTTTCGACAATGCGCAACAAATTCAAACGCCAGATCCGCAGGCTGATGCTTACCTTGTCGGCGGCGGTGTCGAGGGCGTGGAAAAAAAATGACGGGGCAAGCAGGGCTCCCAAGTCCGAAAGGTTTCTCGTGGTACCAACAAGCGCACAACGAAAAGCCGACAGACTACCTCAAGGATGCGCCCCAAATGGCTGAGAGCTTCTGTCTTGCGAGCCTGCAATTTCTCGTGCAGGTTGAAATGATCGATCAGAGAATTCCCCACGGCGTGGAGATGATCCAAGTTCGACCAGGATGAAACGGTATCAAGTGATGTGCCAGCGCCGGTCGATGATTATTGATTAAGATAATCTGGTGTTTGGGGGCGAGCGCAAAGGAAGTCCTCCTGGGATCAAGTGAGATTGACGACCTCGGAGACTCTGTGATGGAGTCTGGCCGCGGTGAACAGTATTGCGCGGTGCAGTGTACACTTTTTTGACACTGTCGTGGGTGGCAGAGGGTGTCCAGGATTGAGGATCAAGCGGTGACCAGACAGCGATTAAGAATGAGGTGGTGAGATCAAGGGTCCAAATACGAAAAAAAAAAAAACAAAAAGATAAAGAGAAGGAAAAATGGACCAGCGTCGAGGAAAAGAAAAGCAAGCGAACTAAAGGAGTGTATAAAGTGAAGTGAGGGATGGCCAGAAAGGCGGAGGAGGATGATGATGAAGGAAGAATGAGGGACTTGCGTCCTATAGAGTTGAAGAGTCGGGAAGCTAATCGCGGGGTGAAACGCCTAAAGGCTGAGTTTGGGCTTTCTCTTTTGCGCCGGAAATGGATTTGTCTCAACGAGATCTTTTCCCTTTTCCATCATTCCTGATTTCCAGGGTTTTATTTGAATTTTGACGGATTTTTGCTATCCTAATTGAGGAGGGGGGAAGGAAAAGGGTTTGGGTGACCAGCGTCAAGTGCATCCCACCGTGCGTGGAACGAGGGGGCTTTGTATCAGCCGGCACTAGGACCAATGGGTACCGAGTTGACCAGAAGAAAACACTGGCGATGGTCATGTCGATGATCTTAAGCCTAATTCAGGGGTCTTCCGGGGAGAACTTCCTCGTGGGGATAAGCATGCATCTGGGTCTGATTGCAAGTCTTGGGAATCCGTTTCAGGTCGGGAGTTCTTCAACGCAGCCACGGTAGCCCTAGGAGGATGTTCTGGAAGACGGCCTTTTCGTCTTCCCTGCAAAAGCATCTACTCTTAGGTACCAAGGTGGTAGGTAGTAGGCAGATGGCTGATCGTGAGGCTATACAGCATAATACGGTCCCTCGTTCCCGATGTGATCTCGGTCACTGGCCTCGCGCGACTGAAGTTGATTCTCCTTCTCACTAGGATGATAATATGATTACCATGCTCCTCATACATGATGAGGGTCTTCATTGTGTCAGTGCTCTGTTGAGGTGGGTTTGAGGACCAGAGAAGTTGTCCACTGGAGCCTCCGACGAATTTGGGCAAGCTGGCCCCCTGATTGCGTACGATCGACCTCGCCGAAACCCTGTTCATGGTAAATGAAGCCGCGAGGAGGAACCATGGTCTGGGAGTCTTGACATAGTGGGGGTTCACGGTGGGTTCCACCATTGGAAGATGGATCGCGTCTGTTGTGGGATGGCGATTCAGAAGTTGTTCCCAGGGGCCACATGAGTATCTGAGTAGAGCGGTAGTTCGGGTCAGTACCCAGTTACTGACTCCTCAAGCGCAGTGTTCACCGCATGATCGCTGATGGCAGATGATTAATTGTGGGTTAGTTGTCTTTTTTTGGGGGTGTTGTTTTGTGTGTGTTTTTTTTTTTTTTTTTTTTTTTTCTGGCGTTTCTCACGCCCGCATCCACTTTTATGATTGGCAATGGAAAAGGCTGACACCAATGAGCTTGTTCGTCACCAGATCCATTGTGGCACGGCATTCTTCTTTGGGGGTCTTCAGGTGCTGATCTTTCGAGATCTTAGCGGCTTCTCGAAGCTGTCGGCACCAGGTGGCAGGCAGAGCAGGACCGGGATTGGGGGGGGGGGGGGGGGGGGGGCATCTACAGTCGCAGAAAGACGGTGTTTCAAACGACCATATCTCCCGAAAAGTATAATAGTAAAACCAGATGTCATGGACTTGGCCAAAGTGGGAGAATCTGGATCTTCCGGGTATTTTGGGCATGCGCTCAGAACCGAACCACCAAAGTTTGGGAGGAGCAGTGATGCTAAAAACAGAAGAGGCCGGGTCCATGGCTGGAGGAGTGTACCGTAGTTAGTCATGTAAACCAAAGAGGAAACCCTACAAGTTACAGCAGTCGGGTAGACGCTCGAGTGCTGGCAGTGGTACTGTACCAAGTGAACACAAGGCCTGGAGTCGGTCTTTTCATTTCTCGGTAGACCAAGAAGCAGATCGTTTCACTGGATCCTTGATCCTAGATTACGATAGTATTGCGTACCTACTGACTCTACTGAGTAACTCGCAACTTGCTCCTCCAGACGAGAGCTGTACGTACCTGAGACTCCGAACTTCACCGAACTGCACAAGCTGAGGTGATCGGAGGCAGGTGTCGAATCGTCGAGGTTTCCCTGGCGATCCATCCCCGTTCTCTCCTCTCCTGTAGGTGAGCCCCAGAGGCGAACACTCCGTCCGCCCACGCCGATTGCTGCTCCGGAGTCGTCACGGTCATGGGTTTCCATGGGCATGCTCTCATGCAAGACTTCTGCTCGTGTTTCGCCTGGGTCTACTTGGCTGCATTGGGTTCACCCGCTAGTCGGGGGGTTTGCTCCACCCGAGGCAGTGTTGCCCAGTCATGCCCACGTTTCGGAGGCTTCTATCGGATATAGCTTAAATTTGCCTAGTGAGAGCCGTGGACACTAGACAGCATGAAGTCGGCGGTAGTCTGTCAACGTGACCTGCAGTGGTAGTCTGATTGTCCTTCTGGGCCCTGCGTGACGTAGGGCCACCCATGTTCATTTCCACTTTCTTCGTGCTCGAATGGTGTCGTTGCAAGCCGATGGGGCCTTGAGAACGCTAGAAAAGGGGGGGGAAGAAGAAGGGGGTTAGGCTCCCTTGGAACCAGTCGCTTGATTCCCACACACCACCTTTTGCCTTTCTGGTGGTACGGTCAAGTCTCGTTTTTCGTTTTGTTTTTGTCCTCCATAATGTTGTCAATTGGACCTTTCTTTGGTAGTCATCGAGTTCAATTCACCACCAGGTCTGGACGAAGCAAAGACGCGAATCAACTGAGGTCTCAATTTGGTGCAGGTGCAGTTGTCAGCCAGATCACAGGTCATGGTGAGGTGGTGGAACTGTGGAATACACCAGCCTGGTAAAGGTACCACCGACCTACCTAGTACTACTACTTATGGTGGGTGATTAGTCATGCCAATGCTGGTCCACCGTCACCTGAGCGCGGAGCTATTCGCGGAACCATCTTTGGGCCGAGGAAAACCGACAGCCACGACTGTTTCTGGAACAATTGGATTTGGGACAGCCTCATTCCGATCGGCACCAGCCCGTTCCAGTGGGCATGGACATGGAAAGGGAAAGGGAAAGGGCGAGTTGTTCGACACTCGGATCTCGCGACAACTGGAAACTAATTTCCAGGTGCCATGCGCAGCTGGAGAGGCAAGCTGAGCACGCGGCGGAGGAGGAACGAGCGCGTTCGATGCATCACGGGGCAATCGACTCATCAAACATCCTCCTGCACGCCGTCGAGATTGTCCGGCCTGCAAACTACGGAAGATCCAAGGTGCTGAATCCTTCTCGGACACTGAGGACAGAAAGGCTCTGGACCTGATCCAATCAGGTATCGTGAAGGCGCCAAGGTAGATCCCGAATAGGGTCTCGGTCCGATGGACGTTGCCATCACTCAGGAACAGAGACGTACTACAGCATGGAGTATCCAACCATGCGTGGAATACGGGAATGAATCAATAATGAACTGACTGCCGCCGACTTCATCGGGGAGTCTCGTGACACAGACGGAAATTCATTGAGACATCAAAAAATGGGCTCCTCCAAGACGGACCAGCTCCCCAACTCGGCGACCTGCTCGGGGAGGCTCCGTTGCGGCGACCCTGTGCGATTCGACGGACACGCAAGCTTGGGAGGTCCCGGCACGGTTTCATTGCGTTTCTCGCCTGAACCAGAGCCGAATGTAAATGCCGATCGATAAGAAGGGGCTCATTGTGTCACATTCATTGTTCATTGTCTCTTGAGTGGTGAGAGAGAGAGAGTGTGTGAGAGAGAGAGACAATGTCGTTGATGATGACCATGATGATAATGTTAACCCTATAGCCTTTCGTCAGGGTGAGCTTCCAACTACGAGTACTGGTTGAGTCTGCAGGCTACACTTATACACTACATCCATGGGGCAAATAGTCTTGTTCATGTGGCTCACCATGAGATCCTCTTCCAGGATGACCACTGTGGAAACAATTGTCGTCCCTGGTGCATTACTGGATATCAAGCATTGCACCAAGTTTCCAAAATCAAAGTATACTTCTCAGTCACACCTAGTAGGCATCTGGAGATAGACACATCCACACCACAGGAAAGATCGAATATCCATGGATCGCTTGTGTAGCCCCACGCTCACCCACATGCACCACATGCACCACCTTCGACACCCGCCGAGATTCAGTCGAGGCATCATGTGGGGCTGCCAGTTGGACAGAGTTGGGAAAGTTGTCAAGGTTTGATTAAGGATCGGCACAACGCCCCCTCGGACGATTTAGCGTGTTACAGATTTCTCATGCGGGACCCATGCACACCCCGTCGAGCACTGGCGCATGATATCAAACTTGTTCTTTGGCCGTTCGATGCATTCTTCTATGGAGCTCATTGATCCAATGAATTCCCACTGGGACAAGGCCAGAAATCGTATTCGTTCATTCGTTCAGCTCGTCGCATCATGTACGCGCGGTCGACGAGTCGCCTGGTGTGATGACTACATAGAGGCGAGTACCTAAGTCATAGGTGGTACTGCTATCACCACGCCCTCTTGCCTTTATTACGTGGCTGACGGAGAGTATGGCGAGCTTAGTCGGCGAGCTTAGTCTGCTAGTCAAAAACTTGCCTAGCATATTCGATGGTGCATCCTGCATCCTGCATACTGCATAGACTGCGCAGAGCACATCTATACAGTTCACGGGATCGGACTCGGTGGATTCTCGACTTTTTGTGACACAAGTTAGTCCCGATCTCGATGAACATGATTATTGTGCAGTATGCACCTCTTTCATCCATGCATGAGCTTGTCTGTCGTGACTCGTCGCTGTCAATATCCATGCCCGAGGTACTTCTTTTCTTCGAGACACATGGATGGCGGCTAATCTCCAGTCACCCGGTCAGTACTGAAACGGAAGATTTCTACGGCCAATCCATGAATCGGCGCCCACCTACCAGTTGAGCAAGAGCGGACATGCTGAGACTTCGCTTAGACCAGTCAATGCACCAAAGTGACTGTAGCAAGCTAAGAACAGTAAGATCAGGGATCCACCCGACTTTCTGGTCCATGGCCGTGCACCCTTTCCCCGCCAAGACTCGCCCTCGCTTCGATTAACGGCTGTGCAGTACGTGGAAACATCTCGGTGATTCACCGTCCAAATGAAGACAGACCGAAATGAGTGACAGCGACCGCCTTCGTGTCAGGCACCCTTTGCATAGAATGGCAACGCATGTGTACATCTGGATACCTTAGACGATGCACTGTATGACATCATTAGAATGCGGCAATAGATGTGTTATGCCCTCCCTGGGGAAGCTTGAGATGAACAGGCACGTGTTTGTTCCATGTAGGTACCCAGTAGACAAGTTGAGGGCTCAGATTTAATATTTTCTTGTTCTTTCCATAGAGTCCATCTGGACCTGGCCTACTACTAGTCATAAGCCCTCTCATACCTATCCATATAACAGGGTCAGGTTGAAGCTCCCGGATTGTCGGTGATACCTCTCGAAATTGATACCGAGAGATAGTTGAAAAAATGTGAAAAGACCGTTGGATTTGGGACGTGACATAAATTCCTTGAGATAGTCTTCTATTGATTTCTCCTTTCTTCAGTCCACACCGCGAGAATATGAGGAATTGGTAGGTCTAGACGCACGTGATCTCACTTCGAGCATCTCACAGACGACGAAGAGATGCCAGCGGTTGCCCGTAGGGACCATAGAATGTACCCTACTAAAGAAAACTACCAGTACCCAGATACCAGACTCATTCAAGAAGTTGACACATTCTGGCTCAGGCGCATATAGAATTGATGGATCTTACATGACTCTAATTGATTCCGGGCTTCGTCTGAATCTCGAAGCATTTTCTGCTTTGCGGGCTCCCCCGTCGAGGTATGACTTTCACTTGCCCCTAGTCCATGGTCGATCCACTGCCATAATCAGACTGAATGGGAGCTTGACCCGTCTGGATCCTGACCGAACACTCAAGACCTTTTGGTACTTTCGAAGATTGATGCTCCTACGATGAAATTGGTCTGGCTTTGGAGCAGAACCACTGAAGCACTACTGGATGCTTATAGTGTATATAAGAGGAGTTTGCTCTCGTGAGACCTTCATCAGTTGACATGAAAGACTGCCATCCACGTACTATGAAATGAATCTGAACCTACTAGTACTCTGTATTCTCAGACTCTGCAGTCTTTACAAAGCCCCCGTCTACTGGAAATGGATGTTGTACGTAATGACCCAGTTGCAGTTGGGTAGGCTGCAGCACCGGCCTTGGGTGACGGGTCAGGCCGACATGGAATGACAAACGAGGAAGATCCACCGAGACAAGTTGGAAGTGGAAGTGGAAGTGGAAGCGGAAGTGGAATCGTTCTCTTCCATGGGTATCTGAGATGCGAGGGCGGTATACTGGGCGACACCACTGACGGGTGCTGGAAGCTAGAAAGTCTGTTATATGTTGCTGAGTATTGACAAGATTTCGAGATGGCATGAGATGACTGTGAGGCCGTGCACTTTCAATCAAACAAGAAACATCCCCATTCACACCAAGGAACGGAAGTAGGGTGGCAAGACAATCGTCGAGACTTAAGGTTGTAGACTATACAAACTTTTATTCCAGGGCGCCCCCGGATGATGGGAGGACTTTGCGTGAAACAGCCTTCTGGTGTACAGAGCTCTACGACCTATGTTCCCAGGCAGAGGGGAACGCAGGCGAATTGATTTCTCGCGATCAAAATTTGATTACATAGAGGGTCTTTGGCCACACAAAAGGTTGCATACCGATTCTTTCAACCTTACGAATCAAAACCAGCCACCGAAGTAATCGGAATGGAACAAGTCCAGAAAAGTCAACATAGGATCTACCTGGGTACTAGTTACATGGTACGACGAAACAGCCAGCATGGCACTTGCCAATTGTTCTCGAAGCTATCCATGGCAGTCAAGCATACTACTCGTGGATGAATGTACCCAAAGTGATCAGGCGAGCTCAGGCCTTGCGAATCTTCAAAGTATACTTTATGATACTATTGCCTTGAATCTCTTCATCTCATCGATCAAAGATGTGAGGAGACGCAAAATTGAATCAATTAGCTGATGCGTATACGGTCTTGTTGCCGTAGGTAGCCCAATCATCGAACAAGCTTACAACACAATAATGGCACACACACCGCACTCTACCTATCATGTTAATCCTCAAGCAACAGCACAAAGGCCTATTGCCTACTACAGAACGTGACATACAGCGCAAAGTATGCATCAGAAGGAACTTCAACAGCCTGATCAACCAGAGAACTCCACACTGCGCAGGATCCGACCATCACAAGACTCAGATCACAGTTTCACATTACGGATGGACGACTCTAACATCTGCTCCTTGCTCTCTGACGAACAGACGAGTGCAGCCTGTTCTGTATTGAACGAGGTATCTATACGGACTTGCCTCGTAATATAAGTCAGGGCCTCTTGAGACGAGAGAAGAGCAGAATGGTCAAGTTTAGCCGAACCTTTTTTTTCTACTGCGGTATACAAAAGCAACGGATCAGCTATGCCGGTGATGTTCACCGGTTCACTGTATTTGGAAGATCGACGGCAGTAAAGTCGCCATCTCATGAGTGGCTCGGCTGTAAACGCATCGAGAGTCGCCTAAGATTTCAGCTGTAGGTGTTCCACCTTAGTATCTCTGGGTTGTTTTTAAGATCCTGAGCCTTGTCAGAGTATGCGTGGAATGGTCCTTTTTCGAGTCTCCAAGTGCTGTCGGGGAGCAAGGGGTCAATGGCGGTACTCTTAGTGGGAATCTTCAAATGTCTTTTCATCGATTTGCTTAGAATGATTGCTTGTCCAATGTCTTGTGGGGTTTCAGTGTGAAAAAAAGAGATCGGAATTGATGAGTAATATTTTCGCATCTATACCGTTCAGAGGCACAGTGATCCTCACCGGCTCACACTATGTTCATCTCGTCTCATCTTTGTGTGGTTTAGAAACCGACACAAGGTCGGAGGATCAGCATATATGGGTCTCTGCTTCTGTTTCGAGTGTATCGTAACAATTCTATTGTTCGGCAACCGTCCGACAGCGCCGGCAGTCAACGCGTTACGTTTGATGCCGGAGGAGAGAACTGCTACACTTGAATCCACGATGCTGTGAGAAATTGACCAATCAATGAATCTGACCTCACCATTAACGACGGAATCTTCATCATCTTCTGTGGTCACAATGTCCAAATTTACAGGCACCTGTCACCGAACCCCCTGACATGGTTCCGAGATATGGTCGTCCGCGCTTCACAGACACAGGTACTTGTGTAGGGGTCTGTATGCAATTTCCCGATGCACTCACGAGACTCAAAAAGACACCGTCAGATCAAAAAGCCTGGATCTCATCAAGAGCAGTACCGGATCGATCCTCGATGATCAATGTTGACTACGGCTCAGAGATCACTCGTCAATTGAACCGCATCAACCCCGTCGTTAGTCCGACAAGATAAGCTCAGCATTCACTCTACTCAGCTGTCGTCTTTAGTGTATACTGTATACTGTATAAAAATACATCTGTGACTTGATGCTATCATAAGCCAAGTACAATCAGCATAGTCACGAAGCCCTACAGCATGCGGTATGCACAAGTCCAATTTAGGGATCTCTCAGTTCACAAGGTTGTTTCATCTTTCCGGCACTTTGGTTCTCTATTGGTCTAGAATTGGTCAGTCTCTTCTACCGAGCTTCATTTCCTTGGCGAGAGACCCTCGGACGGAAATCTTCCGGCCTTATCGGGCTTGCTGTGGCCGATTATCTCGCCCTCTCTCTACAATCTACAAGAGTCCGTCTTGGGATTTTCTTACAAAAGCGTGTAAGTGTCCAGTGTACAGGACTCGATTCAGACGTAGTTGGAACTAGAAACCGAGTCATATCAGCCTACCTTTGAAGTGGTTCAGTCCGTGGGGGCGTTTTATTGCGATCGTTGGAAGTTGCCCCCCCCCCCAGCGATATCGACTCCCGGGGCTTCATCTCCATCAGCCAAAAGGGGGAGGGGGAGGGGACGGAAAGATTTTCCGTGATATTTCTCAGTCTCTGGTTGGCTTTCACCCCGATCGATTATCACATCAGTATCCTTCCAATCCTCGTGTCTGTGAACCGGACCAGTCTTTGGGTTTGACCGCCGGATTGGGCATCGAAGCTGAAGCTGAACCTGCGATGGGCGGAGAGGCATGTAAAGCATGTACAATCAAGTTCGTGAGCCGGGGAGCCCATCCTTTGGATAATGTATATACATAGGGAGGTGTCACGCTTGGAAAGACCGGAATTTGCGTGTTGTCACCACATCCGTCCCTTATTGCGCAGCGACCACCTAATCGAGGCAGCCTCGTGTGGGTGGGTGTGCGTTTAGGACCAACTTACCAAGAACCCAATGACCTCATGATGTAGGTAAAAGGAAGCGTGCGAATGAGCCTATGTGATTGTGCACTGTGCAGTAGGAGTCGATTGAACTTGAATTGAATGACAGGCCTTGTAACGGCGGTGAGCTGAAATATTGGTCTGCAACCTTATCTGCAGCACTTCATCTGCGGTGCACCAAACCACTTAAGACGAGAAAAAGGAAATGCACCCGAAGCTGTCCCGTAGGTTTACATCAGATTAGTGGGCCGATTTCAAGAAAAAGAAGAAATGAAGAAAAAAGAAACACTCCGTGGTATGTTTCAGGTGTCCCATTCGGGTGGGAATTATGACATCTTTCGACTACTACTGCATGGTGTGTATGACTCCCAGGATTCATCAATCTTCCCAGTTAGAGGCTCAAACAGTCATATGCAAATATCCTGTCGCCATTCAAATCCAGTGGAATCGAGATCCAGTCGGACAATATCCTTGAACTCGAAGAGTAGTTTGATGAATCGCGCAGGTGATACTGCAATCGTGGACCAAGCAACAACGCGCATGTGAAAAAGAGGGGGAAAAAAAACAGAACAGGCCCATGATTTATCATCGTCTCGGGCATCCCATCCCGACTCTGGGGTTGAGACGAGAAGACCCTGGGCGCAGTAGAGAGCCCAGTGGAACTGGCGACATACTTGAACCCAGCATGGAGTCATGGACGACGGAGCCACCGAGGCCGCAAACCCATCAAAGTGGTGGATGCATTCTGAAAAGGGGCAAGGTTCCGCCGCAGGTGGTAGTTGGGCATCGTGGGCGCCCTGGCACTTCCGCAGCGTTGCACTCTGGATCGAGTTCTGGACCGGTTCGGTTTCCCCCGTTGCGAGGACTGACGAGCACGTGTTTGGTGAGGTTGAGTGCACTGCACATCCAAGTGCGTCTCCGTCTCGCCAAGAGAGTCGGTTAGTCAAGCTCCTCGGCCTGGGCTGCACTGCTCATCCAGCATGTCAGGGACCTTCTTGCTCGACTGGAGAGATCAGCTCCTCGGTACCTGTAAGGACTCTGGAGACATTCCCTTCTGAGAGATAGGTATACACTGTAGTGACTGTAGCGTGTAGACTGTATAACTATACTTGATCTCGTGCACCGTGCCCTCGAATGCATAGATACTGTACGTCCAGGCGTCAAAACTGCGTCTGACGGTGTTCAGCAGGACTTCCAAATCCATCGTGATCGTCGGGACTCGGCTTGCGTTCACAGTCGAGGGAACTAACTCTAGTGCAAAAGTTAAAGCAGATTACGTGATGCTTGATAATAGCCCCAAAGTTAAGAGGAGCGATTGCGGTGGACTGGACCGGCGCACAGAAGTTCCACGATCACGTGTATTGCTTGATGTGCTACCCAGGTAGGTGTAGTTGGATACCGGGTACTTTCGATGTACCTTGGTATCACACGAGCTGACGTGCTTTGTGGGTTGTACTCTTTGGTACTGGGGTTTGGAGGCTACACCTGGATGAATCAGTCTGTACGACAGACTCTGTAGTATCAGTACTGCACGACTCTACAGTCTACAGTCTACCCTCTCCGCTCTCTGCAGTGACACTTGGCGGTCATCTAGTTCGCACAACTTTGCGCATGAATAAAGAATGATTATCCATTAACATTCAGTCATGCAAGAAGAGGATCGTGATATCAGAAAATGCCAACCACTCCAGGACCTCCACAGGTCGTCATGATTCAAGTTCGTATAAGATCGTGATGTTCAGTGTCGGCCGACTCGGCCGATTCACTTCGATGCGGGTCATACCCATGCGTCCTGACCATCGACAACTTTGCGCGTGCAGAAAGTCATGCATGGGAGGTGTCATCGTGTCCGCATACATAAAGATCGCGGATTGTCCGTGACTCAATCCAAAGAGCAGCTCATCCTCGCCACAGCCTTGCCGGATGATCGAAGGATTTCAATCCCTGCGTTGGCGCTCACTGTCCCACTCTGACTACCACGCGAATGTCGAGCGCCCTGGCCTCTCGAACACAGCACGCCACACACGTCTTTCCTACTCGGCCAATCAAGGCATGGCAGCCTGCAGACGCACACCAGGCGCGAACAAAGGCCTCCTTGGATCGACATCCACGCGCGTCGATAATGAGAATAGGCTGGCTCTCATCCAGCGAGAGCTGGTCTGGTATTGAGTCGAGTTTCACATATTCGTAGCGGTACGATTGGTGAAGTGGGTGACCCGGTAGACGCCGGAGCGGACCAGGGTCGGGAGAAGGAGGCTCTGGTTCATGAGCGTGGGATCTGATAGAGTCTTCTGGTCGACACACGGTGAAGGCGTGTGGTCGTTGACAGGGATGGGCGGAAACGAAGCGCACATGATATTTGAGGGGATAGGAGATCGTGGTGGAGGAGTTCGTTCTCGTATCGGTCATTGAAAATGTCATCGTGGCCTGCTCACATTCTGTGATGCTGCCCTGTTGACATGTCCGAGCAAGTAAGCTCAATTGAGTCATCTGGACCTCGGTCTCATGGTCATCCATCAGCGGATCAACTGGCAGCGTAAACGAACTGGCGGTGATGTCGCCAGTTCCCAGTGGTGTGGACTCCATTGCCAACTTTCCTCCCTGCTTGATGCGTGACTTTCCAGCACCTCGGGGAGCCTTTTGCATGGGTACCTCAAACCATCCGTCGGCCAAGGGTGTCGTCGTTGATTCCTCACACGGCAAGACGCTACAACCAACCCATCCCATGCAAGTCTGCGCACCCTGGAGGCAAGATAGCACCCGTCCGACAATGCTGGCCTTGCTCCAGTAGCTACGACCTTTGTAAATGAAACCGCCGTAGAGATTTGCCACAGGTCCTAATTTTTCAATTGCCTGTCCATCATTCTCCAAAAGAGTGCCGATGAGCAAATGGCAGATTGCTTCTCCCGGTAAGACGAGCCCTGATAGCCAGCTTCGAGATAGCCAACCAATGCGCTCAAGGCCATTCGATCCGTGAGACTCCCCAGATAGACTACGCAGCCGGACATAGCGTCGACATCGGCTGCGGCCGTACAGATCCTTGTTCTCTCCAGATACCGTGGCGTACTTGTCGGAATTATTCCCTTGGTCGCGTGGCTCAAGCCTCTCGAGCTGAGGGTCAAAGATTTCCTGGCCGCTTGAGCAGAGTCTCTGGAAATGATCTCTTAGAGCATCCACATTAGGCCACCCAATATTCTCTGCAAAGACATAAAGACCCTCGAGCTGCAGGCGGATATAAGGCGAACTGATATGACAGTCCCAGGGTGATTTCAGGTCGCTACCTTGGGTGGAGGAGATGCGACGGGTGATGGAATCGAATAGAGAGAAACGACGGGGCTTCAAGGGCGACTTATCCCGGTGAACAGGCGACGAGCCAGTCTGTTGGTCCGTGGGCGAGGTGGATGAAGACTCGGGCTCGGAGCTGATGTCCAGGTTGTCGAGAAAGCGGCGAGCTAAATTGAGGTCCCAGTTGACTTTCCCTTCGCACAACTGGTCAAATCGCTGCAACTCGGGCGCTGTCATGGCTCCCTCATGAGGATTCTGAAGCAGACCACCGCGCACAAATGCGTCGAGGCGGAATAGCAGTTCAGCCGCCAAGAGAACCTGGACGAGTAGCCACTTGCGCTCCATGCCAGAATTGATCCAGGGTTGCTTCGATCTCTCCGGACCCCAATTATTCGCCTCGGGACTATCTCCGTCGCTATGCGAAGAGGCCTCCCATAATATCTGACCCGCTCGTAATCGCCACTCGGGTACACTAAAGTCTACCCATGCACCAGGTGTGGCAAGCACTGTCGCAATGGTCTTGATCTGCGATTTCAGACCTTGTGGGTGACCAGCGAGCAAATCCGCAGGAGGGGGCCGCGGGTGAAGGAAATGCGTATGCAATATGTGATGTAGTTCGTGCGGTGACTCCACGTCTAAGATGGTGATGTTTGACCCCTGCAGGAGAAGGTCCTGGCGCAATTGGCGCAATTGGTCGAGGCGATGGACCAGAAAGCGCAAGTTGATGTCCCGTACCCCAATTCGCCTCCAGCCCGATGGACCTTCCTTGATGAGTTCCTGGCGGTCAAAGACCACACCACTGAGGCATTGAGAATAGGGTTTGTCGTAGTGGTCCATCAACTCAAAGGCCTCCGTGGCCGGGAGGGCGGAGATGTTCTCCCTACCGGGAAACGGTCGGGGTTCCTCCGGGCCTGTATACCGTAGAATATCGGCAATTGACAGCTCGAGGAAGTTTCGAAACCCGATGGTACCGGGCTCTCTGCCATTGTTACCCAGCATGTTTGGAACCTCGAAGATTCCGACGTCAAACGTCGCCCTCTTCGCCGCCCCGGAACGACGCCAGTCGTGCACCGGTATAGGAACACCACCTTTGACGGCCCAGTCGTCGGGCACAGGAAGATGAGTATGTAGCGTACACAGTGTGAACGAAGCATGTGCCAAGGGCTTCCGGTCCATCATACGCTGGATTGAGAGGTTATGCTCATCCCATGGAAAAATCACTTGAGGGTACCAGCGGCCATGCTTGCCACGTTCGAGCATGAAATGCGGTGCGCCCGAAAGAAGTGCCTTGACGTCCTTCTTTGTCAACATCGATTTGGCATCCGAAAGAGATTGTGGACCGTTGCTATCATCGGGCAAGCCCGCTTTTTCCAGTCGATAATCTAGGTAATCTTGGATGTTTGCCGGTTGCTTTGGCTCATTGTGGGCGGCCGCTGACGGGCATTTTGGGCCATCGTGTCCTGAAGATTGGCTTCGCACAGACTCTTCTGAGTGGCTTCGACGCAGTTCGGGTTTCTGTCTCCCTACGGCAAGATCCTGGGTGGTGTGTTGGACGGTCCTGTTGAGGCTCTATGGAGACGTAGTTAGCACCTGCTCGTGATGAATCTGGGGCAGCCCAGATCTGCATACCGAGACATCTCTCGAATCGGCCGACGACGCACTCCCGCTGCGTTTGCGGAAAAATCTTCGAAATGGATGAAACTCTCGCACTTCATTGGAAAGTGAGTTTTGGGACGAGTTGCGATCGGGCGATGGACTTGGCGAGTTGTTGTCGGGCTTGCTGGTCGCATCGGTTTGCGACCGGCGGCGGCCCAGGTGGAATGACATCGGGAAGTCGTTCGTGATCGAGCGCCTCCTAGCCAAGGGTTGATTCGCGCTTCTTCACGCTACAGAAGCCCCACGACGACCGAAATGGAATTTTCAATGGCCTGTGAAACCCAGGGGACTGCTCTGCTTCAAATATGAGCCTCGCATGGATTTCCTCGGAGTACTCGGCATCGCTGCGGATCATCGATCTTCTTTGGGGAGGTTGACGTCTGCTGGGTCGGTGGATACGACGGCAACACGGGTAAGAGCGGAGAACCCGAATTTTGTCCGATACTCGTGGTCGACCAGGTTGAGATGAATGCATGTGAGAACTCGACAGGATATGTTTGAGACAATCAGCCTCTCAGCGGCGTTTAACTCTGAGCGAGACGATTTCTGATGTAGCTTGATGCTTTTTATGCCTCAATCAGGCAAAAAGTACATGAGATCACCACTTGCGACCGTGAGAAAAGGCCGTACTGTAGTGCTGTTGGTCTCGCTGCAGTAGGTCACAGGCCACGTGGCAGATCGAAGTTGCTGAAGGAGCCCAAGCCCAAGCCTGTTTACTCAACTGGCTCTCCCACGTCTACGATGACATGATTAAAAAATCCATTACTGGGGTTACAAATATACACCCGTAGTGAACGCACACAAGAGATTTTAAACATTATTTCATTACAAGATTGCCTGGTACGACGAATCCATCATAGCGAGCCGGCAGCCTTATGCGTGCTGGTGGAAGAATTCCAGCACCAGTTTGTAGCCACGCTCGTACTCCTTCCGAACCTCGGGATCCTCCAAGTTCGAGCGAGCCGCCATGAAGCCATGGATTTGAGTTGGGAAAGTCTCCACCAGCTTGGGGACCTTCAGGTTCTCCTCAAAGGCCTTCACATCCTTTGCAGGTTCATCCTTGGAGGCCAGCACGGCGAAAGGAACAGAGACCTCCTTGGCATCGTTGGGGTCGACCATGGCCGGGTGCGCCTGAGCACCGGCCTTGAACAACCTGTTATCCGCCCCGACGGACAGTGCAGCAATCTTGCCGCCCCAGCAGAAGCCCAAGATCGACCATGATGAGAAGGCACCTCCGGGCGCCTGCTTGTTGGCCTCGGCAACGACGTCTGGGATGCGGGACAAGGTCTTGGGGGGAGCGGCCTGGTTGTTGAAAAAGTCACCGAGCTTCTGCTTGTGCTCATCGGTAGATGGAGGGTACCAGGAGATATCAGCGGGCTTGCCGTCGAAAAAGTCCGGCATGAAGACCCGGTACTTGTTCTCATTGGAGGTGGACAGAATGTCGGCACCCTGGAGGGTTTGCTCAAAGAAGCCAAAGATGTCTGAGGTCCGTGGTCAATTAGTGCTCATTCTTGCAAGGACGGTCCATCCGTCCTAATGGCTGTGAGGCAAAGAAACGTACCGTATACTACCAGGATAGCCTTAGTCGCCGACTCGGGCCCAGTAACATCTGTAATGGGCGTCGGTTAGTTCTCTGAGAATTGGGGGTTTTTTTCCCGCCCCTCCCGGTTCACTTTGATGCCTCGTCCATTCCGACACGAGGGCCGCGCTGCGCTAGATCATGCAGAGTCATCACGTACAGGTTTTCATGCCATTGATGGTCTGATAGGTGCCTTTGGCTTGGTAGCCCTTGGTCACGACGGGAGGGATACTGTGCACAGTCCATAAGCAGGGGGTTCTTCCACGGTGCCACCAACCGTATGGCTGGTTATAGAGGGCTGAACTGACGAGCAACAAGCTTTACTGATTCCAGACATTTTTGCCGAGAGTTCCGTACGGGAGCTTGTCGATTGGCGAGATTAAGATTGCTGATGGCTCGAATATTGCTGCTTGGTGGCCAGAAGACGCAGAGTGATTGAGAAAGAAAGAACTGTGTCAATGATGTGGGAGACACCGGTTGTATTTAAGAAGACTCGGAGCAAACAAGCAAGAGAGAAGCGGATACACCGTGGGTGCTCCGGCAGGGCATGACGATGACGGGATGGGATCGAGTGGAAATCGGGTTCCCCCGCTCCAGGCGACGTCATCTCGTCGTGAGAGCCTCCGAAAGACAGCGAGGTTTCTTTCCCCAACAGCAACAGAACTCGCTCCTCGGCGACTTGGAATCATTGGAGGCGCCATGTGATCACCACGCAGGGTCCTCGGAGCGAATGCAATTGACTCCATTGATCTGTAAGGCGGTCTGATATGCTTTGTGGGGGTGCTGATTCACCTCCATCGTAGCAAATTCGCGACGCAAGCGTCCTCCTAATTCTGGGGTTAAGCTTGTGGTTTGGTGGGGCTTGTCCATCCCGCCCAAGCTTTTCGAGACCCCCGTCGGTCTCCAGGGGTCTTTGCTTTCAGGGTCAATCAAGAGGGATGGAGTTCCAAAGCCGACAACGTGCAGATTGCATTCCGTTTCGATGGAACGGGCGGGAATTGAGACATGCGCACTATGTTGTAACATCATCCCTGACGTCGGATCCTCCTCCGACGACATCAATTGATGTTGTCATGACCCAAGCGGGTAATGATCGAGGCCTTATTTGTAGTTTTGTATTGTAGTTTGTAGATAATTCCCCCATCGTGAATGAGCTATACAGTGTGCAACTGTATCCTGTACAGGGCTCCCGGTCCGACACCGGGACAACTAAGATCCATCGAGAATCGCAATGGATGTATCAATTATCGGGCATGTACAGCACTTGAGATCCCCTGCGTCAACCATGATGTTGGGCAGTCGCGACGTATGGTCATGCATCCCTCGACGCAGGCCGTAGAAAGCCGTCGAAAAGGATCACCGGTCTCTTCATAGTCGATTGAACAACAGCTTGGTGATTTTCAGGGCTGACGCCGTCCATAAGCTGGAGGTTACAAGAGCGAGTAAACTGGAGGCCCCGTGGCTCAATGTGGACACCTACCGCCCTTCCAAAGATGTGTAAGCAACCCTATAATCTCTATCCAAGAGCTGCTGCTCAGTGCGCACATGCTGAGCAAGAACAGGGGTACAAACGATGTTGCTCAACAATGCGACTGTGACAACTGTAGGGAACAGCACTTGGTCAGATCGCCTTCAGATCGGCGTCTGGCTTGAACAATTAGCCCACTCGGGTGAAAGAGAATGGCGATGTTCAGGGACTCCTCGCATACTGTCGATTGTCGAATGCTCAGCCGAGATAAGCTCTTCGTCATTATTTCAACCCCCGGACGGTGAGTCCACTCCAACGGTCTTGAGATCGCCGCGATCCCCACGAATCACTGACAAGATCGACCGGCCCAACGGAGTGAGAGAACAAGAGTCCTGGCCCGTCTGTACGCTGTGGTCTGTGAAGGCTATCGATCACCTCAGCGGTGAGACAGCACGTCGGACGGATCGTCGGCGTGGAGGCTTTGTTGATCCACCAGACTCGGAACTTCGGCACGCTCAGTCGCATCGCTGGGCCGTGAGCCATACACACACAAGCGTCCGCGGGACTTGGCTTGACTGTTTGGCATGTAGATCTCCCGAATGCTGATCAGCCCCTTCCGTAGAGAGACCATGGCCCAGGCGACTGGAACAGGAACAGACGTGTCTGCAATCTGGTGGAGAAGAGGATCTGGCTTGACTTCGATGGAGATCATCATTCGGTCATGGACCGACGCGGCGCATGGCTTGCCCTTGGGGAACGCCCAAACGCCCAAACCCGCAAGCCACATCGGCACCAGCCGACGGCGGTCGATCGTGTGGGTTGGGGAGACAAAGAAAAGCCATGAGTAGTGGGAACTTGGGAAGGAGGAAAGTGCGGATCCTCTGCGGAGACAGGTACATTCATGTCAGAGGAGATATGAACGTTCAACCACGGGGTCGATCGTCTTGTGTATGGATTTGGAGGTGTGCACTCGAGACTCTCGAGGACTCTAGAGAGAGGCACAAGCCATGTCTAAGAAGAACCCGTTGCCAACGATCCAGAACGTCAAGTGCAAGCGCGCCATACGGATCGATCAACATTGAGAACAATCTTCATATCTCAATCTATATCAATCGATTCACTGGCGTGCCCATTCGATAAGCTTTGTCACTTCTCCCTGGCTTGATTTCTGGCTGTTTATGACACGGAGGCTGAAACGAATGGATTTCAGGGGAAGACGCCAGACTTGTCCCCTGTGGTCAAGATCCATTACTCGGTTTTACCTACAATAGGTCCGCGTTTGGTTGGACCCTCACTCTAGCACTCTAGCGCTGCGAATGAGGAACCCTCCAAATGTTTGACGATAGCCAAGAATGGGATACCTGGATATGAGTTCGGCGTTACTAGGCGGCATTCCCCTGAATGATCAACGTCCAACCTTGAATCCGTCACAGTGTTGCTTGAGAACTCCCCGCAGCAATCAACAACATATGTTCCCTAGGTACGTGAGAATCTTGTAGACCCTAGACAATGAGGCATACCGTAACATACCCTAAAAATATGTGATGATCCTCCTTGCCAACTAAGGTGGCTGACAGTGACACTCACCTCGGGCTGGAGGTTATTCTCTCTCCGGCTAATCCTTTGATGAGCATTCCAGAGTCGAGACACTACTAGTCCTAATCGCTACCAGTCCCGCTCCACTCCCAACCACCTGCCTTTTTTCATTCATACAGTAGGACTACCGAAAAGCCTCGAGGTATCCATCCTCTCTGAGATTCACCTACCGAACCTACTCTCATGTTGAGCACCCAGTCAGCTGACCTCCATCAGAAGCCACGGACCTCATCTCACCCGCCCCGCAAACATATGTAACTAACTGACTCTTCGTTGGCGAGACTGACGACCTTTTTTTTTTTCAAGTACGTAGTTGATCTGAGTTTCCCAATTTGGGGGGAGGCAGGGCATCCTCAGCGATAATGGAGGTTGTGTACAAACTCTTCCCATCAGTCATCACTGCATGTCCGGGATCGCCTGGAATGGGAAAGCATTTCCGTTGCATAGAGGAAGCCACGCATCTGGAATCGCGGTCAGGGCGCTTCCAACCTCCACTCTTGCCCCAAATTTGGCCCGAGCAGCGAAACAGTGACGGACCTCGTGGTCAAGGTTTTTGCCACCAGTCTCGGGACCAGCGGCCACACGGCGCTCTCGCAGCAAAAAGTCACACCATTGCCTTCCTCTGTCAACTTGTCTGCAGTCAACATGAGACACGATCCAGTCCTTCGGGGGTCAAAGACAAGGGACATAACGACTTGTACAAAAGCCGACGGACATGCGTGATCGCACTCCGGTACCCGACGCCTTTGCCTACCGCAAGAGTCAGCCCACGGCGCAGAGAGTCCTTGTTGCAAGGTTTCTGGGCGCCTCTACCCCAGCTGTCAGAGAGCCATCCGTGCATCGGTTCCGAACAGCTGGTGTCATCGACGATTCCTCATTGTCTCATAACATATCACATCAAAACAGATGAAAGCGAGCTTTTCATCTTGCCCGCTAACCAGATGCGGACTCTTGGGCCTCCGATCTGGTGACTAGTCTTCAAGGGTAGAAAAGCCAGCCGAAAGTGGCAGGATGCATGTAGCCTAAATGGTCAATTCAAGCCTGCAGCTGCAGCCGCACACCTTTTTTTTTCCTTTTTTTTTCCCTTTTTTTTTTAAAAAAAAAAAAAAAAAAAGGTCCCGGTTCGAATCTCTCAAAGATAAGGTCAAGCCACTAGCGGTCAAGGACTCAAGGATAATGTAGTTGGTTCCCTCCGCCCCCCTTCATCCCAAGAGGTTAAGCGAGACAAGGTTCCTGTGCGCGTGGACAGGACTTCATTGGGATTAGACGCGGAACACGGGCAGAAGCTAGTTTGCTCGGTGTACCAATCTCCGCTCCTCTCTGTCAGTCGAGGAAAATCGCGACGTAGGGGTAGATGCTCGCTAGAAAGGGTGCGGGACGCTCGTCTCGGCCAAGGTTTCCTTCTGCGCTGATGTGCTCGGCTAAAGGTCCAGGGGAGGAGGGGGGAGGGGGAGGGAATTGGGTGAAAGATAGGTTATTTCTTGGCCCCGCCCACTCTCGACGTATACGAGATACCAAGAGAGAGGATGATGATGTGATCTATCTGGCAGACTCGCAGCATGTATATAGAAGCTGTCTTGTATTGAAACAATCGGACGATGACCTTGCTTTCGGCATCCGTCCAATGTCCATGCAGGGTCGACGACTCTGGAATGAACGGAAAACGGTTCAGATTGAGGCGAACGGACCAGGGCACGTGTAGACACTAGACAGAGATAGATTTGGCTTGACCGCTTTGGGCTGCAAAGTGCGGGAGAGACAGAGTCTGACTCTGGACTCACGAGTTGCGGGACCCAATCAGACTGGAATGTGCTCGCTTGTCTGCTACCGTTCTGCAAAGTCCGACCCCAAGACAGACAACGGGACGGGCAAGGCATCTCGTATCGTGTGAGTGCGAGGTGCATTAGTGGGAGAAAAGGGACTCGATCATAATTGATGGACACCATTACTACAGTCATGCAGTCCTTCACTGATAGGACAGTAGGACTACTATGTAAGTAGAGTTAGGCGCTGCACTCAAAAGGCACCGAGATACCATCGCCTTCATCATATCCTACAGTCTTACAGTAGTAGTGTAAGACTACAGGTAGCTATCATCCCGCCGTCTCTCATCTTTCACTCAATTCACCAGGGTACAAAACGAGATATTCAGCGGGTCCAGTCATCTCAGAGATTCAGACAGTAGGCGAGGCCGTAAGATTGGGCAGCAAATCCGAATCCACGGTCTGCGTGACCGCCACCTGAGGCCCCAGATTGAACCGGACACTTAGTCTTACACTATTAAGTAAAAGTGGAGCCTTCAATTTCCTTTTTCCTTGGTCCAAGCCCATTTAGAGATTCCGGAGGCGCAACGCCAAATCACGGTTCTGCCCGTGGCCAAAACGAGATTCAAGTTTTCAACAGGACAACATGCGAAGTATATAGCACTGAGCACAGGAGGTCCCCCACCGGTGACAGCAGTCAGCAGTGACAGCACAGTCTGAACCAGGTCCTCTTTGCCAGGAGTCAGACCTATGCGAGCAGCATGGTCAGCTTCCCTGGCAGTAAGACCAGGCAAACAGGGGTGAGAGATGTGCCGTCGGCGAAAAATAAATTTACTTTGCCTCTGTTGATACCTCTACTAGTGATAGCCTGGTGGCCTGGTAGGTATTTTCATCCTCCTGGTTTCTGTACAGGCCCACAGGGGGTGTAATTGCACTGTACTGTACAGGTACAGTACAACTATTAAGTTATCAAGTATGAAACTAAAGGGTATAACTGACCAACTCTACATCCTCATCGTTCAAAGACGGCCAGGGATTGCCTAAAACAGACATTAGCTCCGGATAAAGATGCCCGGGCTTGACGACAACCCAACTTAATTGTCTCGGGTAGCATTGTCCCTCCAATCTGGAGGCAATCGGCGCGCGAACTTGACTAGCCCATTGGCCTGTGGCTAGTGCCTTTCGCGAGACCCTCTTTGCCAGATAGAGGCTTTTCATCACCACGATCTATCAATCATAATCGTGCCTAGCGTTCGAACCCACACGCAAGGAGTGCTAGTGACTGATCATCAACATGTCGAGTACAGCGGACTCTCCCTGACACTCGGCGAGTGTTCATCTACGATTGCTCATCTGCGGTTCATGGGTTTGGGGTCTGCCGTCCAGATCGGTAGCCCATTCATGGCGCAAGGAGCGAGCCAAAAACGCAAGATACACCTTGAGAGAAAAAAAAAAATAAAGTTGACGAGTTCCGTCTGACCATGTGCGGGTCTGGATTTTGCAAGCCCTCTCTTGTACATGATCGAGCAGGGAATCTGCAAGACATATTGTCATGTGATTCGAAGGTCAAGAGTTCGGATAAGACCCTTTTGTATGGTACGCCTTGAGTCCTTGGACTCCTTACCAGGGCTCATTACCGGACCCGCACACAGTCACACAGCCACACAGGGAATCTCAGTTGCTGAATTTCCATGGAAGCTCCCGTCAGGATGTGAGAGTCATCCGGTGTGTCGAAGAGGGCTTCTACGTCAGAGGAAGCCACCGGTTAAGTTGGAGCACCTGTCTTGGGGGTTGGGGCCCCAAGTTTTGCAGAACATGTGTCTAGCCAGGTCTCCCGGTCGATGGAAGGCGTGCGTTCAGCCATCCATTGCAACGCTGGTTATGGATTGAGGTTGAATCGAGAAAGATCCACGACGGGTCATGCACATCCATCGGCCGACGATGAGGAAAGCCTGGGTGTGTTTAGTAAACACTAAACACCGTTTAATTTTACAATAGGACTTGGTGAAATCCTGCTTGGCTCCTCCCAGGCTCTCGTTCTTCTGTTGACGTATTGAAACCCATCGGCCCATGCGACTCGGTATGATCACCGATAGGCAAGTGCTTTTTGGTCGAGACGGCCTTTTTGCAGATGTGGGCGTCGAGGCTGAATCGCGAACTTTGAGCATTAGGTTTCATCTTCTTTCCGAGAGCTTAGTTGCCCACGGCCTTGCCGGAAGGGGATCGAGCTTGTCGGCTCGGCAAGATTGGAATGCACAAAGCCACTTCCTGAGTACTGGGCAGTGACTTTAGTAAGAGTGACTCTGGTGAGGAGTTGAGAGACATTGAGTATATCTGGGGGTACTTCTTGACAGACTGAAGGGTCACCTGTATAAAGGAGGATGATTGTGCAATCAAATAGCAGAATTACGCATGCAGTGGGGCAAAAAGCCAGTCAACTCTGGTACCCGACAGCGCCAAGCTTCTACCTTCAGCCGAGCAAGACTTTTGACCAGTCGACCGTTACTGGATCCGGTTTTCTCTTGACAGTGGAGGAGGGTTCTTCTGACGCTTTTGACTGGAGTCTCTGAGAACTAGACTGGACCATTCCGTTGCGGTAAGCTGAAAGCCTGATTGGGGGTTCGGTGGTGGAGGTGGAGGAGAAGAACTTGGAGAAGTGCTGTCAACCACGTTGTCGCCCCTCCATCTCGCGCGCGGTCACAAGGATGTGTGGTTCGCCGAGATTTACAGAATCACCACAGCCCCTAAGCAGAGGACTACAGCAAATATTCAGAGGGTGGTTGGTAAGTTGGTACTCAACGTGCTGAACTACTAGCAGTAGTAAAGTATTACTCAGTAAGACTACTAGTGCAGGTATAGTAGTAGTAGTAGTAGTAGTAGTAGTAGTAGTAGTAGTAGTAGTAGTAGTAGTAGTAGTAGTAGTAGTAGTAGTAGTAGTAGTAGTAGTAGTAGTGATCTTTTACGGCGCATGAAGTGTGCAACTATTGAAGTAGCGTGTCGAGGGAGCCTAGAGTCTCGATCACCTGTTAGTCTCGGCGCTACAGCCGTCGGACTTCTAGCCTCTGCACGAGCTCAGGTGACTTGTGAGATTCTCGCCCTTTTCGAGCGGTTCTTGCAGATGTGGAGCTGATCGATGAACCCGTCGCAGCAGAGGTCCATCGCGTTTCCACCCGTAGTGCTGCGCATCTTTGCCCGTCGTCAACTGTTGACAACTGGACACACTGGACAAGCTAAAGATTTACTGTCAAGGACGCTAGACACCACTACGCAATACACATACGCGCTATTTTTCCTCCTATGCTTTTGTTTAGAGTACGATGAGTCGTACTACGATTGTTCATGCTGCAATACAGCCATACAACAATTGGTAGGTCCCTGATACATATACAAAATTGAATGTACGCACTTGCTAATTTCTCCGGTTGAAACTGGTATATGTAATGATGCTTCCATTCTCATGGGCCTCTTGCTTCCAAAGCTCAATCCTTCTAGCCGTTTCTATCAATCCGATCGCATCGAAGTAATCAGAACAAGCCGTGACCGACAGAGATGGATAGTTTTGCCAGATCTGATGGACTTGGGTTGTCGTGATCTGATTCATATGACTTCCGGTTTCTAGAGGGTTCTCAATAAAGTTGTTAACCTTATGCGAAGTCTATTGTCGCGAGCTATGCGGTCGGCTGAAGTGTGGGCAGCCGGCGTGGCGCTCTAATCTATTCAAGGTTCCAGTCGGTCTCTTAGTTTGGCCGATTCTCGTCCATCCCATGAACAACAACCCGAAAATTCTTCCTCGAAAATCCTCTGATTGTTCCCAGTTTGGAATTATCACGACCCGCCATTGCACGAGATATCATCCGATCAATCCCTTTTCCAACCGCATCTTGGAGGGGTTTGGCCCGTTCGGGCTTTCCACCACAACTCGAACCACTTCCCTCGATCATCAACTACGGATGAAATGGAGAGATGATGACGTGACCATCTTTCCTCTGTCTTAACTTCATGGACCTTGGTCGAGATGAAGATGGATTGGGGATCCAGCAGTGCCGTGGCAGATATCCTGTGAAAGTGTGAACTGAACACAATCACGGGCTTTTGTGGATGTGAGATTTGGCTCCCGGGAAAATAAGCAACTGGAGTTATCTTGACAAGATTGCGTTGTTGTACGCCCACGCCGTTGTGTGTCTGATCGACTTTCCCTTTCCAATGGGCCCTCCCGGTCGGCCAGCCGGCCAGGCCCTCGTGGACCCGTGGCTCGTCCATGGGTCCTGGCGTGTCCATCTGGCATTTGCTGGGGAGGGCATTTTTTCTTGTCTTCGTCTACATATCGACGATTTAGGATTTACATACAGTATTCTCGATTCCTCCGGGTCCTAGCCCTTCCTACTCCATTAGATTCTCCTTTGTGCAGGTTTGCATCTACTGACAATGGACTTTTTTTTTTTTTTTTTTTTTTCGGGATTGAGTGCAAGGTCAGAACACCCTTTTGCAGTACCATAATCATGCTCGATGGGATATACTTCTGTCACTGTCATCATCCTCTTAACATGGTCCCGCGGGTGAAATAATTTGACCCTTTCGCCGGGTCTCGCCCAGATCTCTAGTCCTTTGCGCGGGTGGGGTTGTGCTGCGGTCTTTTGCAGATTGCCCCTTTCGGCTGGCCCCGTGGTCCGAGAATCCAAGGCAGTCGAGGCGATGGCTCTTGATCGAATGGGGACGGGATGAACAACAGCAGGGGAAAAGGGGAAAGAAGAGAAAAAAAACCCCCCCAAAACAAAGGGGGAGAGGGAGGTAAGGCAAAAAGAAAGAGGAAAAAGAATGTTCAGCCGAGATGACCGCAGGTCCCGACCGGGCTAGTAATTGACTCATCCATATACCAGTCACACCACCGCAGTCCGGGTTGTATGTCTATTGTCTGTTGTTTGTACGGAACCAACCCTTGAATGGGACACCGGTGACTCCTGCATACTCGATCAACTGCAAAGGCCACCGGGAATGGCATATTGGAGACGAGCTAAAGAATGGCGGTCATGACCAGACTGGTAAAAGTCGGCTCTGTCGGGTTGAGTGTGAACTGATCCGTGTACTCAGTACTGTAGAGACGAGATACTAGAGGGTGGCCATTGCCGAATCCCCGGGCATTAAGGTACAGTAGTCGTCTGGCATCGAGTTCTTGTATGCAATGACGCCTCGATGCCATCGATGCATCTCGGTCTGTACTCTGTAGTCTGTACCACACGATTGTGGCTCATGTCCCGTCCCCATCTTTCCTTAATTCCGGCTGTACCAATGAGGGACCCCCTTGGGGGTCCCATCTGGGTGCTGGTCAAGGCCACGCCTCACGGCGCCCTCCTCGTTGGGGCCCATTCCTTCGGGTGCTCCGTTCTGCTGGGACGGACGACACGAGGGACCCGATGGATCATGGCTCCGGTGCCAGATATGGGTGGTCGCTTGGAAAGACTGATCATGACAGCGTGTGCATCAACTTCATACCTAGTTCATAGTTCATATTCATAGTTCATACTGTTCGTGTAGTGCATGTGATTAGAGGCTCGTTGGACTGTTGGGGTACTTTATTCACTTACAGCCTCAGTGCTAGCTGCCTTCGTCGAGGGGGCTGACTGGACTGGACCTTTTTGCACATGATACCTGTGATATTGTATAGTGGGTACTAAGTACGCTAGGTACTGACTGAGGTGATGACTAGTACTAGTAGATTATCGAGTAGTTAGTCGGTAGTGACTCTAGTGAGTAAGGTACTACTAACTCGGTACTCTGACTACACAGTCAATATTATAGAAGTACATTGCGCCTCCCCTCGGTCTGTGGGAGGCGAGATGGGACTCGTCAGACCCGTTCTTTTTTTCCGCATCATCTCAGGGATCACTCCGGGAATCCACTCCCGGCGACTGTCGCTGGCAGGGAATGTCGTCTCTGAATCTGCATCAGTCATGAGCTTCTTCTCAACTTCTCTCCTCGTCTTCTCCATCTCCTCACGCCGCCTGGTCCCCCCCAAAATCCAACAACCCTGCGTCTCCCGGCTTCCTTGGCTGAAGGGCTCTGAGCCTCTGTGAACCGGCGACCTACGCTCTAGTCCCCGGTCTCGTGGAGCCCTGCTAGTCTAAATTTTCCCGCACCAACCAGCGCGAGGTCCTCAGATTAAGTCGCGTCGGGTCCTCCTGTGCGACCTCGGGCGTATCCGTTCAGAGGCTGGGGGTTCAGTACCGTTGGCGCTCTCTCCGCGCACCCCTCGAAGTCTCGTCCTCGTCTATTTCCTGTGAGGGTCGTCTCGGGATAGTAGTCGTAACTTGTAAGACGGTATTGTACCAGACGTACCGTCAATTTCCATTTCCAAAGTTGTCCAACTCCACGGTGCAGGATGGTGAACCACTGGACGCTAGCAAATGCATCTTGAGGCGACAGAAATGGATCTCCATGCCCTCCTTGCGATGGTCGATGCGAATTGTCCACCACCAGGTGACCCTCTTCACGCACCATCCAGGACTCGCCTCTCTGGACTACTGGAGCAGTGGAGTGCCTCCTCTCTGCAAGTGTGCACTCTGCAGTCTGCGCTCCATCCGCCCTACCGTTCCACAAAGGGCCTTCGTCTTCGTCTCTTTCGTCTCCTTCGTCGCCTTGGTGCTTCGTTCCCCTGAGCCCTGAGCGATGCTCGCTTGTTCTCACCTCGGGTCTACTGGGCTGCCGGACCGGGTCTGCCAGTCTGCTGTCGACCCAATCTCTTTCTGACTTCCTCTTTTCTCCGGCCTTTCTTTGCTTTTCTTTTCTCCCTTTTCCAATTCTCTTCCGGATTTTTCCTCTTTTTCTTTTTGGTTTGTTTTTTGATTCTCTCCTTCGGGAAATTGAGTCCCATCGTTTCCGCCGAATCCTCTCTCCCTTGGTGTCTTTCTCGCGTCAATAGTCGTAGGAGTACAGCGTTTCTCTCACTTTCATGGGTATCGAGATCTCCTGTACAGCCTGCGTAACTTTTCACCCTCTCTCTCTCTCTCTCTCTCTCTCTGTCTGTCCCTCCGGATTCCCTCGTTCTATCTGCCCTTCCGCGTGAAGGAGTCCGGAGTCTGTACCAGCAGTACTCGTATCTTTCTGAAATTGTGTCCAGTGTCCAGTGTTGAGTGTCCAATGTCCAGTAGTCCACCCTTCTCCTTACAAACGGTCCTGTCGGAGAGGCTCCTGTCCCTGCGAGGCGATGGTGCATGGGAGGCGGCCCATGGGACCGCTGATGATTCGATCACGACCGTCTTCCCTTCTGAGTGACTACTTTGCCTGCATCGCATCCCAACTGGCCTGCTTCCAGGTTGCTTTTTCCGGGAGACTAGTCCTCATTGGGGACCACGAGATCCTTCAGCCTCTCTCTTTCTCTCTTTCTCGCCCTCGCTCGCCCTCTCGCTCGCCGTCCATCATGATTGATTTTTGTCCATTTTTACATTTTCCTACAGTATGTACCTCCGTTTCCTGTCTGCTCATTCGAGCATCTCCTCCCTCTGGACCTTGACCACCATCTGCTTTCCATTCCTGGTCTCGTTCCCCCCCCACCTCTCCTACTCTCAGTCCCCTCCCCATTCACCCAATAAATCCCATGCCCAAAACTCTCTCCCGGGCCCGCTCTTTGCGACGGGGCCTTTAACGATTCCTCTCTTCCTCTCTCTCTCTCTGTCTCTCTCGTTCGGGGGACGCGGTCTCGAACGGCGGTCTTTTTTCGTCCAGAGACAACTGCACCCCCCCAAAAAAGAAAAGTAAAATAATATTCAATTCTACCACACTTCGTTCACATGATTCGATCGTGATTCCTCTCCCCTCCCCTCTTCCCCCCCCCCCCAATACACGACAATAATAATAATCCTTCAAAACCCTCAACGCTGAGAATCTCGGTCGGTCCTCCGATGCCCGTAATTCCAACCCATCTGTTGACCCCAATTCCTTTTCTACTTATAATTTCCTGTCTGCCCCCGTCCCCGCGCTTCTGCGCCTCCTCAACGCCACGGCTTATCTTTCTTTTCTCCCCCCCCCCCCCCCCCCCCCCCCCCCACTCACTTACTCGGTGATCCCCAGTGTCGGTGCTGCCCTGTCCAGCTCTCTTCTCCTCGCGCCTCCAAACCGCAGAGCCTCGATCCCATCTCACCAGATTCTCCTCTTCCTTTCTCTTCTCTCTCCTGCATTGGTCGGTGAATCTCCCCCTCGTCGACACCTTGATCCGCACCGGTGTCTCCCTTCTGGTTCATCTGCTGCATCTCCGCGCATACCTCACCGTGGGCTCTCGGAGAATTTGATCCCCCAACGGCCGTAGTGTGGAAAGCTTCGCCCGAACCTTCGGTATACGCTTCCCATCGGCAGACAACGGTGTTGCCCGCTTTTCTCCTCTTCTTCTGCTTCCACCACCACCACCTCCTCCTCCTCCTGCGGTCAAGCTTCCACATCTCGCATCCATCCTGCTAAATCTCGGTGGTCTTATTCGAGTGGGATCTTGCAGCGGTCGATCGCCTCCATCCGAATATCACCCAGAGCCGCGCGACTTATCCGACCTAGAGATCATGCACCCTTCGCGATATCCTCGGCCCTAGTTTCTCTCCTCTCTATCTCCCTCTCTCTCTATCTCCCTCTCTCTCTCTCTCTCTCTCTCTCTCTCTCTCTCTCTCTCTCTCTCTCTCTCTCTCTCTCTCTCTCTTTCGGTGGAAAATCCTCTCCTCTTTCTCACTTCAAGCGCTCACCTTCAGGAGTTGGTGCTCCACGCCGAATTAACAAGTATCTGTTGCTCGTTGCCCGACTCGCCGTTGGATCCTTTGGAACTGCCGTGCAACTTTTACCTCCAGTGGTGATCGTATCCTGCCCGCCCTCACGCCAGTGCTTCCTCAACCGTTCGCCTTTCATACACCGGACTCTTGCGTGACTTCCACCTGCGGAGTAAATCTCCTTCACTGCCAAGCCTTGACTGATTCGGGGTTCCAACCCACCGGGCCTATCTACTCCCCGATCAGTACCTCGGCACCGTCCCCGGCATCTTCGCAACAGTCGGTCCACAAGAGAGTCTTCCCCCGACTCCGCCTGCTCTCTCTCGATCGCGACTTCCAGCGATCCGTCGTTTGCCCCTCCTGGATCCGTCGAGCCCTTCGGGGGCCAACCTGGGCAATCGAGATTGGTCGTACTCCTCGCTGAACTCGTTCGCTGCACCTCTCCCGTCATCAGTGCAACCGTCTCAGCCCGTGTCCGACGTCTACCCCCCGGGCCCCCGCGACCCTGCCCACATGACCGCCCTCGCCGTCCCCGCCGTGCCCGGCCCAGGCATGGGCACCTCCCTCGAGGGCCTCAGCTCGCAGCCCCTCAATTCGCGTCGCCCGGCCGCCCCCACGCTGCCCAGCTTTGAACTCCCCCCGCCGCCCTTTGGCCTCGCCGGTACGGCGCTGAAATATCAGACTCAGCCCCCCATACGAGTCAACCGCCCATATCGCACGCTCCCACCAATGTCAGCGTCGGCAATCTACTGACGCCGCCAGCGACCAACCAATCGGCCGATCATGGATCGGTCTCGCACTCTCTCCCGCCTTCCTCGGGGGTCGCGTCAGAGATCTCGCCGGCATATTGGCCCGGCACAACACCCTACGGTGCACCGGGGGGTGGTCCCGGTCAGTGGGCGCCCACGGCCAATGCGATTTACTCGGGCCGCAGTTCGTTCTCCCCGTCGAGTCTCCATCGGTCAGGGTCGGTGACTTCCCCCCCACCACCGATGGCCTCTCTCAGCCCTATGAGGCCCCGCCCATGGCGTCCTTCTCCCAGGCGCTGCCGGCACCGTCCACCTCGACCTTGGCCTCGGGCCCACACCCCGTGACTTTAGGCCTCTATCAGCCAAATCATACTGCGTCTGCTGCGTCCTTACCTTCCAACGACCCCTATAACTCCAAGGTCCACTCCATGTACGCTTCACCCGGTCAGCATACCGGGTATTCTCCTCTGTATGCGGGACCCAATCCTCTCGGAGGACATGGCCATCCGGGTATGCACCCTGGCGCGCGCATGCCCCTCCAGAGTCCCGGGGGACAGCCGCCCGTGCCATATCCACGTCAGCCGTGGCCGTCCTATTCTCTCCCCGCCATGTCCGGGCCGGTCATGTCCAATGTCCACAGTCCCAATAGCCCCCTCTCTATGATGGGTGGCATGCCGTCGGGCGTCTTGCCCGGGTTCAACAGTGGCCATCTGGCCAACACACAACATCTCTACGGGGCACACTCCGCCTCTCACCATGGAATGCCGGGCCCGGTGGCCGACCGACCCTTCAAGTGTGACCAGTGCCCTCAAAGCTTCAATCGAAATCATGATCTCAAGCGTCACAAGCGAATTCATCTCGCCGTCAAACCGTTCCCTTGTGCCCATTGCGATAAGAGCTTCTCGCGCAAAGATGCTCTGAAGGTAAGCCCTCCCGACTTTGTCTTTCCCCCCCCCCCCCTTTCCATTTTCCCCTTCCTACGTGGACATGAAAGACGGTTTGCGACATTTTACTGACGAGATCATTCTCAGAGGCATATTTTGGTGAAAGGGTGCGGCACGGCTACCGCGTCGGATTCCAACGGCGCATTGACCGGTGAGAATGGCACTCTGAAGATCGAGGGTTCTGGCGACGACTTGAGCCCGTTGGCCAACGGCCGTAATTGAGTCCCTACACGGAGGGAGGCACCATCTCTGGCTCGGTGAGCCAGGCCTCTTCGACCGTTCGAGTGCCGCTGATGGGCTCCTTTTTCTTTTTCCCCCTTGGGACCTCTCTGGGAAAAGAGGATGCCACTTTGTATATCTGAACAGCGGACTCGCAAAGGGCTACGAGTCTATGTGGATATTGCATCCGGATGGCCTATGTGCCGATTTCTTACTATTTTTGTTTCTTCTTCTGTCTCAATTGCTTTTCCCTATCTCTCTGTCTCTATTCCTCTTTTCTTCCCCCCCTACATTTCCTCTTTTGATGATAATCCGGATCACCGGGAAACGGTCTGCCTCCAACTGATTTCTTTTTTTTCCGACATGTTGATACTCTCTCCGGCGAAAAAGGTGTGTGATTCGGGCATCATTGGGATTGGGCTTGACCATTTTTTGTTGTTATTCCTGTGTGTGGAGTTGATGTGTCGTTCGACCTGTTGTTATGAGCCACTGATTTGATTCCAGGGTTTGGTCTGCCTGGTTATTGTTTTCTGGGATGCGCCGTGTTGTTACTTTAGCCTGACGTGTGACGTGCGACGTGTGTATTGGTTCTTGATCAGTGTGTGGTTGTCGGTTTATGTGTGTTACTTTTTTTTTTTTCTCTTTTTCCAGCTTTGGGGATATGATACTCACCAGCGAGCTTTGCCGATTTGATTCTTGACTTGATAGGGGTGATCCGTGAGAGCGACGAGACCTCGATCGTATATAGCAACTCTGAGTTATGCTGACGGCATTTGGATTTGTGACCTTTTCCTCGCCCGACAGGATGTAGACTTCTTGCCCATGCTTCGAACCCGGCTTCACCCTATTAGAGTCTCAAATATGAAGATGAAAAAGAAACCCCCCCCTCCCACTCCTCCAACACTTGAGGCGATCAACAGTCTAGAACTCGATGTCCCAAACGCAATTACTTTCACTTTCAATAAAGCGGGGAATCGCCATGTGGGCAGGTCCACCGCCCACATGGTTTGCCACATGCAGGTTCAGGTCTAGGTTTAGGTTCAGGTTTAGGTTCAGGTTCAGGTTCAGGTCCAGCAGAAAGGGTGGTGTGAGTCGCGACTGGTCTTGTCAAAGTCAGACAGCTGATTCAGGTATGTACCATTTCCAAGACCGAAACCAGAGGCTGGGCCACCTACACTAGTATACTTGGATTGAAGCACGCCTCATGGTGTTGTTTCTGCAGTCTCTAGGTATTCACGAGGTTTCACGCGAGACTGCAGCGAGGCGCTGGCTGACTCGGTTGATGTGGAGAGGATGATCGATCAACGGTCCACACTGGATCGTCCGTCTCGGGAGTGGGCCATGTGGTCTTGGATTAGTCGGTCTGGTCTCTCTATGTATCCATCTAGGATGTGGTGCTTGAATCACATGCATGAGTGTCGATGTCGGTGCATTGCATTTTTTTTCCTCGTACCACAGATATCAATCTAATGTACTTTCAAGCCGACGCTGTCTCAATTGCAACAATCCATGTGACAGTCGGGTCTCGGGTCTCGGGTCTCTTGATGCAAATACCCGCCCGCAGCGTCGGGCTCCTTCAGTCTTGACGACGACATGGAGCGATCCTAGGGGCTTTGAATGCGTCGAGGGGCTCCAGATCAAATACTCGATGATTTATATATTGATCTCCCTAGCTTCCAAAGATCCTTCATTCTCTGTGAATCTGATTAGGTTTATTTGAGCTGCGCCTCTTTTTCATCCATCCAGATAAATCTCGTCCTTTCACGACCTGAACCTTGGTTCCGACTGCCTATCTAGATATCCAGGCATTCAAGTGCGATGATCTTACCCCCTTTGACCGTGGCATTTATATTGGGTTGTATTTCTAGGGAAGCCGAACGCCCGTGATTGTGCGGTCGTCCGAAATCGAGAGTCACCTTCTCGTGAGCGTGACGGGCATGCAGGTGCCGTTCAAGTGGAAGTCCTCGCTCAGAACGAAGTATTGTTACTATCATCTACCTATTCCTCCCCCAAGTACCCGAGCACGATGCGTCCTTCAACCCAGCTGCAGTCCCCAACTGGCGTTTGGTTTCTCAGCCAATTGATCCACATGTTGTCAATCACATGTGCATATGGTACCCATATCAATGCTCCACCATCTCTGAAAGTCTCGTCTGAAAGCGCTCCGGAACTGGAAACTCTGTCAAATCCCGAATCCAAATCTACCCTTTGCACGGGCACTGCCTCACGAGATCCCAAGATATTCACCATCCCTCCAAAGGTTCAAAATGGAGTCGCCGACGCCAGATTCAACATGTCAACACCAACCCCTCAACTGAGCGTCGAGAGCGTATCCATCCTCGACGCCCCCCAGTTGAGCATGATCAACTCCTCCGTTTTCGACTGGTGGTACTTTGATATTGTTTCCACCAATGACCCCCGAGAAACAGTCACAGTGACCTTTTTCACATCCACTGCAAATGCATTTCCGTGGCTGCCAACGAACGAAAGCTCCGTGCTGATTGCCTATCTCTGGGTGTCTTTCTCAAATGGAACCGTCTTTGAGGATTACGTGCCTGCAACGATCGCGACAGTTCAAGAGCCGGGAACGGATGGAACCGGTATATCTGGAGTTGGGAATTGGTCATCGACAGGCTTCAGTTGGACCTCGACCAATACTGATTCATCCAGGTATACCAAGGTTATGGTCTCATCGGACAAGCTTCAGGTCTTGGGCGAATTCTCATTGACCTCGGTGAGTGGAGTCCGCATCATGGCTATGTTTTTGGCGATAACTCGGCCCCCGTCAATGTGGAAACCTGTCTGACCAAATCTGTGAGCCATCACTGACCCTTTTCCTAGACACTAGAGCCGCATCTACCCTGCGGAGTTACTGCCAATATCAGCACTCTGGAAGTTGCACCTCACGTAGGATGGGCTGCTCTCGTACCTGATGCCGCCGGAAGTGCAGATATCACGGTTGTGGGCTCGCGTCTGCAATTCCAAGGCCCAGCATACCATGACAAGGTGAGGGATCTGCCCTTTTTTTTTCTTTTCTTTTTTTTTTTTTTTTTTTTGAAAATTGTCTCGTTTCGTAGAATGTAAGATGCTGACAATCCAACAATCTCCCAGAACTGGTCCGATCGACCTTTCGTTGCATCCGTGTCAAGCTGGTACTGGGGTCATGGCCAATTGGGGTCATATTCCGTTGTTTGGTTCAGCTACCTGGCCTTGAATGATCCTCAACACAGGGAGTATGTGAGCAGCTATGTGGCGCGCAATGGGACCGTCATAGCTTCATCTTGTCAGACAGACTCTGTCAGAGTCCGTCCGATCGGGAGCTCTGGCACAAGTGCGCGATATCCACCAAAGGCAGGGGATGTGCCCGATGGATTTCACCTCGCCTTCAACTTGGGAGCTGACGGTTGGCTGAGGGCCAATGTTTCCGGGACTCGGATCGCCGGCGACGGTGAGTACTACTTTCGGTGGGCTGGACACATCACCGGCGAGATTTATGAGGGGAGCTCTGCGGCAAACGAACAAGATAGTTCGTGTTTACAGGCGAGCGAGGGAGGATCTATAGTCACGGATGAGCCCATGATGTCAGGGAGCGCGATCTGGGAGCAATTTGTTCTTGAAGAATAGTGCGCGATCCCCATAGACGGACCCGAGATAATTGTCAGAGACACGTTGGTTGCCTAGTATTGGACTGTAGACTTCCAAGGAACATGTAAACGAGGTGAACGCATTCTCGCGACATTCTCCATTTGTGTATCGGTCGACTTTTGTAAGGCAGAAATGACTTTAAAACTTTCCGCTGCCAGCATTCTTGGTCGATCGGGATCAAAAGAGCAAATCGCAAGATTTGCACTGTCTTTCCTCTCGAAGCATGAGTTGGATGGAAAACCAGATGGCAGCGGAAAGAAATGTTCTTGGGTTGACTACCGTGATCTCGAGGAGGGAAAAAGAAGAAACGTGATTGCAAATCTAGGTATCCGTAGAGTAACGCAAATAAAATGAAGACTAAAAGAATGAGACAAGTGATGAGGCGAGCGTACAGACCCGCGGAACTCATGGGAAGGATGAGCTTTCAAAGGGACGAGTGTTCATGCTCGCTTGGCCATCTTCGTCTGCCATTCCTTCACCAGTCCCACGTAATCCTCCTGGCCGTATGGGCTAAAACATCGAGCCAGCATGCCCTGCTTTCGTTCTGTGGATAAGCCCAGGTCTCGCAGCATCAGGTCGATGTAGGGAAGGGCGTCAAAGACAAAGTCCGGGTTACGGCGTCCAAACCCTCCGGGATAACGATACTTTCCGAATTCGGAATGCAAAGCCGTCTCCCAAGCCAGGTTGAGCTCGGCATCATCGTCGACTTTGAGGTCCGAGGCTGCCCGCACCGCCCGAGGACACTGCTCCCTGGAGGTTGGGGTGAGCTGACCACCAAAGTAGGCGGCAATCCAAAGTGCCTGGGTTTGAGCAATCATCGTGGTGTTGATCGTCATGGTGATGCCCATGAAGGCGAGAGATCGATCCTTGACCTGTGATAACGGCACCATGAAACGAGCGAGTCGGAAGGGATGGGGTACTGCGGCCTCGGCAGTGTTGTTCAGCGGCTTGTACTTGGGGTTGGGAGGAGGTTGGTCGCGCAAACGTGGGAATCGGCGAAGAATCTCTTCATCCGCCGCCTTGACCATCGCCGCGTCCAGCGGGTCAGCGCTCCAGGGGAAGCCCAGCTCGCGATCAATCCCCTCGGGAAGGAATTTCAAATTGGGCGTTGCACGCCATCCCGTCGAGCAGATCAGTGCGGTCGTGTTTAACACTTCACCGGTGGACAGGTGCACGGCATGGTCGGAGAGGTGATCGATGTCGGCGATGTGGACCTTGATCGTCCCGTCCTTGATGAAATCGAAGAAATTGGTGGGATAGTTCAGGATACTCAGGGAGGAAGCAATCCAGAAAGGACTGATCCAGGGCTGCAGCTTCTTCATCTCCGGATGTTTCTGGTACCCATTCAGCTGGACCACGTCATCGGCCAGCACGGCCCAGAAAGCGTCGACGATCTTGCGACCGAGCCATGTTCCGTGTAAGAATCTGCGAACCCCTGTGTACCCATCTGCGTCCCCCCAGATACACGGGCTGAACCAGGTCAAGACACGCGTGGTGACCAATTTCTCCAGCCACTTCTTGAGCGGCGTCACGTAGGGAGGTGCCATCCAGATGGGACCATGACCCGACTCGCGAATGACCCAGTCGATTTTCATTCCCGAAGTGGCGCATGCATAGGCTGCATCCCAAGCAGACTTGGTACCCCCAAAGACCGTCACTCGCTCCTCGGCTTTGAAGACCTGGGGTTCGTAGTGTCGCAGATCCGCACAGTGAAAGACGGGCGCTGCAAAGTCCCCTTGGCCCTCAAAGGTGGGCAGGTAAGCTTGGGAGGTGATGCCCGTCGCGACGATCAGCTTTTGGGTATGAATGGTCGTCGCGTCTCCGTCTCCGTCCTGCTGCACTTTCACCTCCCATGTACCGTCCAGGTTGTGGTGCGCGCTGTCGACCCGACGGTTGAGCCGAATGCGATCCATGAAGCCGAAATGCTGGGCATAGGCTTCGAGATAGCGCTGAATGGTATGACCAGGAATATGCTCGCCAGGTTTGACCCCAAAGGTCGCCTCGTCCATGGGGAAATCACTGTATTCGTAGGTACCCAACATGTTGTTGGACTTGAGTCCTTTGTACTGTCGATGTGTGGCCCAGACTCCTCCCACCGATCCTGCCGCCTCGAGTAGCAGCACCTTGCTGTCAGGATTGACCTCTCGGTAGGTCTTGATAGCGGCGAGTCCGCTCCATCCTGTCAAACGGCGTCAAGTTAGTCCATGCTCTCACTTGCGAGATTTGAACCTCTGCCTTCAGGCGTTGACACCGGAGGATTTGGATGGGATCACCGGCCGGGGGAAGACCCAGCGGCATGTTGTTCACTTTACCTGCGCCCACAACGACCAAGTCCACCTTTTCCATTGTTTGCACTCTATCGAAGGTTATGATGAGTCCACTCGTGATGGTATGGAGCTGCGAGTAGACCTTGATGTACCGCAACAATTGAACCACACCAGCTCTCCAGGCCACGCCGACTAAAGTGCGCCTTTTTTTTTTGTTTTCTTTCTTTCTTTCTTTTTTTTTTTTTTGGGCGCGTGGGGGATTTCCTGCAAGGAAGACGGTGTTGGGGAATGAGACCAGAGGGGAACAAAAGTCCGAGAGGGTTCTGAATGCGAGTCAGAGAGTCGCTGAGGGTGATTGCGCACCTCGTGTCTCCCACGTCAACAAACAGCCGAGGGAATGTTCCGTGACACGGAGGAAGTGTGAACAGGCCTGAATCTGGAGAGTGACTCTTTTTTTTCGCCCTGCTTTCGTCTCTACAATGTCAATCGCGGAGAAGTCTCCCCAGGTCCGCGGAGGCTAATCGTTATTATTATACTTGTCTGATGGTGTCATTGCTAGTGCAGCACCCTGCACACTGCATAACGAGTCCCCGGCGCGACCACTCCTTCCTACACTTTTCTTTGCCAAACTGCCCTCGACTCAGCCTGTTCGGCGCTATGCACATCGGTCAAACAGCCAGACCTCCACCCTGGGCCAACCAGCTGCGAGTGGGCATCGTGGGAAAAGTGAGCTTGGTTGCTTTTTGGGGGGTTGGAGGAGACAAGTGGAACCCGCCAGGCCTGTCAATCCCGGGCCTCAATCCACACGGGTCCGTGTGGTGAAGGCAGGAGTTGAGTTCCAGTTCATCACTACGAATCCAGTAACTATCTCATACGACTGGCGGCAGATCAACCCCAGCTTCGATGGACTTTCCATGTACTTCTATGAGCCACGCATGAAGGGCCGCTGACTATTGAGTAGGAGTCTGGAAACGACGAGAACTGATGACTTTGAGATCCGCGTTGCTCAAAGGAGAGATTAGGCGCCTGGGCAGGCTGCTTTTGAAGTGTTGGTGAAACCCCCGAGATCCAAGCCGACTCACCGGGTGTGTACATACATTGACGGGTCCGCGGCACGGAGTCTATACCAAAGGAGATCCATTGACGAGACTCGTGGTGGGAGTTGCGGTGCGCCCGACCTTGGGGTCTTCCACAGCCCATCTTGCCCTCTTCGAAGGAGAGAATCAACAGGTCCATGAGTCAGGAAGGCCGGAGCAAAAGAACCCAAGCTTGAAAGAAACCCAACGCATGAAAGAAAACAAAGTTTTCTTGAACGCCACCGCGGGGACACACGCCTCTTTAAGGAAGGCAAGTATGGATGTTGATCGCCTGGACCACGCAAAGATCGGGGCTTCCCAGCCGCATACAGATTCAACGTGATCGCATCGTCAAAGAACCTGAAGGACAAAGAAAAAAGAAGTATTCAGAAACAGAAAGGAAGTGGGAAAAAAAAAAGCAAAAGAGGATACACGAGGTGCATGTGGTCGAGATTCAGAGATCTCCCCTTGAAAAGACGTGGAGAGAGGTGCTGGTCCTCTTGACCTCAACATCGACCCCGTAAACAGCCACGCCTGATCCGCCGCTTCTGGTATCCAGACATGGATGTTGGCCATGGATCGTCAGAGCTCATCCCGTATACTGATACAATGGACTGTGATATTCTTTCACTCGAAAGCGATCGTAATCTCGTGGATCATAGGAGTGATCTAGAGTCGTCCAAACTTCCGGGTTCGAGGACATTCTGGTTTCGGGAGTGGATTGAGCTTCAGCCTAGCGGAATTGCCGATTTGCTCAGTGACGAAAAAGATGGCCAGATGCCGAAGCCAAAGATTTACCTCCTGAGGAGGATGATCAGTTCTCAATCCCCCTTCGCTCTGACATTGACGATCGTTGTTCAGCAAAGATCCCCAAGACGCGATCATTGAAGATTTGGAGGGAGGAAAAAGAAACCCTTTGACCTCCCTTCTCCGGGATGCAAACGAGCCACTTTCGCCACGATCTCCATGGCTCCGTACAAGACAAACGGCCACGCTTCTTCCTTATGCGACTCTCCACCAGAAGACGGAAGACGGAAGAGGGTGGGGACGTCAATCCACCCCTCGACCGGCCTCTGGGATCGTTTGTTTGAGGTCCCGCAAGGGCGACGGTCCGTACTGTACTAACCGACCTGGTGTGACCCTCCCGTCTAGACTCTCCAGTCTGAAGTATCAGAGTCGAGGCGCGACAAAAGAGACTTCAAACAGGACAGTCAGCGGGGATCATTGCACTTTCATTTTGGACGGCGGGGGAAAAAGGGAGGAGAGGTGGGGGTGAATTGACTACTCATTTGCCCTTCGCCATCATGTTGATGAGGTTGGCGGATCGGACTTTTGTCCCAGTCTCTCTCCCCCCCCCCCCCCCGGCGACTTTCCGCTTCCGAGAGGATGCATGCAACAGCAAGGGTCTTATGCAAGTCAGCCAGGAGACAGGTCACAAAGAAGGAGAGATCGGAACGATCAACCCAAGAATGAGCCCATCGAATATCCCCTCTGCCACTTGCCAGTTGTGGAGATGTCGTTCGAAATCTCTGTCGCAGGTTTATTTGATCAAAGGCTTCCTCTCGATCATATGCGATCAGTGGACTACAAGGTTCAAGAGTTGTGCTTATGAAAGGCTTCACGAGTGTGGAGGTTGATGTGCTACCGACAGGACAAGTGTCTATGATAATCACATAATGTATTAGAACTATATATATCTCTGTGCCGTTTATACGTACCTGTGTTTGTGCTTAAACTTGCAGGTAGCATCCGCCTCCAGCGGCTGCGGATGAAGTGGACTGGATTGGACTGCTCCAAACGCGAGGTCGAACTGGCATAAAAATTCCCAATCCAAACCATGACCAGGACCGTGGAGTGTGTCCAGTGGACAGTGGACAGTGGACACTGGAGTATTCGCGATATGCGTGGTTGGTTTGAATACTCAATGGAAGAGATGCTGTGTTTGATCGTGATACAATCGCCAACACCACTGGTACTGTAGTAGTAGGCCTAGTGGCCCATTAGATCTTATATTGTACTCTCGCCAGCGTGAATGACAGTGCCCGTCGAGTCACTTTTTCAAGATGACGGCGATGATCTCCGGCCAAAATCATGCCATACATGGAGACAGTCCCCAGTTTGATCCTGTCTAGCATAGTCTCATCTACTGCCCTTGAATGTAGTTGGGTCCGGTCGCGGGAATGGTGGAGGGTTACTCCGGGTCTAGTTCAAGGGCCGATAGATGATGGAAGAATCTACGAGATCCATCCAAGATCCTTCCTAGAGAGGAACAATGAACCAATCCTTCATGCCGAGAGGACGACAGACCTCTCACCCACTGCATCATGGAGAGTTACGGGACACAATACATGCATCACATTGGAAAAGGCCCGCATTTATCTCTCGGGTCGATGAACCCGCCAAACAGCAGAGGATCAGTTTCTCCCGTGGAGACGCCTTGCCGGCCGAGGCAGAAGATATCCACGAGGCATCATCGAAGGAAAAGGTGAAATTCATTCCGTGCGAGATACACAAGAGACCAGAACGCACTACGAAACCTGTCCGCAACAGAAACCCAATCAGATGTCTCTGCACCACCCACGACTATCATCATCTTCTCAGGAGGGAATGTGGATATTGCGGTCGCTCCCTTCAGATCCACTTCCCACTCCACTTGGCGCTCAACGGTGTCGTGTCGTCCTCTTCAGACGCAAAGAGCGGTGCCTGTGCTCCCCGCTGGCACTGAAGGAGGGCAACTCTATTCGAGAGGAAAGTTTATGACATGTGCCAGATGTGGGGAGTGTCTCAGTCTTGGCTGCACTGGCTCGACATGAATGAGGACTGTGTCTTGTGGACGGAGCGTCTGGTGAAGAGACTCGAAGTATATACTTCTGAACGCCTGGAATCCACGCACACTAGGCGGGACGAGGGATGTCGAAGCTTCGAAACTAAGCTTCGAAACTTGCCTGGTAATGATTGCACGCTGCCAACTCACCGGTCATTTGGGAATACTACAAATAGCACCAGGCAGGATATTGTCTGCATACAGAACCGGACTTATGCCATGTTTAGATAGTCACCTTCTTCAGGATGGATGGCATTCTCGACCCATGTGGATCGCCCAAGACTCGGTTTACGCTACTTGAACTGGAGCCTAGTGATCACATCAAATCCTATCTTTGGGCTTTGTTGGAAGCGATAGCATGGGTCATTGGCTGATACAAGGGCTAATCTAGCAGATCTTTAGTCATTTGCGAGAGAAGAACCAGCACCAGCGGCAGGCCCAGCCAGGTGTTGTCCGGGGGGGGAGGTGAGTCTCCGGGATGCATCCCAAAGCCGTAGTCATATGAAGTCTATCGTACGAACTGACAGATCTCGACCTCAACCCATGATCTCAAATTCAAAGCAGTGTCACCTCATGCGGTAGTTTCATGCATGGTGGCAGGAAAGCAACAAAGAACAGGTCCGCTGGATCGGCGATCCCAGTCACCGATTCCCTGTCAGTGTGACCTTCCATGCGCAAAAAGACTGGTCAGATTGAACGGACAGGGCTACATCTGGGACAAAGGAAGTCTGTCCACTGACTCGTACTTCGCTCGCCTCCCCCTTCGTTCCCAACTCCCCAAAGAGAGGATGATAGCACTGGCTGAGCAGGACTGGTCAGACTGGCTTCTTGAGTCAGTTCATCCTCATTTTGGGAACACGGCTCAAAACCTTCCTATCGGATTCTGGTCACCCCTTCAAACCAAACTCTGGAGCTTTCCTGGAAGCCGATATGGAATCATTAGTCATTGCCGATCGGTCAAAGATACTGTTGGAGAAGGCAAGCAGGTCTCAGGCACCGAGATCGAGTGGAGACAAGTACTCTAGTAGTTGGCCAATTCTTACCATGTGCTACCTCGACTCGTCCGGTGAGTCTGGCCTGAAGGATTCTCCCCGGAATGACGGGTGCCACGACGACTACGAGTCTACGACTCTCTCGGTGCAGTACATCTGTGGATGTGGAGACTTTGACAGAGACCGGCAGTCGACCTGTGCCAAACGGGATATTTCTCCAGCAGGTGGGACAAATGTCATGAACAGAACCGTTGCCGCTAGCCGGGTCTCAATTGATCCTTTTTGCTACCACAGTGGAATTCTCTGGGATGTCATCACGTCAGAAGGGGCTTCAGTCACTATGGGATGTAAATCACTGCCCGCTGCTCATATCCACTAGTTTCCGGCCGTTTGGTATGCGTGTGCCGCCACTGGTGTGTTGGAGACGTCGGACATATCCAATCTTGCGATGAAAAGTCTCAATTTTCCGGTTTTCTTTTTTTTATTTGGGAGGTGGGAAAACATGGGACGGGAGGTTTGAACATACTGGACCGAATCTCTAATCTCTGCGGTTCTGAAATTGGAGCTTGGACATTTATAATCCAACTGTTGCACATCCTGGGGATTTCTTTGTTACGCCTGGTCCCAATGAGAAGCCAGACAGTGTACTGGGGAAACCACATCAACACTCAGATCGTTGGCCGATTTCCCTATAGTCGGGTCCTTGCCGGTTTGTCGCCTGCTTTCCTCACACGCTGACTTGTGTGCCTCTCTTTTCAATGCCCTTACGGCTCCAGTCGTCTTTCTTTTTATCCTGAATGAACACCTCCCAGGGTCCTGACTTTCTTTGATTGCCGGACATTCACCACAACCAGCATTCAGCAGTGCACAACAACAAAAATCCCACCATGGGTGACTTTGTGACTGAAGCATTCACCCTGCTGGCTGTCGCCATTGTGATCATCGCACTCCGTACGGCGGCACGATGGATCATGGTTGGGCCACGGAACTTTCAAGCCGACGACTATCTCATGATTTTGGCGTGTGTACGTTCATACGCAATCCTGACTCGAGATGCACACGAGAGAGCTCAAGACTAACTGGATCCAGATTGTATACGGTCTCGAAACGGGCGCTGCATATATGGTGGGGGCATGGTTTCAAGGACTCGCCAACAATGCCATGACAGACGAACAACGTCGGACACTGTCGCCCGACTCTGAGGAATACCGTCTCCGGGTGGGTGGCTCAAAGGTCCAAGTCACCGGCTGGTCATTATATACCCTTTTGCTCTGGCTGCTGAAGACGTGCATGGCCATCTTCTATTCTCGGTTGACGTAAGTAATCAGTTTCACATGTCAACGGGTGGTGTCACAAGTCATGTGCTTTGTGTACACATGAGGCTCACAATAACCTGCAGGTCGGGCTTGGTGAACATGCGAGTCCGGATCATTGTTGCCTACGTCTTGATTGGCGTGACTTATCTCGTGACGATTTGCTCCATTCTCTTTGGCTGCCATCCAATGCACAAAAACTGGCAGATTTACCCCAATCCTGGAAGTAAGTAGGCTGCATGTGATCCGGTCTTGTTGAATCTTGGAATCGATACAATGAAGGCAATGGACGCAACTGACAGCTTTGTGACCTGGTAGACTCCTGCCAACCTGCTGTTTCCAAGATCGATATCTATGTCACTGTGGTGCTGAACGTCACCACCGATATCTACTTGATCAGTATTCCTGCTCCGGTAAGCTGACCCTCCCATTGAGTGATAGTCAACATTGAGGATCTGACAGACGGTACATAGATGCTGTTTAAGGCTCGCCTTCACTGGCGAGAGAAGCTTGAGCTGCTTATTCTCTTTAGTGGCGGCATCTTTGTGATGATGGCGGGTATTCTCCGCTGTGTGCTGATTTTGACGGTAAGCAATCTTGGCGCCCAACCCTTTTGTAACGTGAACCTCGCGACGATCAACAAGGGTCTGACATAGGTCTTTCTAGGCTGGTGCAAATGGTGCCCAACAGGCTGGTAGCTGGGCCTGTCGAGAGACATTTGTTGCGGTGGTGATTGGCAATGTCCCCATGATCTACCCACTCTTCCGTCGTGTCGCTCGTCGAGCTGGCTTGTACCTGAGCTCGAGAGGCGGCGGATCCGCCGAGAGTTATCCGGCCTACCAGTTATCAGAAGGTGGAGAGAGCGGATACGGAAAACGAAAGAAATTTCGTCATCCGCTGTCCATTCCTGGGGACACTCAGTGGAATACGGTCAGTGATGAACAGATGATGCTACCGACTTCGCGCCAGCAGCCGCCCACGTGCACAGCTGGGAGCGAGGGCGACTGGGACACACACAGCCACCACAGCAGCAGCGGAGGCATCAAGGTGGTTCATGAGACGATTATTCAAAGTACCAAGAAGGATTCGCACATGTAAATAAATATTTTGTAATACCGTTCTAGACACCATCTAATGTTTTTGACTTAAGAGAACAATTTCCCAACGCGCACGGAATTGACCTTGTCAATAGTGTCTTAGCGAATCACTAAGGTAAATTGCCTTCCGGTTCCATAGATGGCCCTGAGGTAGAATAGGTACGGTATGCTTGTCCAATAGTGGACGGGTCTCCCTAGGTATCAGCTAGAGCCAATTGCCACCTGCACTGCAAGAGGTATTTCTTACATGATTTGATTTTTATGCATCTATAGGTGGTATCAAGCACACATATTAGTATTGATCAATTGATGATTTGGTGATCTCAAGTAATATTGTGTACTATAGAACAGCCCGATGAATAGAGCGTATGGAACTTTCTGCTCACGTTGATCTGCCAGCACTCGTGCTTTAGATACAACTCTTATCCCGTGCATTTTGTTCCTGCACGTGAAATCACTAGTCTATGTTTTCTTGTCTTGTCGGGTCCAAGACAATGCCTCAGATGTCTCACAAGACGTATCGGAAGAACGGATTCTGCTTATCTGTCAAGTCATCAAAAGCAATCTTGTCGCGCTGGACCTCGTCCAGGTTGACAGAGTCTCGTGCATGGTTCTCGCGTCGAAGGAGAGCGTAAAGTATTCCAGCTGTAGCAATGACGATGCAGTAACTACGTTGGTTGCATTAGTGCTTGTTGGGCAATGTGAGACATCACACTTGGGAACTTACCAGATGATCATCGCAGTCCACAATTCGGGATAATGGCGGGCTTTTGTCTCGCTTCTGATCAGTTGAGGCCCAATGATGTTTCCCACTGTATACGCCACAAAAATTGTGGCTGCCATGATTGATTTCTTGGTAGCACCAGCTACATTGCTTGCCCCGATGGTGATGATCAAGCTCACGACCGGTCCGAAAAATCCAGTCAATGCGTACCCAACCACAGGAACGACAGGGCGATGATTCCACTCGGACTTCCAAATCATGATACAGCCAGCAATGACAGGGAGGCAGCATGCAATGAGCATGGGAATTCGTGTATTGGGCACGATCGTGGGAATGTAGCCACAGAGGGGGATGAATATCACACAGATTGCGCCCACGGGAAACTGAAACAAAATGGACTCAAGAGTATTGTAGCCGAAGGTGGAGACGATCAAGGGTCCAAACCCGGCAATAGCACCGTTGATTGTATATCTAGTCGAAACAAAGGGGTCAGAATGAACTGTTTGAGGTTGCATGGATAATTCAGTATCCAGGATTAGATCATCGTTGGAGAACTCACGCCGAGGCCATCATAACAGCGACCAGATAAAATTTCACGTCAGTCAGAGATTCTCTGATTTGATCCCACTTGATCTTTTGGCACCGAACGCCAGTCTGACCCTTGCGTAACCGCTCAACAGCCACAATTCGCTGTTCTGGAGTCAAGAACGATGCCGAGACAGGCGAATTAGGAAGCGTGCAGCACCACAGTCCAAACACAAAAGTCAGTGCACCGGCTAATATGTAGATATATTGCCATCGGGCCAAGGATCCTGACGTGATCTGACCAAACCCATAATTCAGGGCGCCACCGATGATGGTGAACCAGCCAGTGCCGGAGAACCACCACGCTTGTCGAAGAGCTTGCTCTTCCTGGGTATAATACCCGCTGACGATAGATATGAACCCTGTCGGGATCACACTCTCGATGAATCCTACCTCGAGCTTAGCATCCACTCGATTTCCCACCCATTGACGGGGATCAACTCACCCAAGAAGAATCGCTGCACGAACAAGCCCCTCCACGAGGCAACGCCAGCAGTAGCTGCACAGACGATCGCCCAGACAAGAACCACAGGTCCGAGCACGCTGCGCATGTTGAACCGTTGAAGCATAAAGGTCATGGGGTAAAGACCAGCCAGCATGCCGAAATAGAAAATGGATGTGGCCCAGCTCAAACGGGACGTGTCAACTGTAGGCGGAGATGTGGATCGGTCAACAACCATCAATGACAGGTCTGTCGTCATGCCAAATAATGCAGCGCTCCCCAGGATTGCCTGTCAGATGCAGGGGCAAGTTGGTTAGTCTCAAGCACAGCTTCCGTACTCAGGCAGAGAGGCCTACGTACCTTGTCATAGTATACCATGCCATAACCTGCGGGAACATATTTCGGTAAGCTAGACTCACACAAAATAAGATGGATGACGGTCCGCTGACGGTCAAGTTCTCGACTGACCGATAAGCATTGCTGGCATAAAGTACCAATCGATCTTTTTCAACACTCGCTTCTCGATGACAGGGTCAATGTCTTGAGCCACATCGCTCACCACTGTTCGTGCAGCATCTTTCTCAGAGAGCTCCTTCGTAGCATCATGACCACGCGGGCGATGAAGGTGTATCATGTTAGCTTCAGAGCTGCCGCATATGCCAGGCGGAATATAATCGAAATTTTTTTTCACGGGCGCTTGTATGGGTTGCGGACCAAAAACAGGTGGGACGGTTGATCAGATGTACAATCGTCGATAACCGTCTGATACTGGGCCGTAGGTGACTCTGGCTCTATCTCGAATAAGCCACAAGAGCGCTTTCGTTCCAGTCAAAAATCAGCTTGTCTGACAGAAACCCTTGACACCACGGCGTGAAAACACGAGATGAGTCAGTGTAATCTGCCATTAGACTTTTTCTGCGCAATCCACTTCTACTAAGCAAACAATATTTTGACTTTAGCCGCCGAGACTTTCCACTCACAACTATTGGATACAGCTCCCCTTGCGCCGACACTCGTCACCGCCTGGAGAAAGTCGGGCAGAACATGGGGAGCTCTTCCCCTCCATTCCAAGGCGGTGAACAAGATCAGGTGGACCACGTGATGTCATGTGATGTGTGGAGCCAGTCAGCACGTGACAGTGACCCGCCGTTTGCGATTGCGGACGGTAAGTCGGGATCATCCTGGCAGGTCCAAGTATGAGGTCATCGACTCTGGGCCTCCAAGGACGTATCGTCTCCGGCCCATTGCCTTTCACATGAGAAATCCTTCTCCAAGCATGAGTGACATTCCAACGAGAAGAGGCCCATCGAGTAATTTATGACCGACACGTTGACTAGCCTCGGTTTCAATGGTTCGGTGTGTGACTGAGACGAGACTCTGGCAATTGACCAATGGCGGAAATAATGCCTGACTCGTGTCTCACTCCGCCCATCAAAACAACGTCATGCTTGTCTTGAGGGAATGTTCCGGACCTACAAAACTAGTAACCACGCTCTCCAAGCTTGACTCAGCAGTGGAAAAAACATGTATGTTCAAGGCGATCCACCTCTCCCGGACGCCTTGGTGTCAGCCTGTCCGGTCTTATCTCCGACTGCGATGCCTGTCACCATACGGCTTGAGAGCCTCTAAAGGGAAGCAGTTGAGAAGAACCCAGTCATACTAGGACTTTTGATTAACTAAGAGATAATTAAATTTGGCCATGGTGCCTCCTAATCATCCTCCAACTACATATTTCGACTGTCATTCTGGTTGTCCTTGACTAAACACTGATCATAGGTTGGCATTCCGAAAGTCTCTATCTTGAGTCTGCAGAGCAAAGTGTCATTAAGGTTGTAGCCACCGCCAAGATTGGTACAAGCCTGTGGGTCGATGCAGTCAGTCTGAACTTAAGCACCTGCATGGCGTGAGCAAAGCCTGATTAATCATCCCAAGTCAATCCGGAGACATCCGCGGGCAAAGCTGGAGATTGACCGAGAACGTTAGCCCAAGCCCAATGTCATCATCAATCGACCAAGATCGAAGGCGATACCCATGGGTGTAGCACCGAATTTGTATGAAATAACCGACATGTTTGGATCGATGGAATGTTCAAAGAGCGTAAGTGGCCAGAGGTCAACGGTTCCAAATCCTGAGGCCCACCTCGCAGGTCGAGTTTAAAGACAGAAGAATTCCCAACCATCGACCTGGATATAGATTCATCACATTCTCTATTTCTCTGCCTCGACACGCTCAACTCTTCCACAATTTTAATTCCATCTCACTCTCTGTCTCTCTCACACACACAATCCTCAACCATGCCTATCCAATTCACCGTTTTCAAGGGTTCCAAGGACGGAAACATCGTCGAGAGTAAGACCCAGCGACCCGACCTCAAGGGCGATGACGTTCTTGTTCGCGTCACTCATTCCGGTGTCTGTGGTACCGACCTTCACTACAAGGGCGCTGATATGGCCCTTGGCCACGAGGGTACTGGTGTTGTGGAAGCGACCGGTCCAGATGCACACACTCTGAAGAAGGGCGACCGCGTCGGATGGGGTTACGAGCATGACTGCTGTGGCCACTGCAAGTACTGTTTGACCGGCTGGGAGACCATGTGTCCTGAGCGCAAGATGTACGGTTTGGCAGATCTCGATCAGGGATCTTTCGCTTCCCACGCGGTCTGGCGCGAGGCTTTCCTGTTCAAGATTCCCGAGGGCGTTTCCAACGAGGATGCTGGTCCTCTGATGTGTGGTGGATCCACCGTATTCAACGCTCTCCACGTCGCTGGCGTCAAGCCCACCGCTCGTGTTGGTATCATCGGTGTCGGTGGACTGGGTCACCTCGCCATCCAGTTTGCCGCCAAGATGGGTTGTCAGGTTGTTGTCTTCTCCGGTACCGACAGCAAAAAGGAAGAAGCCATGAAGCTCGGTGCTCGCGAGTTCTACGCCACCAAGGGTTTGAAGGAGTTGAAGCTGGAGAAGCCCATTGACAACTTGATCGTCACCACCAGTGCCCAGCCCGATTGGAACATGTACCTCAGTGTGATGGCCCCCAACGGTGTCATCTCTCCCCTTTCTGTCGACGAGGGCGATCTGAAGATCCCTTACATGGGTCTGCTTCTGAGTGGTCTTCGCGTTCAGGGAGGTATCGTTTCCGCCCGTCAGGTGCACCGTGACATGCTCGAGTTCGCCGCCGCCCACGACATCAAGCCCATCAAGATGACCTTCCCCATGACTCTCGATGGAGTCAAGGACAGTCTCAAGACCCTTGAGGATGGCAAGATGCGTTACCGTGGTGTTCTCGTTGCCCAAGGTCAACAATAATTGGAGTCGCAAACCGGACGCTTTCGGTGTCGGTCAGCGGTAATGTGTAAACAATGAGTCCAAAGGGTGGGAAGTCGGTTCTTATCCATTTTGGGAGATATAATGATGAATGTCATGCACAGCATTTTCTATTCAAACTTCAATTGCTTCATCTCGGTGTTATCTAGTCAGTAGTCAATAGTCAGCCCTGAATACCTCAAAATATGTATTCGTCGCGCATGCCATGGAAAGTCACTGCCCGCCAGTGGAATTCTAGTTGTCGACAGGAGACTCGCGCAGCATTGACGGGCAGGGTGTACCTAACAAATTAGATCCACCGAAGGGGCAATGGGCGAGCGGCTGGAGTATTCTAGGTAGATACCTCGATGGACCAGAAATAGAGCATGTCTTTTGATTATTATGGGGCGGGCGGACACCCGATTCATTTAATAGTGGATGGATTCCCATGATGATGTTACTTTCGTGATAGATCTGCGTACCCTGGGAAGCACGCGCGAGGACCTCGTACATCGGAGAGGCTTGTGCCACTACGCCCATTACTATACAGTATGCACGTACTGGCTTAGATGGGTACCGTACTCCTCTCACTTGACCGGGTCTTTCCAGTTAGTAAACGCTGAACTGGTGTAGTCACTGTGAGAGGTGTATGACCATGCGGAATCTCTGTTATCTTATATCATATTTCCATGGAGAGGTGCTTATGTATTAGGTGTATGGGATGGATAGAAATTTGCATCCATTCGAGTGTTGCCGAGGCAAGCGGGGATCCACTGTCAACGATACTATCTTATTATATCTGATTGACTGGAGGTGCAGAGCTGCCAGAGGAGGAAGAAATTCCGCGGACCACCATTCTCGGCGATAGGCGTTGGCCGCCGTGGAGATTTTGCTCAGTATCAATCGCCGCAGGATATATCTCTGCCTCACGCTAAATATTCGACCAAGTCACACCATTCACTAATGGTACCATGACAACTAATGGTCTTGACTTGCTAGCTTTGACCGTCGCTCCTTATGTAGAAGTGCCTGACAACGATGTTGATCAATCTCGAAACTCTAGCGGAGAGTCCTGCAGTAGTGGGCTTAACTCCGCGTTTGCACGGGCGGTCAAGTGGCCAGCTGGTGCGACGCGGGGCGGAGCCGAGCGAACAGCTCACCTCTTAAAGTTTGTGTGGACTTTGAGCGGATGTCCCATCGAGGTACATCACAAGTAAGAGGCCCCAATGGAGCCAGTATCACATACTCGTTGATCATCTCTGATTCTATGAAGCCCCAAGTTTGCCTTGACAGATGTTATTAGTTTCCCAAATGGACACTGCCCGCATGACCAAACGAATATAAGGAGCGCTGGAAGCTCGGGAGCTTTCACGCGGGATCGATGTCAGTACGCCGGAGGTACATCTGACGGTGGAGGTGAGGTTGTACATGCGACCCACAGTGTTTCCCTCCCCCACTTCCGCTTTCCGAGGCCCTCCTCTCGATCAGCTGCTGAGGTCGTGGGCTTGAATTCCCCAGGAGGTCCTCACCATCACTTCTTTGGTCTCTTCCCTGATCTCCGAGCTTCTCATCTCTCACAAGTAGCCCTTGTTCAATTATCAGTTGTGTCCCATACCTTCATCACAATGACTAACATCAAGCCTGGCGACACTTTTCCCAGTGACGTGGTCTTCCAGTAAGTGCTTGCGATCCTAAGCTCTTCAAGATGCGAGGTTTCAAGAAGCTCACGTGGCCTGGATGCTCCTTGCCATCCAGTGTCTTCATGACCATGTCCTTTGCGAACAGCTTACGCTAATCATCGTCTTATCGCCGCTCAACAGATACATCCCATGGACAGAGGAGAGTGGTGAAATCACCTCCTGCGGAATTCCCATCAACTACAATGCTTCCAAGGAGTGGGCGGACAAGAAGGTAGTCCTCTTCTCGGTTCCCGGTACGGTTCTCTCGCTTTCTTCTCGTCCGCTTTCCTAGCCCAATCACCAATGTAATCCACAAGAGGAACGGCGTGGTTGGCTACATTGGAGCTGACGCTCATTGTCGCCTACTAGGTGCCTTCACACCCACCTGCTCCGTCAACCACGTGCCTGGATACATCAAGAACCTACCCCAACTTCGGCAGAAGGGAGTAGACATTGTCGCCGTGGTGGCTTTCAACGACCCCTTTGTCATGAGTGCTTGGGGCAAAGCGAACCAGGTGCGCGGCAACGACATTGTGAGTATTCCCTGGAGCGCCGCCGGAAGAGCTGATCAGGGGCAGAATATTGGCTGACAGAACCTTTCCCTGCCACAAGCTTTTCCTCACCGACCCCGAAGCACGATTCTCCAAGAGCATTGGATGGGCAGACGAAGCGTCTGGCCGTACCGGCCGCTATGCCATTGTCATTGACCATGGCAAAGTCAGCTACGCGCAGATTGAGACCGAGCGAGGTGCTGTCAAGGTAAGATTGAATCCACCCGGGCTTGTCGCGTTGCCACACAAGTCGCTCACGATCGCTCTCTGCTCTCTAGAAATCTGGCGCCGATGCTGTCCTTGCCTCCTTGTAAGGCAAAGTGAGTTGCATTTTAGTATGATGAGCACAACAACTTGGTCCCCGTGCGCAGTGCACTGCACATAGACTGTCGGCTCGAGAAGATTGTGTAGCCGGCTTGTAATCATTGACAGGGGTCAGTTAAGAGAACGTCTTCGAGAATTGAAATAGACAATGCTATCCTGTTCACCATACTTTAAGACAGTGGAATCGAGACATGTGGCTCTCCTTCCGGTGTGTGTTGTGCCAATCGAGGGGCATCAGGCCTGCCAAGTGGAACAGATGCGAGACGAACGTGAACATGGTGGTGATGAACGACGAGCCTCCACTCCAACGCCCGCCTCGGATTCGGATGATCCCTTGGCCCAGCTCAAGGTGGAGGGAAAACACCGGCCCAGGGTGTCCAGCCATCGTCTGCCTTTGATACAAGTTTGCGGTCGTGGAGATGGAATGCGATCGAGGCAGAAACACAATCCTCGTGCAAAGGCTCTACAGCCTGTAGGACCTTTGGCTTGATACTGTAACAGAGGGCTCTAGACTGCCCTGGAAGCTGGACTGCGTCTTGTTCTTCGTCTGTTGACAAAGCCTGAAACGGGCCCTCCAGTCCCAACAATTGGATACGGGGGAAGTGTGTGTGACGGATTTTAATGACAGACTGCAATTCAGAGACAAGCATCGATACATGGCGTTCTGCGCAGCCTTCGATAAGGATAATTTCAAGCGTTGGAGGTAAGCAGCTCACAAGAGAATGGCTCGGCGGATTCTGATACTGAATATCGAGCAGGTTCGGTAACCGGATGCGAACGTCTTTCAGTGCGGAGAATTCGGCCAAGGACCCAAACCATTCGTCCTGGGTTTGGTTGAGACCGGCCACAGTGAAAGCATAATGATCTCCGTACTGGTCAAGCCACAATGTTTCCAATGATTCTTTGCTGGGCGACAACCAACGTCGCAAACGTGCTGGCTGGAAGCCATGGGATGCAAGATGCTGATCAGAATGCTGATATTTGAAAGACTTCAGGTTTGTACAGCCAAATAACAATGACTTCATCCCCTCATTCCCACAGCTGTTGCGCAGGTCAATCTCCGTGATCGATGGCGTGCTTAGCATCTTTTGATGGAGGCTGTTTGTGGCCGGAGACGTGATCTCCTCTCCTGAGACTTGGGATTCCACGACAGAGTCTGCAACGACTGCACGCATGGAAGGCAATTGCATGAAAGATGATAGGACCTCAGGCTGATTGTGGTCACTTTGCTCCTCGAAGATCTGGCTAGCAGAGTTGTTCTGGTGGAACACCGACACGGCTCGTAGACGGCAAAGTATTGCCTGTGAGGCGGTAGACTTGTCGACGGGATTACCTCGTTGCAAGACACGCGTCAAGTGACGAGGAGATGCAGAGCAAACCAGTGAGAGTTTCTCTAGGTGGCTCAGCAGAGGCAGCACCAAGGCCACCCAGACGTCAGAGCGACCCTGGAGCAGATGATCAGTCCAGGAAACCAATTCTTCGAATGAATGGGTCATGCCGTGGATATGGCGTGTCAGGGCCGGGCATTCGTGCAGCGACGGCCAGTCACTCTGAGGCACCGGGCTTCCTTGCCATCCACTTGCGTCTAGCTCGCGAACTGTGGATGCAAGGAATGGTCTTTGTATGATTGCCTGGAAGAATGAAAGTGCTTGACGCCAATTCCTGAGCCGCACGTCTTGATAAAGGAGTGGACTGAACGCTTGATAGAACTGGTGGGAGACCAGTGGTAATTCGTAGCGGTCACTGTGATCGTTGATGCGCTCCCCGATGAGAGAGAGCACTTCATTTGGCAGCCAGAGTCTCGAAAAAGGCATTGTATCGATGGGATGCTTCACCAAGAGTGACGGAAAATACACGCGCAATCACTGTACTCTTCACCGTCTCCTGATCGCACCAGATCGGAACACGGTACAGGAGCAGAAGTATCTCGATCATCTTTTCTAACCCAACACCCATGCCTTCTCGACTGAGTGCTCTCATCAACGAAGAAAAAATTCGTCCACTCCACCAGAGAGCGGGTCGATCGGTGGGACTCGGCGCTATCTTCAGTGGCTCAACCAGCGCGGGAGTGGCCCAGCGAAAGGTGTTCTGACCTCCTTCGACCCACATTGAAGCACCGGTTCCTGAATTCGTGCCCGAACAGGCATACAAGATTCGCAACTCCCAGATCACATACTCAAGAGTAGACAGCAGTGAACACGAAAGAAAGAAACTCTCAATTGAGAACTTATATCTGATGAAGTGTTTGATGCCCGGCATCTTGAGAGGTAAATGAAGATGGGAAGGCAGAGTAACGGGTCTCGGCTGTGTTGATCGTGGTTCTTGTTCTGCCATCTTACTGTTTCAACTCTGCTCAGGCTCTGAGGCTTCACGTGCTATCCACCTTCGTTAATTTCAAGTCTTTGGTTCCATCTTATCAACACCGAGTTTTCTATATTAAATACCCTGAAACTTATCGGCAGATGTCACTCAGCCGCTACCAGTCGAATCTCAGCCTCTTTTAAAATTGAACATGAAGCATTTTCTTTTGACATCGCAGTTATGAGAGGGGGCTGGAGGGCTCTGGATAAACATGGAAAGGTGAGAGGTGAGATTTGACAAAATGCTGTCGACGTATATGACAAGGATACGGCTACAATGCTAGTCTGCATGCCATCGTATATTGGATCACTGCTGATTGGTTCATTTCATAGAGCTCATCTATTCAATTTCGTATTGCTACTACATTCTTATTAATATGAATCGGAGACCGAAACCAAATTGCATTTAGTACTAATACACACTGCCCGTTGCTGAAAAGTTCAATTGACCCTGTACACCATTCTCCTTTGGAAGGGTTAATGGGCATTCGAACCAGACCACGAAAGCTAATGCAGTCGTGCACACACCTTGTGTATCTCTACCTTGAATAGAAGGCCACGAAATTCATCAACCGTAAAGCGCTTAGAGGTTCAGGCAAGAATACCTAGTATGGGAAAATTTTCCCCTGCACGTGGAACTTGACCCTTATAACCTCATTTCCGCAATGGGATTTCAGAGGTTCTTCTGCTCATTGAGGTCTGAACACCCGAATCACGCGTGCGGATAAACGAACATACCTATCGAGGTTGTCTTCATCCCGCAGGATGTCTGCGGTTGATGCGCATCAGTTTCGGATATACCCGAATGAATGCAATCCACATATATGTCTGCACTTGATATTCCCTTATGAGTGCATGCCTTGGAGAGGCTGCACTATGTGACGGGAGGCGACTGGCCACTTGGAGCACTGACTGTAGTGAGTCTCGACCTCGGCTTCAAGCAAATTCGGGGTTAAAGGGTCTCGTCCGGGGTAAGTGAAGTACCCCGGATTCAAAAGCACACTAGGCGGGAAGCATGCATCGCAGAGAACTAGCAGGCATATAAATGCGCATATTGATCGCGGTACGGACACATCAGAATTAAAGTGAAGTGACTACTTGCAATCACATTGGCCTGAATCTGTTGGATTGAATATTATGCCAGCCTGGACCTGAGGCACATGAGTTATGATTGTGTTCCGTGTCTTCAACCATTCAACTGTCCAACCGCTCAGAATGGATACCTGGTCATCTCGCACGAGCGTTGGCTGGGCTGCTGCTCTTTCTCTAGAGTTACGCAAGTGCCGAGCCAGTGGCTGAGAATCGTTGATTATGGGTCTTGTGCTCAGCAGAGGTAGTAGGTAGTAGTTGTGCTTATTTCGCCGACTTTACACCCTCTGCATTGCAATCGAATCGCTAGCGACCGAGTTTCATCTTCAAAATACCTCGGGAGTCCTCCTTCATCACGGATAATACCGGGCCACGTTCTCACGGGCAGAGTAAATCCCGTAATGAAAGGATCAGGAGTGTCGGGGCCATGACATGGGAGCATTTCCTATCAACCTGGCACCTGGCACCTAGCACCTCCCAGTTCCCTCACAGTATGGCAAATACTCCTATCAGGACATACGATAGTTACAGACGTGCTCCTGTCTCCCAATCTTGACAGGCACACCCACGGACGTCTTCATTCTTGTCATTGCTGTGCTCAGCAGCGGCCCTATTGGGACAAGTGAGAGAAAGAGTACCGACCCGTCCCCTTGGACGGCGATCATTTTTTGTGTGGATACAGAATTTCGCCAGCGATTCGACACGACGTTTTGTATATGACTTATACTTGTAGATATGGCATGTGATACTGCCTTCTCACCGCAATCCACAGCCTATCTAGGATAGAATCTCTCCTAGCCAGACAATCAGACACTCATCCCTCTCTCACGTTCTATGGCTACACCTTCCCCTGTAACTAGAGATTATCAGTACTCAGAGCACCTATCACCTACTATTATAACATGCTCAGCTGAGATTTTGAGTCTATTACGGGTCAGGTGCGTTCCTTTGATTTGGGAGAAAACAAAGCAGACCACTCGAGATCCCTGCGAGGGTCGCGCATTCTTGGCGAAGGTTGCCCGAAGCAGGAACTGCGTTGCAGATCCATCATCTGACGGGTCATTCTACCTTACCAAACGCTTGGATAAGATGTAAATATGACTTGTCCTCTCCATCAACGAGTCATAGCTGGTGGCCTTATTGTGCAGGTGCTCCGCGCGAAAGCACCGCTAGAACACATGGCTCTAGGTCTCTTCCCCGCATTTTTTTACTTCGATCAATGCAAGGATGAGAAAGCTACCTCCCCCATTCCCGCTATGAGAAGGACTGATTCGTTCCCGATACACATGATTGGTGTTCGAAGCTGCGCTACATCAATCCTTTACTTGCACCATGGGTGTAGGTAGTCTACTACGAGACGATGATAAGCTTGACTTTTTTATCACAAGATCCCTGGCTGCCCATGAGTTGGCTGTGCCAGTATTCGGGACTTGAATGAGAGCTGACCATGAATGAACAAGATATGAAAGGGCGGGCCTGGTCATTGCCATGGATACTGTTCGTATTCCAGCCTGGAAAGGGAACGGTGCCCGTTGCAGACATGTGCATATTGTGTACGTTGCGCGATATTCTAAACTCACCCATCTTGGTGAACTGGAAAAGAAGACTTTTAATTATGTCAGTTCACAGGTGAAAGAGCTTCCTTGTTCTGTCATTGGATGGCCATGAGGTCTCTTACAAGCAGACTGTCGATCTCCATCCGTATTTGACTTTTCGCCAATGTTGTAAAGACACATCCATTGCCCTGTTCGGGTCAAAGATCGGCTGTAACGGTTACAGCTTTGAAACGCTCGGCCGTCTATCATCTCATCAGTGTTGCTGTGCCCATGGACGGGTCTAAGCGCGTGGAGAAATTGGTCATCTTCCAGGGCGCTGCCCAGCAAAGATCCCAAGTATATCAGGTAGCGTGTTTGCTACCCAGCGCTCCTTCACGCAGGCGGCATTTCCCTCCTCCATTTGGAATCTACCCTAACGGCGGTTGTCGGTTTTTACATCTTGTACACGCTTCCGTTACTTCTTTCCCATCCATTTCGGTGGCCTTGGGTGTTGTAGTTACTTTCCCGACTTCATCATGGGCTACGTGATCGGAAACATCTATGTTATCACGACAGTGGCCGTCATAGGCGGCGCTCTCTTCGGGTTTGATATTGCCTCCATGTCAGCAATGTGAGTGCACACGATGATGGCTGGCCTTCTGCGACGTTGACAGAAAGTTGCTAACCTTGGTGTCTCATCACCCGCTAGTCTCGGCACACAGCAATACAAGTGTTTCTTTAATCAAACCGGCACTGGCAGCGATGGTTCATGTGGCGGTCCGACCTCCAGCACCCAGGGAGGCATCTCTGCTGCGATGCCTGGAGGCTCGTTTGTGGGAGCACTGATTTCCGGTGTACTGACCGATTGGCTTGGCCGCCGACTGTCGATCCAGACCGGCTCTATCATTTGGTGTATTGGCAGTGCGATCGTCTGTTCCTCCTTCAGCATTGGCCAGTTAGTCGTCGGTCGCTTCATCAATGGACTCTCTGTTGGCATTCTGAGTGCGCAGGTCCCTGTGTATGTTGCCGAGCTCGCTCAGCCCAGTCGACGTGGGCAGGTGGTGGGTGCACAGCAATGGGCCATCACATGGGGCATCATGATCATGTTCTACATTTCCTACGGAAGCAGCTTCCTCGAAGGTAACGCGGCGTGGCGACTACCATGGGGTCTGCAGATGGTTCCGGCCGTGATTCTATTTGGCATGTTCTTCTTGCTCCCGGAGAGTCCACGATGGCTGGCAAAGCACGACCGCTGGGAGGAAGCTCATGAGGTTCTCGCTCTCGTCCATGCAAAAGGCGACAAGTCCGCAATATTCGTTCAGACGGAGCTGTCGGAGATTCGGGAAATGGTCGAGTTTGAGCGCGCCAATGCAGACGCCTCATACGTGGATCTCTTCCGAGGCAACATGATCTATCGCACACATATCGGCATGTTCACCCAGATCTGGTCCCAGCTCACCGGCATGAACGTCATGATGCTGTACATCACGTACGTCTTTGGCATGGCAGGTCTTTCAGGAAATGCAAACCTTGTCGCGTCATCGATTCAGTACGTGATTAATGTTGTGATGACGATCTTTGCACTGCTCTTCATTGATCGCTGGGGGAGACGAGTTCCGCTTCTGGTGGGCTCCACGCTGATGATGACTTTCATGTTCGCCAACGCCGGAATCATGGCAAGCTACGGCAAGCCTGCACCTCCTGGTGGTCTCAACAACACCCCCGAACAGTCCTGGGACCTGAGCCAAGCCCCATCGGCGGCCAAAGGTGTGATTGCTTGCACCTATCTCTTCGTGGCCAGCTTCGCTCCCACCTGGGGCCCAGTCAGTTGGATTTACCCCCCTGAGCTGTTCCCGCTGCGATTGCGTGGAAAGGCCGTTGCTGTTTCGACGGCATCGAACTGGATCTTCAACTTTGCGCTGTCTTACTTTGTGCCTCCAGCTTTTGAGAATATCAAATGGAAGACCTATCTTGTCTTTGGTGTCTTCCTATTTGCCATGACCGTTCATGTTTTCTTCGCGTTCCCCGAGACGGCTGGCAAGACTCTAGAGGAGGTGGACAGCATGTTCACTACCCCTGGATTGAAGCCCTGGAAAACTCAGGTGCGATATCGCCAGGTTCGCCAGCTTGAAGCAGGTAACGTTCAGGGTGGTAAAATGGGCGATTTCCCAGCCAAGGCTGGAACGCATGCCGCTGAGAAGGAAGGCGCAACCGCCGTTCATCAGCATTGATACGGTACGGAGCCTCCCAGCATCGCAGCTGATCTTGATCAGGGACCGGTGGGAAGAGAGACATCTTTTGAATTTCAAATTAGCGCATCCCAGTGGCACTGGAACTGCGGTTTTGGTTCTGCGGTTTTGGTTCTGCGCGTTTCACATATTCAAGTCGGGGATTTTCCAGTCGTGAAGGCGAGCGCGTCAGATAGCTTACATTTAATATTCGTTGGGGATGAGTGAGTCCTCCGTGATCCTAGTTGACATTTCCGCTGTAATTTTCATAACTTGAAGTTCGGGAACCGGCTGAGAGTGAGGAAAATCTTTTTCCCTTCGGGTCCCCGACCGTGCTGGTCGGATGGCGGCGAGGCCGGCCGGCGGAGTCTGTTTTAAATCCTCGAGCTCTGGCTGACTCAACTGCAATTGAACGCAAACCTAAGGTATTACCCAGCCGACAGCAAAGTATATAAATTGAACTTGACCGTAGAAGTGTACTCGTCCATAGAAAACGTCGCACTGAAAGGGCACAAAGCAGTCGACGTTCCAGCGCCATTGCCAACGTAAACCCTGTCATCATGCAGACCTCTCGACTGGAATTGGTCCGACTAGATAAGAGTCATGTCCCTGGCTATCATGCCATCTGGTCGGACCCATTCGCAACACGATGGAGCACTCATGGTCCCTGTGAGACCGTTGAAGCCAGTGAGGAATGGATGTCGGAACTGTTGCTTGACGTGAACCCGGTCGGGGAGAATTATGCTGTGCTGCTTCGGTCCGACCTGGATCAGCCGTCGAGGTTCCCCCAGGTTGGCTCGAACTCCACGGAGGGCTCCGACGCGGTTTCTTGGGCTGGGTGGGAACGTGGAAATCAGAGCCCACGCCCGAAGTGGGTTTCATCTTCCATCGGGCCGCATGGGGGTTTGGCTTCGCCACGGAAGCCCTTCAGGCCTTTCTGGGGATCTTTTGGCAGTCAAAGCCACAGTTTGACATGCTCGATGCCTTCTGCGACACTGAGAATTTGGCTTCCACCAGGGTCTTGCAGAAGTGTGGCTTTGAGCTCATGCAGCGTCTCGAAGGCGATTATACCCTCCCGTGGATGGAGCCCTCTCTTCGACATACCCTTCACTATCGAGCGACCAGGGGGCACATAGGTGAGATGTCTAACCACACAGCCCGTCCAGATCCCCATGAGGCTGCGGGGGCATGATTGATGCAGAACACTCCCTGACTGATGAGGTTCTTCCGCCAGTGGGACGGGACGGCCGAGCGAGGCATTTCCCCAAAAGGGTCTCGTCCCGTGACCGACCTCGGGCTGCATGGGGCCAGACCGCTCCAAACGTTTGACGCCCGAACAAATTGATCTACGCAGGAATGGAACGAAGTACTTTGCAGCTGCCAGTACCTACAGTACTACTATCCAAGTCTACAGTCTACTTTGAGGAGTAGTGGTGGTAGTATTAGTAGTAGTAGTAGTAGTAGTAGTAGTAGTATTTCATCCATGCTTCCTTGTCCGTCCTTGGAGCGAAAATATCATCTCGACCAGTCGACACTCGACTGTGTTTCTTAACCCGAATGGGTATTGGAATGCGCAATAGCGGCAAGTAGTCTATGCTGGCTCACACAAGACCATTCCCGGATTGGCGTTCCAGCGCCACGCTTCCACCTGCAAAGGAAACTGAATCACGAGCGGCCGACAAACCACGGAAGATTCAGCCGACCTGAACTTACTCGTGCGCTTTGCAGGCTAGGTCGACGAATCTTGTCCAATGGGCGGAATCTTGGTCAGCCTGCTCCTGTTGGCGGATCTGTAGATAGTTGTACACAATTGTCCAGGCTCTCACATTTAGCCGGGACGCGGTCTGTGAGTTGGTGTAAGGCAGTGAATTCGCTTGACATGAATGTTGGTACAAGTGAAAGGTCAACAGGCGACAATAACATTAGGTAGTTAATGAATGATCATCATTGACGGCTGTCCTCTTTCTGGAGTTCCCACTAGAGGAGGGTTTGTCCCCAGCTGACAGGCATATTAGCCGCATCGCCTGCAACGGGGGAATTGGCTCGAATGGGATAAGTCAGAATGGGTCCCGTCTGAGGGTCTGGAGTCTGGGGTCCGAAGTTCGTTATCAATGTGTTCGAATCGAGAACCAAGCTTGAAGCCACACTTTCCCGACTGAGACTGTGTCCGGCTCCGTCGCGATTTTACCTCTTTGGCTCGAGGAAAGACTGAGCAAGTTGAATGACAGTCGTGGTCATTCACCTGCACCTGCACCTGCACCAGTGACATTAATCTTGGATTTGTCTGGGGATAGTTTTGTTAAGGCCATCACACATCATTGTGGACCATTGCTGGGAAGGCCCTCTCGAAGACTATGTATCAGTATCATACTCACTCCTGCTGCCTTCATGTCTGGAATGAAACCCACCTGTTTCTTCGTTATAGCGAGCCGTAGCGGAATGGCCTTCGATGCAACACATCACAGGAACCTTGAATCTGAGACGAGTCTCGAGGCCTAATGCATGATCAGAATGTAGTGCCCCATTCACGACCGATGAATGTCTGGAGAAAGTCACGGGGTCCTGGACGAAAGACGGATGAATGCCCGCAGGAGGAAAGTCGACTGCCGAAGGACGCAGGGAGAGGAGCCACCCACCAATGGATGGTCCTCCCAACGACGCCATGAAGACAGGTGAATTCCCAGACGCCTCCAAGAGGGGGGTTATGGAAGAGTCCAGAGAGTTTCCAACCGTCTACCAGGGTAAAGAAGACTGATTCCCTTGCGTTGCTTATCGCCGCGTTCTAGAAAGCTTGTGAAACTCACACTCGCGGCGCCACATAAAATCAAGACTCGCCATCCGGTGTGGAGTACCATGGTGATTGATTCGATTCATGACTCGCAAGCCTCACATTCTCCAACTGCATTTGATTGAGAAGACCGAGAACACTGGGTCCAGATACGAACTCGGCAACGCAGTGAGGGAATCCGTCCCCATCTTGAACACTTCTGATCCTGCTCCGAAACGGCTGCGAGGGCCCCGACAGTGCGAGGATCTATGAGCGGGAGGGTCTCTTCTCCACAACTGCGAACCTTGACTGAAGTCCCTTAATAGTATCTCACCAATGAACGTCGGCGATCGACCAAATTAGACTGTTTTAGATCGTAAGCTTAGGCTGCCGAGCCATGAAATGACCCGCTGCCACCCATCGCAGTCCGATTTAGCCTATAGAGCGCTGACCATGCCCAGTTCTAACCACTCAGCTCAGCTGTCGTCTCTCATCACACGCTACCGATGTCCAGGAGACCGGCTCGAAGGTGTTGGGGAGTGTTGGAGAAGATATCGTGGTAATTAAAAGGCCTTGGGTCGCCCCCTGATTTTATGTGACATGTGAATCCTCTCGCTCGAAGATTTTACCTTTCGAAGTTGCCTAGAAGCTGTTGTCAGCTATTCAAGATCAATAAAATGGTTGCGGCGGCGAGTCATCAAGCCCTCTCGCAGCGACGCGCTCAGCTCGCTGGGCCGGCCGGTGTCAAGGGCCTGGTCTCCAATCTTCGAACTCTAGCAATCGCCGTCTTTGCATCCCTCGGTGGCTTCGTCTATGGATGTGAGTTCTGGGATCTGGCAATGTCGCCGTCTGACAAGACAACTAGACTTCTCCGGTGGACCGACTGATACGTGATACAGACAATCAAGGAATGTTTGGCCAGATCCTGAACATGTCCTCTTTCTCCAACACGGTACACCCGGAATCTATCTCCGATACGACGACCAGAGGACTTGTCACGGCGTACGTTGCACTCACATCAACTACCCTTCTGGCAGGGCTTCCTTCCGTACTGACGGCCGACTGTTTAGCATTCTAGAACTAGGAGCCTGGATCGGAGTGCTGGTGAACGGAGTCATGGCCGACACTCTGGGACGCCAGCAAGCGACTGTCTCCGGAGTCTTCGTCTTCCTCGTTGGCGTGATTGTCCAAGCTTGCGCGAAGAACGTTGACTATATCTTCGCTGGGAGGTTTGTCACTGGTATCGGTGTTGGTGTTCTGTCTATGATCGTTCCTTTGTGAGTGGTGCTTCCAAGATCCTTTACTGCGGTGTACCCTTACTGACCATGACCGAACTTGCGCTCTTCTTTCGATCAGGTACAATGCGGAATTAGCACCTGCAGAGCTTCGCGGATCCCTAGTTTCCCTTCAACAGCTGGCGATTTGCTTTGGCATTCTGATTTCGTATTGGATCGGTATGTGTGACATCCCACCGACTCACAGTCCGTGGCCCATGATGAACTAACAGACTTTGAGGCTACGGGACCAACTACATTGGCGGCACCGGCTCCACACAGAGCAATGCAGCCTGGCTGATTCCCATCTGTCTTCAAATCGCGCCTGCTATCATTCTGGCTGTGGGAATTCTTTTCATGCCCCCAAGGTCAGCATGCCCTCTCATGACGACGAAAGATGATCCCCTGCTTACATGCGCTTAAAGTCCCCGCTGGCTCATGGTCCAGGGACGTGAAGACGAGTGTCTTGCAGTGATTGCGAGACTTCGTGGGCTACCCAGTAGTTCCGAGCTCGTGCAACTTGAGTACCTCGAAGTCAAGGCACAAGATCGATTCGAGAAGGAGACCTCTCTGGCCAAATTCCCGCAATATCACACCCCAGGGCGGATGAATAAAATCAAGCTCGGTTACCACGAATACCTCAGCCTTCTCACCAACCGATCTCTCCTCAAACGTGTCATGGTCGCAGTGTTTATCATGGTCTTCCAGCAGTGTGAGTAGCGCCCCGGTGCTGTGAGTCCAGAGCGATATGATCTTTTGATTCACTAACGCCCCTGGTTGTCAATAAGGGAGTGGTATCAATGCTATTTTATATTACGCAGCGGTCAGTAATTTCCTTTCCCGAAAGATTTCGTCTCCCACTTGGACGACTCATTGACGTCTTTTCTGCCTCTAGTTCATTTTCAAGGACCTGGGCATCAGCAGCAACACCACTTCTCTGCTCGCTGGTGGAGTTGGCGGCATTTTGCTCTTCCTTGCCACCATCCCAGCTGTCCTCTACATCGACCAACTGGGTCGAAAGCCTGTTCTCATCACCGGCGCCATCGGTATGGGAGTGTGCCACCTCGTTGTGGCGGGGCTGGACGGCGCGTACAATACGAGCTGGAAGCAGCACGCGGCTGCCGGGTGGGTGGCCGTCGTCTTTGTCTGGCTTTACCAGATGAATTTCGGTTACTCGTGGGGAGTAAGTGTGACAGTGGAAATCCTCGTCGTGAAAATGAAACTAATTGATTAAACCACTGCTAGCCCGGTGCGTGGGTCTTGGTGGCCGAGGTCTTCCCATTGGGAGTGCGAGCAAAAGCAGTGTCGATTGGCGCCTCATCAAATTGGCTGAACAACTTCGCAGTAAGTGTAGCGTCGCCGACAGCTGTACATAACAAACACAGCCACTTGACCACTCACTGACCGCTTTTAGATTGCCCTGGCGACTCCGAAGATGGTGGAGAAGATGGGCTATGGAACCTTCATCTTCTTCGGGGCGATGTGCTTTATTGGGGCGGCCTTTATCTACTTTGCCGTCCCCGAGACCAAGAACCTGACTCTGGAAGAGATGGACGAGGTGTTTGGTGATGAAGCTGGCAATGCGATCGAGGACCGAAACCGTCTTCTGCACATCTACACGGACCTTGGTCTGATTGGCTCAGAGACTCCCATTGAGAAAGTTGAGAATGTCGAGTTCGAGGCGAAGTAAGTGTCCGCGGAAGGCACCAAGGTTCTTTTCCCACCGTCGAGGTGATATGGATACGAGCACAGGGTGACAAACTGATTACTACCTATATTTGATGATACCTCGATGGTGATTCCGCAACGTTTAATGTCCCGCGAGCCCGTTATTGTGGTTGGATTTGATTCATTGGTAGAAGCAGCAAGGTTGATCTTCCTCAGAGGCATTCTAGCAATAGATGTGAACTAATCGGGAAGAACCGTCTGATCTGATTAAACCTCAACAGAAGTTCAACAGAGGATCTTGAGGTCCTAAGTATTCGCGCTCCTTCTGGTGATCAAGTACTAAGGTACAGAGTAGTTCTACTGAGTAACTTACATACCACCAGGTACCAACGACTTGCCCCATGACTGCCAGGTGCTAAAGTAAGGTACCCCTAGTACTTTCAGTTCTCTTCCACTGGAACGGAAGCGGTCAACACGATTAGCTAAACCCGGCCCTGAGGTCCACCGTCCACCCGAGCAGGTACCGAATGCCCGCTGGAAATCGAGAATGTGCAACCTGCAACCTAAAACATACTACCACATGGAAGAAAGGGGCGAGCGGAAACACCACGCCATTCATCAAAACCGACACCCGGCAACCGCGCAGAGATAGGAGTGGGAGCTGTCGCTTGAAAGAAATGACTTTTTCCCACCTTCCTCGTCGCTTTCTTCGCGCCTTGTCGCCATCTGCTAATTGAGATCTCGGGTCTTTGGGAAGCTTGGGCGTTGTAAGAGTCCAAGCCTGGACCCACCCAGAGCGTCGAGCTTTTTCTTGACAGTTCCAGCTCGGACATCTGCGTCGCTGCAATAGCCTCACTTGCATGACAAGGCTGCCGAAGATTAAAATTTGAGGTCACCACCTTCCGCGGCTGACTTTGCTACCCACGCGAGACAAAATTTCCAGCCAACCTGGACACCACCTCGGCACGAGTCACCGTCGTCGTGAACCTCTTGTGGACCGCCCGCGCGCCATCTATGGCGAAGCCGCCAATGACCGGTCATCCTCGCCAGGAACGACATGTGGCGGTGCGCCCAGCCCCACAATCTATTAGACGGCGGAAACGATAGATCTGTATGCGAGGTCATGGTTGACGAGCTCCCAAACGCAAGTGCGACCAAGAACCGGCTACAGACAGCTTTGACTTAAGTAGATGCCATTGTCGTCTGATCAAGCGAGGAGCGTTACGACTTTCGTTGACGGTTCTCAGCCCCATACACTCCTTTGGACTTCGAGCTAGATCTTTACCGCTGCCATTAGGGGTTTGACGATTTCACTCGTTTCATCGGTCATTTGTCTCCATGGCGTCGCTCGTGAAGTCGCTCGCGGCCACATGGCTTCTTGTGGCCGCACTGCCGCATCAGGTCGTCGCGCAGTCCAGCGATGGAACAGCGGACAGCAATGGTTGCACTCGCTCTGTCATCAATGGCTTCCAGAATCCCTCGTTTGAGACTGGAGATATGTCGAGCTGGACGCAGATGTCTGCCCGCAACGTCCCATTGACTGGCGAGGTTTTACGAGGGGGTGCAGAAGATGGAGACTATTTCTAGTGAGTACCATCTCCGCGTCCGCTGAACTTTGGGGAATAAACAGAGGCTGATTTTGGTCTGCAGTCGGGTGCAGCCGACGAACATCTGGTCTTACCTGATGCAGCCGGTCACCGGGTTCGATCTGACCTCCACCTACACGATGACGGTCTCTTATAAGTTCGAGCTCACCGGCCCAGCCCCGGCCCTCCCCCAGTATAACTGTTACCTCGGCCTGGGTCTCGACGGCTGGGGTTTCTGGCCTGTACCCCAGAGGACGACTGTCCTCCCGTCAGCGCACGGCACCGATCCCGACTGGTCTACTTATACCATATCATTCAAGCCCAAGGCCACATCGCAGTTGGTTTACTTCGACTTCGCATGTGCGGACAGCATGGTCTTAATGAGCGTCGACAACTTCCAGTTATCGATGGGGGAAATTGAATCTTGTCCGGTCTCAACACCGACCGTCTCGCCAACTTCGGTGTCTTTAACTGCGGTATCCACTCCAGTCGCTTCGTCGACAAATGTGATATCTCCTCCAGCTCTGTCCAGCAGCACTGCAGTTCCTAGCAGCTCTGCAGTTCCCAGCAACTCTGCAGTTCCCAGCAGCTTCGCAAGTTCCAGTGGCACTCAAAGCTCCATTATGCCCAGCAAGCCAGCCACCCCCCCTGTTTTGACTCCTAGCGTCGGTTTGTCTTCGTCATCGGCACCTGTGAAGATTTCTGTCTCGACCCCACAATCAGCACTACCGGCGAGCGGTACGATTGTGATCAACTCATCGAGTGCTCAGCCCTCTTCATTCATGACCAGGTCATCTTTCACTGTGATGAGTGAGAAAACGCCAATAAAGACCCCCTCTACACCATTTGTCTTGCGTCCAACCCCCGCGTCCTCGTTCATTGTCAGTACCAGCCAGCGGACATCCCCTGTCGTCTCACTTACTACTTCCATCATCCTCTCTACGCGTGTCTCCACCATCACTTCTTGTCCAACTGCCCAGCCCCATTGCCCTGTCCAGTCCCGCACCACTTCCATCACGACTGAAACTGTCGTCGCATACACCACAACTTGTCCCGCGAAGTCCACTCAGAGTGATCAAGCGCCATCAACAGAGTCCACGTCGAGCATCTTCTCGACGCGTTTGGCCACTGTTACCCGCTGCCCGGGGCATTCCAAGTACTGCCCACTACCTCAGAGAAAGACCACCATCACTACGGAGACCATCTTGGTCTCCACGACTGTTGTCCCTGTCGAGGCCACGCGTACTGTCACCGCGACTGTGTATGTAACAGCCGCAGCCCCGGAGATGTCCACTCACACGACCACTGTCTTCGTGACGGAGACACAGATCGCTTTCGTGACTTCCTGCCCTGGGGTGTAGATGGAGATGAGGAGCTTTGTTTATCTTAGCCCAGTCTACCAATTTGGTAGCCATCCCCCGAAGATCTCGATCCGCCGGAATTCTTGGGGAATTTACTGTGGACAGCAACGACAGGGCTTCTCCTACTCATTCTCCAACGGCACGCTTCACGGCCTCTCGAATTTTCACGTTTATGGTTGTACATAAATTTGACCGCATTCGATACCCGTCAGGTCCTCTTGATTGCCGAGAAATACAGACTCTCCCGATTACCGAATACCACGTAATGCGCCTACTCTACTTGGCGACGTCGCAGGCAGACAACAAGTCTTGGTGATGCTAAGGAGCTTACTTGAAATGACTAGAGTGTAGTAGATTTGACGGAAATCAAGACTTGAAAGTGACATTAAGGAAGAGTCTCCGATTGACGTCTAGGACTGCCAGACCTACCTAGTTCGCGTTGGTGCGGCAGCCATGACTGAGTGAAAAACAGGCGTACAGAAGAAAGAGCCCGATGAAGAGAGACGCGACGGAAGTACGATCCGCATTGGACTGTAGTGGTGTGGGAGTAAAGACACGGAAATCATTCATTTTAGTGCCTGGCTGCAGGTGGCTAACTTTAGCCTCTCACTACGCAATATTCACCGATTGACTTCTCGTGCGCTTACCACACTGCCAGCCTGATGTGGACAAAGATCTCATGAGGTCTCCCGGTCCAGTAGAAAGGAAATAACCACCAACAGAAACAAAAGCATTCACCAGAGACGCGATGAAAAACATCCATGAATTTCACGGAATCACCTGGTAGGAGTTACTAATACCAGATGATGAATCACCGTCTACATGAATACTGGGTACTAGTAATGCAATTCAACTCTCCCCGCCCTTCATTTCACCACATGTGAGATGGATGATATAGCACAGATCAGGACCTACCTACCATGTTCGTCGTTCCATATTTCCAAATCCATTGTGAGAGAGCCTCGAGAGCCTGGAAATGTCGGGACTGGCAAAGCGAAAATGATGTATCGGCTGTCAACCCACCAAATGAGGACAGTTACCCGGTATAGGTGACGCTACGGAGCTTCAGTGGTCCACTCGCCTGGATCTTTGCCGTATGATGACTGATTGTCAATACCAATTACATAGCTTCAGGTGAAGCCGATGTCTTCATCGTGCAGATGAGGTCCCCAATCGATTACGTCGTTGTCAGACCGGGCGCGCTAGGCCCCGTCGAAAATCAAGTTCCCCGCACAGGGTCCATCCTCCGCTCTCGTCCACACCCACTCCCCAGATTTCTCATCTCTCGACCATTTTCTCATTCCGGGGAAAAGGTCGTTTGTGGGGGTGCAGACTTTCAAAGAGGCTCTACGCAATTGGTCTCCGCGTTTCGATGGGTCGCCACCAGTCCAGATCCACCTGAGTCATCTTACGATGATGCTGACCGGTATGACCATTGTCACAGTGTCTTTGGTCCTCTCAGCAGGCAGCTGCCAGCGTGAGAGTCCAGTCCACTGCACAGCACGCACCCCGATTGTGGACATCGAGTCATGGAGCCGAACAGGCCCACCGCCAAAGAACGGCAATCATTCGAATTTGCCCTGGGCTGTCCACGCCCATGGAGGTCATTGCCCGGCATCATGCAGCCGAACGCGGGTGGCTTGGGGTTGGGCGCAGTCACCAGCAAAGCTTAAAGGTCCGATGCAGTGGATCCATGACGCCAACCAACAGCGCTTGGATATCAATCTTACAATCTCCACCAGTCTCTAGTGCGAGGTCGATTCCAATCAAGCGCTGAACGTGGAATCAAACTAACTACAAATGCCCCAATGATTTGCAGCTGACACCAGAACTTCGGATCAGTAGATGTAGGCGAACAGGTCAAAGCTGCACGATGAGAGTCTGACTGACCCATTTCATGAACATCCTGGGCCGCTGAACCAAGGCCGGCTCTCACGTCATCGTTCAGCTGCTAGGGTCAGTCTTCCGCGCTGTCGTCCCCTAGCGAGGTAAGAAGCTCAAATACTTTGTACGCGCTCCCGAGATTTCAAGTTTTTCACTTCTGGTTCGTCTCATTGTTAGGCCTTTATCATTGAGTGTATGATCGCCATCGCAAACGAGCGGAATTAACCAATATGGAGAATGAAAAACATCAAGACTTTCACGAAGAATCCACTGGTGATGGAGTCGGCAAAAGAAACCCTGTCTCTGACGAGAAGGCAAATTCAGAATGGGCTGAAAACACCCGACGCGAAGAATCAGCTCGAGGCATCTTCGACTTTGACGAGAGTCAGACAGTCAGTGGGAAGTTTGAGAATCCCCTCGCAGGTATCCCCAAGGCCAGACTCTTCAAAGATGTCGACAAGTTCTGTCATGACTACGGCTTAATGGATAAAGTCGAGATGATGCGAAAGGGTGCATTGGTCGCACAGTCCCCTCTGTCATTTCACGAGATCGAGGAGCTGTCGGACGAGGAAATTGCCATCTTGGAGCATGAGAAAGCTCACAAATGGAACCAACCATGGATGCTTTACTGGCTCACAGTGATGTGTGCGATGGGAGCGGCAACCCAGGGCATGGACGAGTCGGTCAACAACGGCGCAGTGGCCTTCTATCCAGATCAGCTCGGCATCAGCAAGCTGAGTAATGCCACCTGGATTGAAGGGTTGGTCGTAGGTGCTCCATATCTGGCCTGCGCAGTCCTGGGCTGCTGGCTCAATGAACCCCTGAACTACTATTTTGCTCGCCGGGGTACAATCTTCATCTCTTGCTTTTTCGCCGCCTGGGCCTCCATTTGGGAGGCATTCACCTACTCCTGGCCTCAACTGTTTGCTGCTCGATTTGTACTCGGCTTGGGAATTGGCGCCAAATCTAGCACCATCCCAGTCTACGCTGCCGAGTGCGCGCCGGCACCTATCCGAGGTGCCCTGGTCATGCAGTGGTAAGTTCATAACTCGATGATCGCGTTAGTAGAGATCCTGGAAAACTAATCCACGCTTCCACCGCAGGCAAGTGTGGACCGCATTTGGCATTATGCTTGGCAACATCATGGGTGTCGCGTTTTATTCCCTAGGCCCAGACGTCGGCTGGCGGGTCATGCTTGGCTCCAGTTGTGTGCCACCCCTCTTTGTCATGGCACAGGTGTTCTTCTGTCCGGAATCTCCACGCTGGCTGGTCGAGAATCACAAAGTCGACAAAGCATATCGATCGTTTCGCCGCATCCGCAACACTGAGCTCGAGGCATGTCGAGACCTATTCTACACCTACGTGGGAGTTGAGATGGAACGAAAAGTCAACAGAGGAAAGAACTTCTTCACAAAGCTGGCCGAGCTGTTCACTGTTCCTCGAAACCGCCGAGCCACTATGGCAACGTGGATGATCATGTTTGGACAGCAATTTTGTGGGGTCAATGTAAGTTGCACACGGGGACTGCTCAGTCTAGAAGGCTATGTGACAATACTCTTACGCCGTCGATTTCCAGGTCATTGCGTACTACTCAACCACTATCTTTGTGCAAAGCGGATACTCGCATCCGCAAGCCCTTCTATTTTCAATGGGAACAGGCATCTTGAACTGGGTCTTCGCCTTACCGGCATTCTTTACAATCGACACATTCGGAAGACGTTTCCTACTCCTGGTGACATTCCCGTTCCTGTGCATCACCCTGCTATGGACAGGCATGTCATTCTTCTTGCCTGAGAACACGACGTCGCGAACTGCTATGATCACAACAGGCATGTATCTCTATGAAGTGTTCTATTCTCCGGGCATGGGCCCGGTACCATTTTCATACTCTGCAGAGTCATTCCCAATCCAGGTCGGTCTCCCCCTCTTTTCTTTACGATACTCTCTCCTGACTGATGAACATCAGGTGCGAGATGTCGGTATGGCGTCCGCAACCGCCGTACTCTGGGCGTTCAACTTTATTCTCTCATTTACATGGCCCGCTCTCGTCAAGGCGTTCCAGCCTCAGGGGGCGTTTGGCTGGTATGCCGCATGGTGTGCGGTACTGTGGCTACTAAGTAGGCTAACCTCCCGCCCTCCATTTTTCGTGACTATTGACATTGACTTGTTTTAGCGCTTCTAATTTTCCCCGAGACAAAGGAGCTTACACTGGAGGAACTCGACGCGGTCTTCAGTGTTCCAACGCGCAAACAAATCGCTCGCGGGATGCGCGAGCCATTCTACTGGGTTAATAAGTATATTCTCCGCCGCAACGTGGAGCTCCCTCCACTGGTGGACATTCAACAACTGCGTGGTAAGCGGCAGGAAGCGGGTATGGTTGCCCCTGCCTGATTTCAGGAGGTTGAATCTGTCCTCGTACACTCTGGTTTCGGAGCCTTTCGGGCTCAGTGCCTGAGAATCCTGTGTAGATGGCCTACATGTTGAGGCCTCTCCAGACCTCTTAGGCGGAAGCTATGTCAAACTGTATCTAATTCTATGCGCATCCATTTTACGTCTGCACCCCTCACGTAGGTAAATACTTGATATCAGTGCTCTTGCTCTGCCCGAGATTACGTGTTCGCACCCCTTAACTTTTGATGCATTGTGTTCTGTATGGGGCGAGGGATAGAGAGAATCTTCCATTATATTTCATATTTCAATGTTTAAGACATTTCCGCAGTAGGTGAGGACCTATTCACGAAGACACGAAAGAAGGGGTGTTCTAGATGTTCAATCTCCTATGGTAACGGCTGTACAGCCCATGACCAAGACTCTCATGCGATTGAATACGCGTAAAACCCCCGCAGCAGTCTCGCTTTGAAGGGAGACGCGAGTGAATGCCGCATTATGACCGTGAGCGTCACGACGCAATTTTGGCCCCAGTAGCCTTCAGAGGTTGAAAGTGTGGGAGCCAATGTCAATGGTAGACACAGCCCAAGTCTTACCACCATCCTTTGTTGTCAGACCGCTTGAAGTGGCTTCGTTGATAGCGAGCGTTTTACCAAAGGCTGGATCCGCGGAATCCAATATGATCGTAGTGGCCAGGTAGCCTAATGGAAATACCTGCCAGTTAGCCATATAACAAATAACTCAAGTCAGTCCTTTTGGAGTGTCATTGCTTACGATGAGCTGGCACATTGCTCTTACAGGCCTTTTCCTGACACTCGACGGCTGTACCCCAACCCTGAGCATGCCCGTCATCTGTTGATTTGTGTTAATTCCAGGATATCAAAAAATTGGTAGAGGTTTGACGTACTGGTGGAGAGGGTAGAAACGACAACGCCGTTGATGGCGACAGTTTGGTCGTAATTGCCGGTGAGATCATTGTACTTGTCTGTCCGAAGCGTTTTAGCATGGTCTAATATCGTCGCTTTGTGCCTGATCACCAATACTATACATACAATGCATCGTCAAGTGATCACCAGGGTTTGCTGGAACTTGCTTTCCTCCTAGTTGTGAGCCTGCGATTATGTTAGATGGAGTGGTATATTGAGATTGGGTCATTCCTGGAACTCGCCCTTCAGTGTGCTTGCCCAAGTGCACCATTGCCCAACTCGTGCAGCGCAATTTCTATTGGGATTCACAGCGTCATCAAAATGATAGTAAGAGTAAGCCATTATTGCGGAAAGGAATAACGAACGCATTTGGATCGGCAAAGGACACTGCAAGTGCCTGAATAAGGTCTCCACCATCGGTACCCATACCGGGCCACAGAGCAAGGCGATCCGCTCGGGGCGATGGAATCGCTGGTAAGACTAACGTTGTGGTGGACTCCCGGATCCAAGACGAGGTAGAAACAGGGCCCAAAGAGAAGTATGGCCCAAAGCCAATGGCTGTCTGAGCACTGCAGAGCTCAAGAAATGCCAGAGCGAAGGCAATAGTGCTGTTGATACTGAGCATCATGAACGATTACTGGAATATCGACTAGCTTAACAACTTTCCCGTGAGAGCTGGACCGGTATTTAAGGAAATGAAGCTTCCATGCCTTCGCTTTGTCAGAGTCAAGTCTGTGATCTCCGAGGGAAAACGTGGCACCCGGCCGAGGAGTCTACAGTTCCAGTTGCTTAGCAAGAACTGAGCAATCAGTACGTCAATAGATAGGTACATGTATAGCCCTGCAACCTGATATCCTCGACGGGCCCCGCATCGAGATGGATACCAGCAGCGGTTTCAATCGTGAAACACAGTGGGTATGACTAATCCGTAAAGGGGAAAAATCAATATCCCACTCGGTTTCAGATTGAGGTTTTCCACCTGATGGATTACATGCCTTCAATGTGTGAGACAAGGTTCTTCACAGCCAACATACCCCATAAAAACGTAGAGCTCCCTCTAAGATTATGGGTCAGACATGACCGTAGCAGATAGATATTTTGGTTCCGTCTGAATAGAGACCGAAGTAGCCGGTATGGCCACGCAAAATAGACGGGACACACGGACGGGGTGGGGTCGCATGTCATTGTTGAAGCACGAAGGGTCACATACAATGAACGTCAAGGGTGTAGCTACCAGGATGGCTTGATAAAAATTCTTCCAGCTACATGCGGAGCTCCCTATCACCTACCTAGTTGAGAAAATGTTTCGTTGTGTTTCAAGCGTGCTCGGACATCCGCCACGTCTCCCATTTCTGACAAGCAGATACTCCACCTCATCGAGTCACTCACGCCGAAGTCTGAGTGCCACGGATGTATTTGCTCGTACCAAATTCGACACGGAGATACCTATGACATAGCAGCAAATTTAAGTGGACTACATTCACGGAGCCCGGGCATCAGCGTATAAGAGACATGAGCGGTAAACCCCGCCAGGCCGTTGGTCGCCATCACAGTGTCTGGGGTAGTTCCCATTACCAGTGTTAGTATGATACTGTAGGTGATCCTGCCGCTCACCGCAGTCCATACTCAATAGTCATAATACAACCTCTCCTCCGTAGCAACTTGTGCATCTTACCTTCATTCCTCCCGTCTCACGCAACCTGCAGTTCCACCTATCTACTGGTATCCCAACTGGAACCCATCAATCAAAGTGATTGATGAGTCACGAAGCTTCGTGTTGAGTGTGGAATTCATACGACATTATAATTTGGGTGTAAATGCGCTGAGCTCCGCTGGCCAAAAACAATCAAGAAGGCACATCCATCCATTGAATTCAAGTCACAATTCGTCTCGTGTCTAGTGATCAAAGCACGGTCTTAACAGAGCCATTCTGCCATAAGACACGGGGGAAGCTTTGAAATATAGGATCAATACTCCAAGGCCGTAGGCTGAGGCCGATAGTAACCACGTCTTGTTGCATCGGAAGTTTAAAATGGGAACCTGACATTTCGCTTTTCAGCCATCTCAGGATTCTCTCCGTATCGTTCTACCTAGATATCCTGCCCCGTGACCAGCACTCAAGTCTCCACTGGCCTTCTTAAAGCTAATGAATCTTGTACAAGATTTCTGGTAAATCGTCCACTTTCCATTCAGTATCGGAAGTTTTGAAAGTACAAAACATCTCTATCACCGTATCTTTCTATTTAATCTTGTCATCTGTCTGCTATCGATTTCACGAAAACGAGATTTAAACTCTCAGGTTCCTTGTGACAGAATTGAGTGAAATCAATTTCATTATCAATGAATGTCACAAAGTGTGTAAGGTCGCTTAGTGGTTCGCTAACAAATAGCTCAGTATAGCCATAGCCAAATCGGCTCAAATCTGCCATTTTTGTGCTTTAATTCTAATTCAGTCGCTGGAAGTATACATTTCATGTCCGAATGGATTGCCGTGCGGTATATGAAACACCATTTCCGTGAGATAGACTGATATTGAGATCGCTCGAGGGTATGCTTGAAGTTTGTCTACCTGTTCAACCCCCGCTTCAATTCCACTTTAGCGGCGAACCAGAGTCATGAACCGTCTGTCTGGTTGTAGACTTGCCAACATAAGGTCCGCCAAATCCCATGAAATCTCCTCTAGCCCTTGGTAACGGGTCTGAGAACTGGTGTTATTCGGGGGACCTTGCATGGTTAGGTAAGTATAGGAGGTATGCATCCAAAGTCTCTTGGTCCGGGAACCGGAGTCATCAATACTTCACTCGACTACTAGTAGAGGCTACAAAACTACCTAATATAGAGTCTCCTGGGCGTGGTATATTCTGAAACTCACAAAATGTGCGCAGAGGGTCACCCGACACGAGACCAAAAAGCGTCCCTCTTGAGCCCTGAACGAAATTGTCTCTCCCGACCCTGGAAAGTCAATGTTCTGACAAGAAACCCAGTAGAGCTTTGTTTGATAATGATATAGAGACCATTGACCTCTCGGGGGCGACTTACAATGTAACTGGATATGATATAGAGTGAATCTCGACTGATGGAGCTTGACATAAATTACAGGGCTTACCGATAGGAGATTCCTGCGTCTGTGCTTGTCAAAGCTTGAACGAGAAAGACGGCTAGGAGAGCAAGTGAACTACTTCGTACTTCAACAAAGACGACACAACTTGCCCTGTCGCCTAACCTCCAATGGCACAAGATATAATTACTGACATGCTTGTCTCCGTGCTTGTCTCTCTCCATCGTATGATTTGCTGAAATCGGGGCGACAAATGAACGTCCTAGAAAATGGGCCTCTGAGCTCTATAAATCATTGTTGAAAACATTGTCGCGCTTGTTGTGCCCATGAGGGCTGTTCTAATGCTGGGGGCCGTGCTAATCTTCGGGGCCATCCCCCCCTTGGGGGCTATTCTGATCCGGGGCATATGGTGCTGATCTCGGGGGCCGCCCCGGTTTGGCCATTCCTATTTGTAGATGTTGACCTACAGGAAGGGAAAAGGAAGGTGAAAACACAACTTGATTGGTGTAGAGGAATGAGAAGGAAGAGAGGCTATCTAATGTGCAGGTTTGTGAGTCGGTGGTGAGACGGCAGAATCATCCAAACAATTCCTCCACAATTTGAGCCACGTGGAGAATATCTTGATGCCTGTCTGCATCGCGAATCACGATGCTTGTAAAAGCAGAGACGCTGTCAAAATGTAAGGTGTGGTCGTGAGCACTGAATGTCAATCTGTTGAATAAGCCCCGAGTTGACGGTTGACATCCAGTAAGCGAACGCTTATGACGCTGATGTCTACCTAGGTAGCACAAGGGGGGTTGGTTACTTCCTTTCCGCCAATGGTGTCTCTACGCAACCAATTCACCCACAGGAGACCTATACCTCCCCAAAGCCCTACAGGGTCGTGAAGATGTCATATTGCCCAGTCTGTCGTGAAATTCGTGTGATCATCCAACATGACATCATCGCTCTCAACACCAAACATACGGCATCTGTTTGTATGACATGTGATTCTGCCGCTCACCACAGTCCATAGCTTAAGTAGAATCTCTCCCCCATAGCAATCTCACTCCTCATCCCTCTCACACATCGATACTGCTGCCCCTACAAGCCGTATCTCATCAGCATCAAATCCTTTGAATAAGTCAGAGGCTATGGTGAATTGGTGATCGGTATTATACGTCACACTTCTCTATTCTGAATGACAAATCGTCATCCTGAAACCAGACCAAGATCATAGAACCTTCTATCCATTCTGAATATAGAAGCTGCCAAAGTTCCCATTATCGAGACACCCTTTGGAGAGCATCAACTTGACCCCGACAACCAAGACTACGATTCCGACAATCACTCTGACTTCTTCAATATCTCACGCACACGATTCTAATATCCTTAAGGCAATAATCGTCAAAAATGTATTTCACTCCTGCTATTGTTTCCGCCCTGAGTCTTGCCTCTCTCTGTACAGAAGCTGTAGTCGAGAAGCGCAAATCGTGGCTCTTTAGCTGTGGTTGCGACTCTCAATCTGACGCGAATGTCAGTGACTGTTAAGCCGTTCTTGACCAGATTGATGTCAAAGCTAATGTAATGGGTACGTGATAGTAAGACCTGGTCGTTCTGTAACACATGAAAATGTCCCTTATTGATGTCTGGTGCTAGACCCTATGAATGCTGTTAAGGTCGTACACACGGGACCCCTCTCCTCCGTATCTGTTATGTACCAGTCTGGAAACTGCGGACTGGCTATCGGAAATCTACAGAACATCAATGGCCCTGGAGGCGTTGGTGGTGGAGTCAGTGGAACGACGATTAGCGGAGCAGACTTCAAAGATCTTATGACGTTGATGCTTGGTTGTCACGACAGCGCAAAAGGTCTGGTTAATGTATGTCCGTCCGTTGGGGCTGGTAACGCTATGATGATGAAGGCTGAGGGTATTATACTCCTGAGTTCCAGCCGCCGAAAGATTCACCGAGAATGGCGCCTGGTCTATTTCGCATAATTCCGGCGGATCAATCCTGTTTTCTTTTGCGGGAAAGATCAACAGCCTATCAGCCAACCAACACAAAACATTCAACATCCCCAATTTACTGTGCACATTGGAAGATTCAACACTCGAGATGTATATAAGGTCACCCCAGCGTTTCCCTTCCGTTTAAAAGCAATCTTATAGGTGCTCTATAAACACACCACCTCGATTCTTCTTATAGTCCTTGTCCTTGAATTTCAAATCACTTTGGCTCCGGAATCTGGATAGTTGGTCCCTCCACTTCTCTCTGTTGACATTTACGTGGACCTTATGTCAAATCAACGATAGGCATAATTCGATGAGGAGGACATCTACGATTACTCAAAGTACATGGACGTATTTGAAAGAAGATTTCAGTGCTGGCATTTGCCTCAATTCGTCCCTATCTCCATATTTGAAAACGTTTCTGGGAACGAGCTCCCAAGTCCCTCAACAGCCGCGCTACCTCTGCTTGATTCCATTTTTATGCCAATCCTAACGCACTGTCACCGCTCGCGTCCTTAACCTCAGTGTCTGCTCCGAGAAAAATAAGAAGGCGGATTGCATTCGTCTTTCTCTGCTCTGTTGCCACGTGCAACGCAGTCCCCAGGCTCATAGGAAAGAATCGGATCAATGTCAGGCCATCCTGCCACATTGTCGCGTTCAAAGGGGCACCTCTTTCGACGAGCAAGGAAATTACATCTTTAAGCTTCTTATCTCGACAAACGGCATACTGAAGAAGTTGTCCTCTCCCAATATCCCCTCCACGGTCTAGCAGTAGTCCGATGATACGATAGGACAACGGTGTGCAGTCCACCTCGCATCGCGTATTCGGGTTCGCACCATATTCCAGAAACCAAGTAGTCATCTCGGCGTCTTTTACCGCGAAACTAAAAAAAAATATACCTCTTGTTATTAGATTATCCTTTCCGGTAGCGGGACCAATATACTAACGTACAGGAGGTATTAAAACATCAACTGGCTCATTTATGTTCCACCCAGCTTCGAGAAGATATCCGAGAACGCACGTCGACTTGTATAATATTGCCATTCGAGTAAAAGAAGGCTTAATTACGTAGCCATAGAAGAGAAATATTAAAACAAACTCGACTCGGTCTAACTGAATTACTTCCATTATCACCTCATAGAGGTCCGCCACATCAAGTACCTCGGAGCACATCGACTTTTGAAATCCTTGGATATTATTATCGGCGCACAAAGAACGTAATTTCTCAATAATAGCTATTGCCGTTCTACAAGAAATAGGAAAGCCGCCTAGGTTGGTGAGTTCCGCTTCTGGGAGAAGCCGGATATCCATAGGTCGGGGACGAAGAAGTGATTATTGTTCTGCTAGGTTGGCTGTAGGGTAAGGAGGAAGATAGAGCGACCTCGATAAAACAATGGGGCAAATTGGTCGCTTGAATACCCATTACACCAGCCGATGCCCCTAGTCACGCGTAGTTTTCATGTGACTCGAGCCAATGCGAGATGAAAAGAGAAGCTGGGATTATCCGATTCGGTATAATCTGCCTAACTATGGTGCGGAGTGCGTGTGGCCTAACCATACCTAGGATTTTCGCCAAATTTATTCTGCAACCGCGAAACCAAAGATAACAACGCTAATGATATACTCTCCGTATACTAAGTAAGTAGCAAACGCGGTGAGAAACCTAGGAATGATATTGTGGCAGTTGGTAATATCAACACCAGGGGCAGTCAAAACAACAGGAGTCAATAAAAAGCATATGAAACGAACGAGAAGCCTGTGAGCTGGGTACCCTATTGAACAACTGCCTATTAGAACGATCTTATCCTTGAGAGTCTTTCATCTCAAGATTATGTCTCCTCTAAATAACAGCATCATTACGATACATTAAAGGTTTGTTCTCTCCACTCCAGTCGCGACCACGACCGCTCTCCGGCCCGGAATAAGCGGATTCACGGGGACCGCACGGTATTTCATGATCGGGGCAAGGCCCAATGCATGAGATAACTCGTCAGAATTTCTACTTTACTCGACAATGCCAGCCGGCCTTCGTAGACTGGGCAACCTAAATCACTCCTGTTCCTGATGAGGGAAAATATTTCCGTCGATTGGTATTGCGGTGAGCTTGAACTTAGCTCATCATAAACTAAGCGTTGTTATCGATAGGACCAGGAAATTATATTGCGGAAGGAAGTGTAGATGGTGGTAGGTATGGATGTGGGTGACTAGTTGAGTGTTAAAAACACAAAAGCGAGGCAAAAGATAGAAGTGCGCTATCATGGCGGAGGAAGGCAGCGCGCTTTGTCACGGGGACCAGTTCGAGAATCATGAAGCTGGGGAGTGATCACAATGATGTCTTATCCTCGTCTACTTTAGAGCATGTCTGAGCAGGATATAGAATATGCTGTTGCCGGTGAAGTATACCACACAATATGTGAGGGAATCAAACCATTCCAGCTTGAAATTCCCGGCATCTGCACCTTTAGATCAAGTCAAAAGGATCGGGAGTTTCCCACGGCCGAACATCCATACACATAGTCCGATGACAGACTGGACGTTTTACCGCCCCAGCTTAAGCCCGCCGGGTGACAGAGTTTGGAAAAAACCCCGGAAGGTTTTGAATTACTCTTCTCGTGAGCGGAATCCCCTCGTCTAGCAGACGTAGCGTGCCGTATTTCTTCCGAATGTTTTTTCATCTGCCAACTGATTGACCCTTCCTATATGTCTCGAAAGGGGCTGTTCGTATGGTATGTGATACTGCCGTCTTACATTATTTATTCATTAAGCTCAACGATACAGGCCTTAGCCGAGCCCCTGTTAGGAGGTAGCTACAATAGATGCAGCTTCACCATATGTGAGAGGGATGAGTATGAGATTGACTGAGCATAAGATTAACTGGCTAGAGGAGATTCTAGCTAGGCTATGGAATGCGGCGAAACGGCAGTATCACATGCCATACGAACAGTCTGAGCCACACTATATCCTGTCGTGCTCGCCAGGAGCCGTTTGCTTTCTTCCCGTGCGTCTGCTTGGAGCGTGAAAGGGATGCAAAATTAGCGACGGGGAGATTCTGTCAAAGACCGTCAAAAGAGCCCGAGCTGCGGAAGGAAACCAATATCAGTGGTCTACGTACTGGAGTGGTTAGGTTGAAGCACTAAGGTAGTAAGATTACGTAGGTAGGCTACTGATACTGAGGGGAGCGATAACCGGAGCCGGGTGCTTGCGGGTAGGCCTTGCTAGAGTTAACGATCATATCTTGGAGAAGAGCAGAAAATGATGAGGGTGAGAGCTGGACGGATGATAGTTCAAGCTCCAAGATGTGAACACATCAAGATACCATGGCGGTGAATCTGACTCTTTTTGAATATATGACCATTGAAAGCCCACGAATGGATAACAAAGTACTCATATCCTTTCTTGAATCATTTTGCAGCATTTTCGTGGGCGAGACACTGCATCCCCCCGACGGCGTCCAATTTTACATCAGCTCCTGTCCCCATAGTGAAGGTAGTATTTGCTCCCATAATTGACCCAGGCCACCGAAATCCAGCCTTATGCCCGGCTAAAACAGAGTTCTCGGACTATTTGGTTAACCAAGTGAATAGTTGCGGGGGGGCCTGTTCTGGTTAGGCTTTCCCCTATCGGACGCCGTACTCCGATATCCCTCTGCCACGAGGGCACAGAGGGTGGCACCACCACTCGACAAGCTTTCAATTAGTAGCAGGGATAAATGCATTCAGGATCCTACAGATGGCCAGGTATGCCGAGACTTGTGACACACTCTGCTACACCCTGGAACAGGCCAACGGTCAGAATGGATTGTCAATGGCACCAGAAGGAACCGGGGGTATACCAGCGAACAGCAACCCCGATGGAGCGCTGGATGACAAGGGTTACTCAAACTGGCCACGAATTCGGCAAGGAGCATTTCATAATTTCGGTCGGACTGCAGATACAGGTGCCAGAAGGGTTCTCGGCGTTTGTGCCAGAATTACGGCGGGCGTGGGGTATTTTGCGTCAGCGGCATTCCTCCATTGCGAGTTTGCTGGATCGCAAGGCTGGGATCTGGCGATACGTCGTTCCTACCCCGGAAGATATTGACGACTGGTTTACCGAAACATTCATTGTGGCCCCCTTTGGAACGGCGGCTGGTCCATTACCATCACCAGCGCATCCCCCCAAACGACCGAGGCTCCTGGCGTTGCCGTCTACGAGCCGAATCATCTTACAAGCTCCTCATACAGTCACCGATGGCAAAGGACTTATGCTGATCGCCAGTGAGTTGCTTCGGATTGCTACCGAATCGACCAAAACTAAGTCCAGCTATGAAGCTGTCAACCTCTCTCCTCCGTTCTCCGTAGCCGCTGGTCTTCCGCCCGTCGATGAAAATGACATGCGCCGCGCTGCATCAGACCTGGAACAGTTTTTGTCTGCATTACCTGCCATGGCTCTACCCACGAGGACGGCTGCTGGAAATGGCCGTAAACGACACCCAGCGCGGACAAGACACGTTCTCCAAGCATTCTCGGAGCACGACACGCAGTCTTTACTTTCCCGGCTCAAACAGAGAGGGCTTACGGTCACACATGCTGTCCATGCAGCAATCGCCTGCACAACCAAGCGGTTCAACATAAACCCTTCCTCAGATATATATGCAGGCGTCCTGGTACTGGATGGACGTAGTCTATACCAAGACGAGAGAAACAACCTGAAAACCCCGGGCTCACTCTCCTGCACGGGGTGGTTCCCAACTGTGAAAGTATCCAGTTTCGAGTCTACTGTAAACGCTTTCAAGGCTGAGTATACCAATATTCAGCGGGATCGGCGGCTTCCAAACGTGATCGATGGGTTGCTCATGCAAATGATGCCGTTTCTCTCTGAATCGGCGCCGTCTTCCGGCGCCGATGCCTTGCTGAGCAGTATTGGTGTTGTTGAGAGCGTGATTCACCACAAATATTCATTTGTGGAGGTGCTGGAATTTGAGATCGGATGTGAGGTTCTCAATCCTGCGATTGATATCTTTCTTTACACCTGGCATGATCGCGTTAGGTTGGCCGCGTACTACAATGAGAGCTACTATGAGGCGGAGACGGTAATACAGTTCTTGGCGATGGTGATTTCTACCTTGAAACGGGAATTGATGGTTGATTGATCTGCTATCTGTTCTCTATGGCTCTGGTAGGAGAATAAAGTAACAAGAGGCCAAGACTTCACTTCTTATTCTAATTTCAGACGAGTAGTGACTGCAAGAGTCCCAAGCCGAGACTCGGCGAACGAGGCAAATACTGGGCGATTCCCGCCCGAGAATTAACACCTGAACGTTAGACAAGAACCCCCGTGAACCCGTGAAGCCTTCGTGGCACTTGAATCTCAATAATGACGATAAGTCGATGAAGAAGTCGGAAATATTCATGGGTTATGGCAACCGTATCAAATTAGGTATCGTAGTTTACGCGAGAAACTCCCAACTAGTAGCCTAGATTATGCAATAACTGCGTGGTAGAAAAATCAAGACTCGTATGATTTCCATGCCAATAATACCAATAATATAGGACACTGGACCTTAATTAACAGCTGAAAGAGAAAAAGGACATGCAGTTCTCAACAGAATGAAAGTTTACAGGCATTGCCTCAATCAAGTACCAGGCACAATCAAGAGGGTGTATAACAGTGGAGCGAGGAGGACTTGAGCTAATTTTCACGCAGCGGCATAGATCCGACGCAGCGTACTCTGGTCATAGTCATGCGCTTTCATATCATCAAGAACAGCAGGATACTCCTCGCTGACCAACGTGTCGAGAGGCTTCAGCGATGCACCGGGGTTCGGCTTCCCAAAGTACGCGATGCAGTGTCGGGCAGGCACGGAGTCTGTCTCGGGAGACATCCTCTCAGCAGTGATCGGAACTCGATGACACGCCGAGTGGATGCGTTTGTTCATCCAGCGCATCATCGAGTCGCCCACATTGAGAATTAGCGTTGGAAAGGTGCATTGCACTGAGAAGAAGGAGCCCGTTGCTGGGTCCTGCACCTCTAGACCGTTGGAGCCGTCCTGCATGAGGAGAGTCAGGGAGCCAAAGTCGGTGTGTTCTGCGATCCGGATCTGGTCGCATTGGCCGATTTGGGCCTTGGGGACTTCGAGGTAGTGCAGCAGTCGTAACTCGCTTGCGCGGTCATCGTTTAGGGAGTCGAAGAAGTGTTCGTCCAGGCCGAGTGCCAGGGCCAGCGCGCTCATGATCTCAAGATGAAGTTGGTAGCATTACTCATAGTAGCCGAGCATATACTCCTGGAAACCAGGGAGGTCGCGCTCATCCGGCCAGATATTTGGGTACGTCTTGTTCTCGGGGGCGCTGTGGTCTAAAGATTCCTATGTCGATATTTAGAGCCATATGCGTTTGTCCGACGCAGAGGGTTCTCACCTTCAAGTCAACAACTCTCTGTCCACTTTCCTCGCCGCACTCGAAACCGGTGACGCCAGAGATGTTTTCCTGTCCCACATGACTGTATCCTCTGTGCGGGTTTGGCCGTGGCGGGTGCGCAAAGCCTGCTTTCTTTTCCTGACTCAGGGCAAAGAGGGCTTGGTTCTGCTCCGTATCCCATTCGATCAGTGGAGGCGCTGTTCTACAGGCAGGAACCGCTTTCTTACATATCGCAAGCCTTCCGTCACATACTCCGCGCTCAGGCCATGCTGAATGAGCTTTACGAATCCCTTTTGCTGGAATGAATGAAGAAGCTTTCTGCAGAACTCCGCCCGTTGCAGCTCATTCCTCGAGTGAAAGTGTGATAAGTCGAGTGTATCGAGCAGGTCCATGGTGAGTGTACTGCTGTGCGGTGCCTGGTCAAACGCCTCAGGGTGTCACCATCCACGAGTCCTTTTTTTATCAATCATATAATGACGTGGAACGGGCCGTGAGTTCCATGAATGCTGACAGTGTGTGCCCACAGCTGGCGTACGATGGGACATAGAGAGGGGTGGTGCCACCCGCGATGGGGCCCAGTGTGTCGATCAACCCCCGCTGACTAGGGATCTCGACGGAAAAAAAGGCCCTCTTAGTTTCTGCCGAGTGCGCATCGAACTCCGAGAACAGCAATCTCGAACACAATGGCGGTCGCAGCGGTCGACCTCTCTCGTCTTGATCACGCGGGCCCTGCAGAGCGGGAAGGCATTCTTCGCACATTCGCCGAATCGTGCGCCTCCCGGGGCTTGGTCAAGGTGACGGGCCATGGGATCCCGAAGGCACGGTTGAATGAGCTCTTCCGCTGGGTATGTTGACTTCCTTGTCTGCGAAATAGTCTGTGCAACCTGACGGTCGATTGGTGATTTTCACGGACCAGGGAGTTCTTCGACTTTCCTGACGCTGTCAAGCGAACAGCACCGCGCCCCCGCAAAGGACCCAACCGGGGGTATATTGCCGTGGGGGGAGAGAAGCTCTCAGGTATCTCGGGGTACATGAAAGGCATCCGCAACCCAGTCGTGTGCAACGACGTCAAGGAATCGTTCGACGCCGGGCCTGCATACGACAAAGTCCATCCCACCCCATGGCCCGTTGGGCCTCGCTGCCAAGAATTTCGGCACTTCATGGAGGATTTTTTGGAGGACTGTCTGATGGTGCATCATGACCTACTGCACCTGCTCGAAGAGGCCCTGGGCCTAAATCATCAGGAGCTGACCTTGCGGTGCTCGGCCGGCAACGGCGTGGTCCGCATCACCCATTATCCTCCAATGCCTGCCGCACAGCTGCGGACCGGGTCAACGTATCGCATTTCCGAACATACCGACGTGGGCATCCTGACGCTGCTCTTCCAAGACAGCGTGGGTGGACTTGAGGTCGAGCGGCAGGACAACTCTGCGGAGTTTGTTCCCGTGGAAAGTTTCTGCGTCAATGAGATGATTGTCAACTGCGGTGACACGCTACAGAGGTGGACAGCCAACTACCTGCGCTCGGCTAATCATCGAGTCACATACCCGCAGGGACTCGGGGGGAAATAGACGTGGTGGTTCCTGCTCGGTATTCCGTAGGCTTTTTCGGCAAGGCTGATATGTCGGCCTCCATGGCTGCGCTGCCCAAATTCACTGCTGGGTTGCCCGAGACTGCGGAACGCGTCGAGACGAGGAGTGCACAGGAATATTACAATGACATGCACGAGCGAACCGTGTCTGCCGCGTAGTGAGACAGTTTAGATTATGAATGCAGCCGTATGTCTAGGAGAGACAAGCAATCGATTGACCACTAGATTTGCAGACCCTCACTCTAACATCATAAGATTCACAAGCAATGGAAGACAACCCCCAGAAAACTCAACAACATGAAACACAAGAAAAGGCCTAGAGCCGAGCCTTGCTAATGGCAAAACACTCATCAAACACCTGTAGCATCCGCTGCACCGAGTCCTCAGTCATTTGATAGTGCACAACCAGCCTCCCTCCATCGAGCTTGACTCCGTACTTCGCTCCAACAGCCGCAAAAGTTTCGGCGATATACCCCGCGGCCCGAATGTCCAGCCACACTATATTCGTTTCCACAGGTCGTATGAGATGTCCTCCGCGCTGTTGCCACTCTGTCCCCAGGCGCTTGGCCATCGCATGCGACCTGCGCATGCCGTGTGCCAGCTCACCACGACCCTCCCACCCAAAGTTCTCCTCGACCGCCGCACGCATCATCGCACAGATCAATCCTGTCGGCCGCAGTCCACCGCCGAGAGCTTTTCGAACTCGACGTGCCCGCGTAATGATGTCTCGCGATCCGAGCACCATCGTCCCAATAGGGGCGCCCAGATTCTTCGAGAAGTCGACATGGATGGTGTCAAAGAGTGCACAAAAGTCGCTCACGCTGCCAGCCCCCGTAGCAACAGCCTGGAAAAGTCTGGCGCCATCGAGGTGCAGCTTAATGCCGTGCTGTCGCGCCCAGGCGCTGATGCGCCGCATCTCGGCCAACGGCGTAATCGCCCCATGGGCAGTGTTTTCGAGCGAAATTACCTTTGTCGGCGCCTTTTGCACGTCCTCAGTGATGGTCGCGCGTGGTTTGATATCCTCGAGGGTGAGGAAGAGGTTGTTTGAGGGGGCCACCGCTTGCACCATTGCGCCTGTCAGGTAAGCGGTACCCCCGGCTTCGTAGTTGAGAATATGGGCGCGCTTGTCGGTGAGTAGCGCGTAGGGCGGTTGCTCGAACAGCACACGGAGGGCGATCTGGTTTGCCATTGTGCCTGTCAGCGCAAAGCACGCGTCCTCACAGCCGGCCATTTGAGCCACGGCAGCCTCCAGCTGCAGGGTGGATGAGTCCTCGCGAAAGACGTCGTCATCAAAGGTTGCATTGAGAAGGGCATCGAGCATGAGCATTGTTGATGTGGTGTGGGAGTCCGCTACTCAGGCTACTTAGATGAATCTTTCTTTGGCATTCTGCGAATCTAACTCATGACCGATGGGACCTACTGCGGAAGTCATGCTGGGCATGGCGCGGTGAGCCCCAGGTTGGACTGGCCGACATGGCGATTCAATGGGCAGATCGAGTTCGCATTGACTGCTACTCCCATAGTTGAGTCGTCCAGGGTACTAAACGAGTAGAGAACTCCCATTTATCCTGCATAGATGAATCTTCAACATAGATTGGTCAATCGGGGTGGCACCACCACGTTGAGCCCACGACGTGTGGGTCTGACGCAGAGCCCTGCACGAGGCCGGAAATCCAATGCGCTAGTCTTGCTGTGTGAACTAGTATGAAGTACTATTCCAGCGATTCTCCTCAAAGATCCGCTCAAGGCTCAAGTCCAGAGCGCTATCATGTCCAAAACAACCAGCGTGGAGCAGAGTGCGACCCCAGACACGCTGCCCTCAAGCGCCTCCTCCATTGCCTCGCTAAACAGCGACGATATAGCCAAGGACTGTCAATCGAAACCACAATTGGAAGCACGTGTCTTTTCACAGCCAGCTTTGCTGCATGCTGCGCGAAATGGAAGTGCGACGGTATATGCCATCTTTGGCGGCCAGGGCGTGTTTAGCCCCTTACGCGAGCTCAAGGACATACACACACAGAGCCCTAGTATCGTGGGAGGACTGCTTGAGCGGTCATCTGCGCATCTGCAGCGACTTCTTGACGATAACCCTTCTTTCTCCGTACATTATCCTGCCGGACTCGGTATCCTGTCGTGGATCCTCGATCCAGAGCAGCAGCCGCTGCCACATGCGCTCAGTAGAGCCCCCATCAGTCTCCTGCTGATTGGGTTGCTCCAACTAGCCAATTATTATGTTTTGGTTCATTCACTGAACGTGGGACCTGGCGATATGGAGACCTTCCTTGAGGGCATCGGTGGCCATTCACAGGGGGTGGTGCCCGCGGTTATGGTGTCTGCCGCCCGCGACTGGGAGTCACTGGACAGACTGTCACTTACTGCACTTACAATCCTCTTCTATATAGGCGTCCGAGCACAATTTCTCTTTGATTCGGCGCCGGTAGACGGAGGTGTACTGCAAGATTGCGAAGCGCACGGCGAGGGCGTCCCGTCGTGCATGCTGCGGGTGAATGGTATCTCACTTGACATCCTCACCAAGATCGTGGACAAGGTCAATCACCACCTTCACCGGTGCGACCAAGCAGAGGTGGCTCTAATCAACGGGCCCCGAAACTGTGTTCTAGGTGGCCCACCGACAACCCTGTACGCTGTCTCCCGATGCCTGCGTCGCATGACGGCCTCGCCGGGCGTATCGCAAGCACGCGTCCGGTACAGCCAGCGCAAACCAGAAATAACGATCGGCTTCCTGCCTATCAGCGTCCCCTTTCATACTTCGCACCTCTCTACGGCATGTACACTGGTGCTCCACGACCTCCGCGAGATGTACCTGGCCCGATCACATTTGAGAATTTCTGTCTACGACACCAGCGATGGATCCGACTTGAAAGACGGCACTGGTCGAGATATAATCCCAGACTTGGTGCGTATGATCATGACTTGGCGTCTAGACTGGCCGGCCACTGCGCACTTTGCTGGGGCGACGCACATAGTCGATCTTGGACCGGGCATCCATCAAGATGGGATCGGTGCGTTGACAGGCCGGCTCAAGCAAGGATCCGGTGTGCGAACCATCATCTTTGGCCTCAGAAATACCTCCTCATCACCATCGCCATTGGAATTTGGCAGTCGAGAGGAGTTACTTGATGGGCTTTCGACCATTCCCGGCCGTGACTGGCGAAAGGAATATGGGCCACGCCTTGTCCTCTCGACCGCTGCACCGGCCATGGAAACCAAGATGACCAGGCTCCTAGGCCTGCCACCGCTCATGGTGGCTGGTATGACCCCTACAACCTCCTCATGGGAATTTGTCGTGGCGACCATGAACGCAGGGTATCACATCGAACTTGCGGCTGGCGGCTTTTCTGACGCTGCAAGCTTCGAAGCCGCAATTCGCAACGTCGTCACCCACGCCCCGGCCGGCCGTGGAGTCACCTGCAACGTCATTTACGCCAATCCCCGCGCTCTCCGCTGGCAGCTTGAAACTATCCAGAAGCTGCAGGCAATGCGCTTGCCGATTGACGGACTGACCATTGGCGCGGGCATCCCCTCACCCGACACCATCGCCGGGTACATCCGCGACATGCCGCTCCTCAAGCACATCTCGTTCAAGCCGGGCTCGACGCAGGCGATCAGGGAGGTCATCAGCATCGCAAAGATGCACTCGCACTTTCCTTTCATTCTGCAGTGGACAGGCGGCCGTGCAGGCGGGCACCACTCGTTCGAAGACTTCCACGAGCCCATTATGCAGAGCTATCATCGCGTCCGCGCCTGTGCAAATATTGTGTTGGTCGGAGGAAGTGGGTTTGGCGATGCAGCAGACTCGTATCCATATCTCACAGGCGAGTGGTCTGTCAGGCTAGGGTCCTCACCCATGCCATTTGACGGCATTTTGCTCGGCAGCCGGGTGATGGTTGCACGCGAGACTCGTACCAGTGACGCCGCCAAGGAGCTTATTGTGGCGACACCTGGCGTCGCAGATGACGAGTGGGAAGGAACTTACAGTCGGCCGACTGGGGGTGTTCTGACAGTGATCTCAGAAATGGATGAGCCAATCCACATGCTCCAGACGCGGGCAGTACAACTGTGGTCGGAGTTGGATCGTAAGTTCTTTTCTGTCCAAGACAAGGCTACCAGACTAGAGATGCTGCGCAAGGAGACACCACATATCATTGCACGGCTCAATCAGGACTTTTCAAAGGTCTGGTTTGGTCGTACAGAATCAGGGGCTGTCGTTCATCTCGCCGAGATGACCTACGCGGAGGTGGCAGCGCGACTAATTGGCTTGACCTACCTGCGGCCACGGACGAGATGGATCCATTTTTCGTACTGTGAGCTAGCCTACGGGTTTCTCGCTCATGTGGAAAGCCGCTTTGCGCTGAGTGTGGAGGAGACCAGGGTAATCGAGTCTTTCAAGAAGATCAAGCAAGACCCATACGGGGCTCTTGAGCGCTTGAAGGCCCAGTACCCACAGCTAGAAGTTCAGCTTCTCAGCCACCAGGACGAAGCTATCTTCACGATGATGTGCAGGAGAAGAGGCCGTAGGCCAGTTCCATTCATCACGGCGCTCGACGACGAGTTTGAGTATTACTTCAAGAAAGATTCCTTATGGCAGTCCGAGAACCTCGACGCCGTGCAGGGTGAGGATATCCAGCGAACCTGCGTTCTGCATGGCCCCATTGCGGCGCGTTACACGCTGCGGTCGGATCAAACAGTCAAAGAGATCCTGGACGAAATTCACTACGGATACATTGGCTTCCTGGAACATTCTGGACCAGTTTGTCTGCGTGACGGCTTGGACGGGGCCAGTTTTCGAGGCAAGGGTTACCCCAAGTATGAACGATTCGAGGTCGACGATAACTGCCTCGCCGAAGAACAGCTGTGGTACCAGAGACTCGCAGCCGGACGATCCACCTCTTTTCAACTTGCGGTACTTGCTGAGACAGTCTGGCGAGACCGCCTGGTACTGAAAAATCCAGTCCGGGTGATTCTCAAGCCAAGAACAGATATACGGATCGTTATTGATAGCTCGCCTGATCAATGTGAGGTGCTTTCTCTCTGGGAAAATCTTGATACCGAGGATGAGCGAGAAGTCGCAAAGATGAAAGTTAACCCAGCTGGATTAATCGATCTTGAGCTGATCAACTATGAGACGGCGACTGGAGAGCCAGCCGCTTTGACGCTGCAGTTTGGTCCAGGAAGCTCTCAGCATCCACTGCAGGACCTCACTGCCAACCTCAATGAGCGAATTCAAAGGATGTACCGCCGCATCTGGTTTGGCGACGACCCAAAGCCCTCTCCCTCGGAGTTGAATTTGTCTGAGTTCGATGGAGAGGACTTCATTGTGACACCGGCGAGCCTGCGGCTCTTTTCCACGAGCATTGGAAGCCGCAAACACAGCCAGCGTAACTACGATTCAAGGATAGCTCCGCTGGACTATGCTGTCGTGGTGGCGTGGAAAGCTCTCACCAAACCCCTGTTTGTGCTCGATGTGAACCTGCTCCGTCTCGTTCATCTCCGAAACTCGTTTGAATGGATCAGTCCCATCCACGTCCATAACATTCTGGCAGTGAAGTCCCATATTACCTGTCTCGTTGTGCAAGAGTCCGGCACACTTGTCGAAGTGAAGGCCACTATATCCAGATCTGGAAAGCCAATTGGGACCGTCACCAGCCAGTTCATGCTGCGCGATGCAAAACAGATTCCTCCGGGACTCATGTCATTCAAGAACGTTGAAGAAACCCCCTCTACATTGTTGCTTGATACCGCCTGTGCGGTCTCGGTGCTCGAATCTAAGCCGTGGTTTCAGCGCCATGATCGAGATACTGAGCTGCTTGGGTCAACGCTGCTCTTCCGACCACACTCACGCTACCTCTACGGTGCTAAAGGTGAAGTGACACAGGTGGAGGTGACCGGTACTGTCCAAATGAAAAGCGATTTCCACAAAAAGCCGATTCAGATCGGCTCCATTCATTGGAAATCCACGACACCAACCAACATCGTCACTGGGTATCTCACCCGTCACGGCAATTCTTCTAGCCCCCGAGAGCTATTTGACAAACCTCTCGAGCTCGCCGTCACACCAGACATTATTTTTGCGCCGACGAATAACTCAATATATGCCCATGCTTCCAAAGACCTTAATCCAATCCATGTGTCCAAGTCAATGGCGGCGTATGCCGAGCTGCCAGGAACCATAACCCATGGCATGAATACCAGTGCCCGAATACGAGCCCTTCTCTGTAATTATTTGTGCGGTCATGATGAGTCTCTCTTTTGCCGGTTTACCATCTCCTTCACCAATATGGTACTTCCAGGCGAGCAATTGCAGCTGAGCGCCCGGCACATTGGGATGTTGGACGGAACTAGGGTCATTGAATTTACAGCGCGGGACCAGGCCGGGCTAACGGTAGCCAAGGGAGAAGCTGAGATACGCAACGCCCCAACCGCTATGCTTTTCACTGGCCAAGGCAGTCAGCACAAGGGCATGGGCATGGAACTACGCCAGTCGAGCGCCGTGGCTCGCCAGATGTGGGATCGCGCAGATGCCTTTTTTGTGAACACATATGGTGGGCGGCATCTACTGCGCTGAAAGCCTTTGATTAATCACTGACAACGGACGCCTTGCAGGTTTCCGCATCTCGGATATTGTCATCAACAACCCGAAGAAGCTCACCGTCCGCTTTGGCGGCCCGCTGGGACGCAAATTGCGAGACAACTATAGGGCCCTTCGATACCTGGCCCCCGACGGGGACACCTCCAAACTGACCCAGATTTTTCCGGACCTGGGCCATAACACCGGCTCGTATACTTTTACGTCTGACAGTGGCTTGCTCTTCGCGACACAATTCACTCAACCGGCTCTGACGCTCACCGAAGTCGCCATCTACGAAGATCTGAAATCACGTGGCCTTGTCTGCCCTGCGACTACTTTTGCCGGCCACTCGCTCGGCGAGTACGCTGCCATTGCAGCCTTCGGTGGGCTGGTGCCTCTTGAAACGCTGATGGCGATTGCATTTTATCGCGGACTTTCGATGCAGGTTGCTGTGCAGCGCGATTCTGCTGGGCGATCAGCATTTGCCATGTGCGCGCTGAATCCATCCAGGCTTGCTGAAGGTTTGTTCCTCTCGCGCGTGTGTTTTTGAGCTTTCTGATGGTTTTTCTGCGTATAGCAATGAACGTAGATCAGGTTGACCGGGTTGTGAAGAAGATCTGGGAGATGACAGGCCTGCTCATCGAGATTGTCAATTACAATATCAATGGGCAGCAGTACGTCTGCGCAGGCGATGTGAGAACTCCCCCAAGGTCCTCTGTCCACATCATGTGTTTAATCTGTACTTCTGACTGCCTCAGGTCCGCGCTCTTTTATGTCTCACACGCCTCCTTGACTCCCAGCACAAATTTCAAGTAGACAATAGCTCATCCTTGAGAGATGCCCTCGCAGGAATTCTGTCCTCAATTCCACAAACTCCTCTGAGTACAGAGGATTTGCCCCGTGGCAGGGCGACGACGCCTCTTGCCGGAATCGACGTCCCGTTTCACTCGAGTTTCATGAAGCACGGGATCCCCGCATTCCGTCAGTTTCTCTATGCTCATGTTCAGTGTCAGCATGTCGACCCCCAGCGACTCATCAAGCGATATGTGCCCAATTTGACTGCACGGCTGTTTGATATCGATAAAGCGTATTTCGAGGTGACCGAGTCGTTGACCGGCTCGCCGGTACTGAGGAAAATTTTGGACCAGGTATGTGCATGACAACCCCTCCAGTGCCGAATACATAGTCTACGGTTAACAAGACGCAGTGGAGTGAGATCACTTCGGGGAGAAATAATGTGACAGGTATCGTTCAGATGCTAAAGACATTCCAAGAGAGGTGAATACGATCTGTTGAAAAGGTGCAGCCGGAAGATGCAAACTAGTGATATTTTCTTTCTTTTTTCCTCATCTGTTGTGTTCTACCTAGTATCGAGACATCACATTATATTCAGTAGGAACCTCTACATAGTATACTCCCGCGTCTCGAATCAATCCAAATTACATGTACGCCGACTCTTTGATGACTGACGATATCCGTACACTGAGCTCACAGGTTGTGGGGGGCGATATGATCCTTAAAAATCAAGTGCAACCTTATCTTCACTCTGAGGCTCCTCAACTGAAGTAGGCAGTAGATTTTGATAGGGGAGCTCATAAGAACAAAATGCATCAGACCAGGTATATTAAGGTACCGGCCGGTCTATTTCAGGTAATCAAGCGGAACATATCAATAGGTATATTATCTCGATTGGACTGGTGTATGTAACGATTTCTTCCTGCTAAAGCCCTCCAAACGCCAACTCTGAGAGCCTAGATCCTGGATCTTGGAGTAAACGCTCCGGATTGCCCACCTCCACCAATTCGCCGTCGTGAAGCACTGCCACTAAATCATACATAGCCACGTGCTCTAATCGATGCATCACTGAGATGACAGTGGTGCTAGTCAGATTATTGGCCACCAGCTCATGGACCATCTTGTCAGTCTCGGCGTCAACGCTGTATACAAACAAGGTTAGTTGATCGCCAAATGACTAAGTCTGGATATTGATTTTCTGTCCATCCAGCACCCGTACAGCAACATGGAACCTACCTGGCTGTAGCTTCATCGAGGACAAGGATTCTTCTCTTCTTCACAAGTGCTCGAGCAAGACAGAGCAACTGCTTCTGTCCGCCTGAGAGACCAGCCGCGTGGGTGATATCATCTGCGGAGAATTTTTCCTTGACTGCCTCCCACAACCCAACCGTTTGAAGTACAGACACCACCTCCTCATCGGAGTGATTATAGTGTGGATCAACGTTCGTACGGATCGAGCCTTCCAGAATCGCCGGGTCTTGAGGCACAACGGACAGAGCGGCGCGTTGTGACTCGTGTGGTACATGAGACATGTCTTGGCCGTCGATCAGAATGGCGCCACCGACAGGATCGAGCATGCGGAGAAGGGCCATGCAGAGCGTGGATTTTCCGCTAAGGATCCCGACCGTCAGTTTTGTTGTACCCTCCGATGAATGACTTGCGTGAGGTCTGGGAGACTTACCTGCCGCTTCGGCCACACACGGAGAGCTTTGTTCCGGCCGGAATGGAGAGTGTCAATGAGTTCACAGCAAGGTCGAATTCGGGGCTGGGGGGTGTTTTTTTCAAATCAGCATCAACATTATTGACCTTGCGGCTTGGAGTACGGGATTGGTGGTGCTGACCCATAGCGTAGAGACACATCCTGGAACTGGATCGTTCCGGCCTGTGGCCATCGCGAGTTTAGTTGCACAGGAGCCTCTGTTGACTCCGCCGGCGTCTCCTCAGTGAAGTATTTGACACGCTCCACAGCAGCAAGACTTGTCTCGAGCGTGGACCACACGTTGACAAGATCGGCCAGGCTTGGTCCAAAATTCATCAGGTTTATCAGTGCGACGCCGAGAAAACCACCCGAAATGCCGCGTGTGGCAGTCGTAACTCCGACTAAGATCAGTGCCAGACCCAGGTTGACCAAGTTCAGCACTAGGCCAAGCCATCGCTGTGCGCAAAAGAGGAGGTAGAATGGCTTCTGAGATGTATCGAGCGCCACAGCGAGGCGTTGCTGGAAGGCGTCCTGCATATTGAATGCTCTAACCACAGAAAGTCCATCTAGCAGCTCGATGAACTCGGTATACAGCGGAGCTTTGGCTTCGATGTCGAAGAATCGCAGTTGTCGAGAGGTCCGGATGTAGAGTCGTTGGGTGAAGATGAACACGGCGAGAACAAACGGAATCGTTGCACCCAGGTACCGCGAGGAGACAGCTATGATGACGATTTGTGCGATACAGGTCATGAACGCTTTCCTCATTGTAAGCTGCATGTCATAAACACTCCAGAATTAGGCAAGCTCACTGATGACGGTATTGGCAAACGCCATTGGTAGTTCCATGTCGACCAATGACATATCCTGGCTGAAGCTGATGAGAATATTAGCAGCAGCGAAAAGAACCGAACAAGGAGGAGCAGCAAACCGGTTAATCATGAGACCCGGATCAGTCGACGCGAATACAGAAACCACGGCACTGCTATGGTTAACAAACAACGTGGGAGAGCCTCCAAGGCGAGGAAAAGACGAACCGTTCAATTGTATGGACCAAAGTCAAATGCAAAGATTCTGCGGAATCCTTGACCATGTTGCATATCATGAGCCTGCAGGTGTTAGATGATAAAGAGACTCAAAATGACTTGGTTGAACATACCAGCAGGCAAGAATGAGCGAAATAATTGCCAGAGCCCCAAAAAGAGCGTACAAACCAATCCAATATCCCAGTCTGTTATTGGGCTGATCAACGTTGAACGCCGTCCACCACTCAAGCCATATTTCTACGACCAGACCGAGTTAGCACTTTTTTGCCGATCGCTCGTTGCACGCAGTATGACTGACGAGGGAAATTGCTGAAGAAGACTAAGGAGAGCACCAAGCTAATTGACAGCCCAAGCCTTTTCCGACCCAAAGAGGCGAAGTAGTAGAGATATGCGCCTAAGTCACCCTTGCGACGGTCGCGAGGACCAGTAGCCGTGGTTTCGAACCTGGACTCAAGAGCGAAGGCGAAAGGGTTCTGCATCATCTTCGGATCTTCCTGTGTTGGACGCTTGATGGATGTCACAATTTTCTCAGACAAATCTCCGTCTGGAATGATTGGAGATTCAAAATCGAAGAGTCTACCGTCACCGCGCAGGGTAATGACCTGATCGGCGAGGTTTTGGTACTTGACTGCATTATAGACTCATTAGTCCTAATCTTTCACTGGAAATATTCTTGTTTCCGGGCAGGTACCTGTTTGTGGGGCGAGGACGACGGTTGTCCCCAATCTTTTCAGCAAGCCCATGGGGCCCAGTAATCGAGTAACACAATACTGTTCCGATAGGTTGTCTAGTCCAGCAAAAGGATCATCCAGAAGAAGCAGTGGTCGTCGGGCGTAAACCGCGCGGGCCAGCGCCTGCAACAGTATTAGCAGGATGCTCAGCAATTGCGACTGGGTCCGAACATACAACGCGCTGCCTCTGGCCGCCACTAAGGGTTGCACCGCCATTTCCAACGAGCCCCTGATTAAGCTTTTGGATGACCCCGTCCAGCGCGCATGCAAAGAGGACTGACCCATACCATGCCTCGTCGTACGGCATATTACCCACGATATTACCTCGCACCGTGTCGTTGCGAAGCCATGGTCTTTGCGAACAGTACGCAATACCACCATGGAGATCAAATCCAGGAGAAACCTGAACGGAGCTCGAGGGAGGCGGTAGCTCTCTCAAAAGAGCATCCAGAAGGGTTTTTTTTCCAGATCCAGAAGGGCCTGCAACAAGAGTCACAGTTTCGCTCTTTATGTGTAAGTTGATGGCCTGCAATATTGGTTCGCAGTCTGCCTCGCGCCAGAACTTGCCATCCACGATCGTGATCAAGTCACTGCCCAGTAACATGGAGGAGCGCCCACCACTGCTACCACAACTGTTATGAATGAGTACATCCTGTCGTCTATGTTATGTACTGGTGACGATGCACTTACTCGGACTGACTAGCATTGTATGGCATCTTTTCAGTAGAGATGGGGGGCGCCACTATCACGCCTATACTGTCACTTCGAGCCTCGCTCTGGATAAATTTCCCGATGCGGTCAAAGCAGGCGACCATTCCAATCACTTCGGGTAATGTCTGGATCAGAATACCGAGTGGAGTGCTCAAGAGGCTGAATATTGCAAGCGCCTGGAAAGCCTTTGAAGCCAAAAGTGTGTCTCCATGGTGTGAGGCTACTGCAATGTACACTGCATAGCCCACTACAGGAGCCAAGGCAGGTGTTGCAAACGCTGGTATCATTTGAAAAAGGTCAGATCTTCCCCCAAAAGAAGATGATGGTAGAGAGACATACATAATCCTACTCCAACGGTCAAGAAGCGTCGCATGCTGAGGGAAATCACCAGTTCGGTCTCCCGGAGAGACTGCATCAGCGATGCCGAATATTTGGCAAGACCAGACATCTTGATGCTTTTCATTGACATCAAGATCTGCGTTGTGACTCCGACACGCCTCTCGACCGACTCAACCCAGCGCTTCTGCGCACTTCTAATCTTCTTGCCAAAGGCTCCAATCAAGAGCATGCTATTTGGACGTATGTGAGGACACTCTCAATGTTCGTTTCTTAATTTACTGATGGACGAAACTTACCAACCGTGACCACATTCGGCGCAATCGCACCAACCCCCAGCTGCCGCTTCAGGAGCCAGAGCGCGACCCCCAAAGTGAAGAAGCTGACAAATACTTCATGCACATACTGCATTCCTTGCACGATGCGCTCCACTTCGGTGCTCATCAGAGTGAGTGGCGACATGTCGGACTTTGGAAGCTCCAGGGATTTTCGGAAGATGAGCGAGACGAGTGTCCCTCGGATAGCGGTGATAAGGCGCACTATCTGGTACTGGCTGTATGCCGTCGAAAGCTAGATGGCCCTCGATTAGAACATATCACCTCGCATAGTGTGATCCAGAGTGAAGGAAGATGAAAAAGAGAACCCACTGCTACTCCGAGGTACACCAGGCCATACGCAAGGATTAGCCCTGTTCCCACACTTTCTGGCTCATTGCCATTCCCTTGATTTTGATACCAGGCCAACGTCCGCTCGATCAAAAACGGCTGTAGGAACTGGAAAGCTGCTTGCGCAAAGCGTGTCGGCGGTGGAACTACAAACAGCCATCTGAACTGCCATACCAGAGTCAGAAAGAGGTTGTGCTTGCTTTTTAGGGTAACATGTCTCTCCCAGACTATATCCAACGTCGCTGAAAGTCCGTCACTTGTGAACTCAGCTTCGCAGTCAAACATCCCGAGCAACGATAGCGGCTCTCCGGCAATGCCACGCCACATTAGTGGGTTGAGCCAGAGCATGAAGGCGCGATTGATGATTCCACTCAACGCATCGGGTGGGTATTTGCTGTAGGGGCTCTTGAGAAGAGACCTCTTGCTGAGTTCCTCGACGACGAGAAGGGCAATCTTCAGCGCTACAATCGCGGAGACAAGGCCTAGATATGATGCATGGTTGCATGCGTTCAGCCGCTCCTCTGTCAGAAGGACGACACGGGCAATGTCTGTGGCGAGCCAAGCCACGAGAAATGACTGTGCAAAGGATGATGATCCAATCTCCCAAACATGGCTCGCCAGAGCGCTGAAAGCTAATGAGATTGAACAGCACAATTGTAAGGCCGCGGCGGAAAAAGAATATCGGCGGGTAAGGGCGTGGCCGATATCACCCTGGGTTAGGGTGATGAGGTATGCTAGATAGAACAGGACGAGCAGTGCGTAGAGGATCCAAGGTAGAGGTCAGTCCTGAAAAACGCAACCCAACGTATGGCCATGGAAGGGGGAGGAAATACCAATTTGGTAATCGCTAAACGTCCGTAGAGGGCGGTAACTTTTCTCTCCGGTCGAACCCATAGCTTGCTGATCGAGCTAATGAACAAGCCGAGAATTCCAAAGCTTGACAGAGCGATTGACAATGTGATGTTTCCGAACAGGAGCTGGAGACTGCCAATTACGGCATTTTGGCTGGAGAAAGATGGGACAGAGTCGGCGACGTCTCTGGGATTAAACCCAGCACCTGGTCCCATCGCAGCGAGCTCACAAGCAGGTCTGTCGCAGTAAAACGTGTGATATGCGATTCTACCGAGTACTAGTCTTGCGAAAATCAATTTGAGAATCATTCTGGTTACATAACCGTTTTACACCACGTTCAGTTGGGCGGTTCATGGTGGCGCCACTGCTGGCTGGCCACATGCACTAGTATGCGGAGACTAACTAGTGGCCTTTATAATAGAAGATGTAGCACGCTCGAGATTATGGCTCAAGTGAGCTATCCCTCAACACGGCCTATGCGATTGAGAATCTCTTTCTTATTACACTGTCATTGATCAATCGACCGCCAATCCTACAAGCTGAATTGACTAAGCATCAATTATTTACCATGTGCCATCTCAAGCGTGGGTATGTCTAGAAGTAGTAGCAGTGGATGTGCGATCCCAGCACCCCCAAGGGCCGTTGCCTAAAGCTTGATAAACCCCTCTGGTAACTCTCTACCCTCAATCCAAGCCTCGGCTGTTTCCGCAAAAAGCTGCGGTGCCTGCCGATTCCACGGATGCCGCATTTGGGGATGCGTATAGGCAATAGTCTCCGGGTTCAGCTCTCTCCCAATCTGCATCAACCGGACGGCCGTATGCGATTGATCATTCGAGGGAATGAGCCCGCCTTTCCCAGCGGCTACGATGAGCGTGCGCGCGGGCCATGGCGCCGGCCACTGCGTTGGACTCTCGGGGGAGACAATTTGCCGGCACAAGTCGAGGGTGCAAGTTTCGGGGTCGATGCGAGGCAGGTCCGCCCCGTCCATGGCCCAGCGGACCCAGGAACGGGGGAGACAATTCTCCAGTCGGGGCATGGTCCATGCTGCGTACGGAATATACGGAGTGAGTGCTGTGCGCGGAAACATCCCAAAGCCCGAGATAAAGATGGAGCTGACCAGGGAGGGTTCCGTGGCGGCTAGACGGATGGCGATCTGGGCTCCGAGGCTATGGCCGATGACATGGGCGACTCCATTGACGGCATGGGCGCGGATCAGGTTCGCGATTAAACGCGACGAAAGATTTACCGTAAACGGGGTAATCGCGCGGGAGCTGCCATGGCCGGGGAGATCTGGGACGAGGAGATGGTACGAGCTGGGGAGATAGGGGCAGACCAGGTCCCAGTAGAGGCCGGAGACCAGCGCTCCGTGAATCAAGACGACGGTCGTGCGGCCCGTCGCATTGAAGGTGGTGAAAGAAAGGTCGGGAAGAGCATCTTCGTCCTCGGGTGAGAGAGACATGATTGTGAGAAGTTGCGGAGTGGCTGGCCCCCCTCCATCGTCTACTGCCAGAATCCAGCCCCCAAGTGCCGCCTCGTTCTCAGGCGCGTACGCGGTTGATCCTCGTCGGCCAGTCAGAGCATAAAGCAGAGTGTGTCCACTGCACGCGCCACTGCAGGTGTCACCACCGGGGGTCACCCCAGGATGTGCCTCCGTGCGGTCGTTAGCAGTGAATCAACCGAGCAAGTCATTGACAAAATTACTACTGAGTTGAAACTTTGGTCTTTCGAGCCATGACTCAGCCCCTTGTCTTCTTTGCAGGAGAGTCGGCACGCGATCAACTGACCATTTCGAAAGGGCGATGACGAGATTTCTTTTCTTGAACTAGCAGATTTCCGTACCTATTGAATGGCTATTAGTTAGAAAGACAACGAAGGCTTCCAGCTCGGACTCAAAAAAAAAAAGCAACGGTCTGGACTGGGCCGGGCACCTTAAGGTATGGTTAATTTTTTGAGAGTTTTCTTACTAAGCCTGGTCAGGTGCCGACCGGAAGCGGCACCGGGCCCCGTCACTCAAGAGTCAAAGATACGGTACCCTATTTGGGGTTCTGCTAGCGTAGGTGCAATATTATATACAGGGTTCAACTGCGGTTGAACCCCGGTTGGACTTACTAGACTGCACAAGAACTCCATGAAAATCTATGTATTATATGTTATTTGTAGTCTCTGTATTGGAGGCTACTGGGAGAACGTAGCAGACCCAAAAGAGGGGAGAAAGGAATGGTGAGATTGTATCTGGTGAGAGGTGCCTATCTAAGCTACGAAGGTAGTGTGCGTGGGCGCGCACCACGCTAGTGAGACGCGCTAAACTACCAAGCTATCTTAATACCCCCCTAGACCTCGATCTACTAATCTCACTCAAAACACGAAAAATATGAAAAGTGATTATATAAATATGTTAATAACGCCTTAATATAGCTTTTTAAGCTTAAAAAGGTATTTAAACCCTTAGAATTAAGCTCGCTAGAAAGGCTATTAAATTAGAGCTTTTTTATACCTAAAAGGTATAGAAACCTCTCGAATTAGACTCGCTATAGTGGCTTAGTAAAGCTATCTACGGTCTACTCTATAGTAGAGATTTTAACGAATTTATATACCCCCCTAGAGACTTAGTCTCTAATATAATAGTATTTAACGTTAATATACTTCGTTCGTTAGTATAAATTATAGCTTTTAGTAAGGTAAATAGCGCCTTAGTTATCCTTATAGATTATAGTAGGAAGTTATAAAAGGGACTCTATATTAAGTTCCTTAAGGAAAAGCTATAGCTATAATATCTCTTAGATAGCTAAAGATATAGCTATATACTTACTTTCTATAGAGGAAAGAGTAACGTATATTTACTTTTTATAAGCCTAAGTAATTATACTATTCGTAAGCTTAAAAAGGAAGCTAGAGATTAATATACTACTATCCGTATATTTACCGGCCTAATCTATATTAACGAATCTAAAGAGGGGGTCTAGTAAGTAAGAATACGCGATAGTAAGCGTTTTAGAATCCTTAAGATATCGAAAGATACGCTTTAATATAGTTATATACTTCGCGGAGGGGTTATATATATATCTTATAAGCTTTATAACTACGAATATAATATCTAGTCGTGTATTAACTATTAGCTAAATAAGTAAGCCTACTATCTTACGGTAAGCTTTAACTTCCGCTAAAGTAGTAGTATCCTTACGCGGTTATAGGATCTCCTTATTATAAAATAGCGTAGGGACTATATATATATCTTATAGGTTAAATTTTGCGAGGACCTTTCGAATATAGATAAGCTAAGAGAGCTTTATCTTACTATCTATATAAATAATATTAATTATAAGGAATCGCGTAGTAGTACTATTATTAGTAATATCGAAGGATTTTCGAATATAGTCCTTAAGCTATATAAGAGATACGTCTAAAGGCGTAATAATTAGTATATTATTAATATATATAAGAAGATAGAGTTTATATTTAATATATACGAATACCGAATAGTCTACTTATAAGCGAATAAATCTAATTACTATTAGAGCCCTATAGATAGTATTATATTATTCGCGAGGACTCTATTTTAGACTATATAAAGTCTTTAAAAGAAGGCTATATTTTCTAGGCTCTTTAAAACTATTAGGAAGTTAAATATAGATTTCTTTAAGAAGCTCTACGTTAAGAAACGCCGTAATAAAGTTAATATAATATATCTACTAGCCGAAATACGTAGCGATTACGTAGAATATTTTAAAGCTTAAAGCTTTAGCTATACTTATATAAATATTAAGATAATCAATTCCTTTATATTACTTAAACCCTTTTATAACAAGACGCGCTTTATAGGTCCTATTATCCTTAATATAAAAGACCTATCGAAGCGGAAGAAGCGTCTTTTTAGTATCCTTAGTAGGAGGATTATATATACGCTAAGTACCGTTTTTTAGCTACTTCTATATTTCCTTATCTATAGCTTTAATCTATTTAGTCTATTTATCCTTACTATAATTTTATATTATATCCTACTAGCTATCTAGTTTATATAGTATTAACTAAGCTAAAGTATTACGGCGTAGCCGAACAAGTTACGATACCATACTATATATACCGGACTCTGGGCAGTATCCGCAACTGCGGATATTAGTGATCTTTTATGGTCTTGTTGGTTAGTATCCGCCCAGAACGCTTCCGTAACAAAATATCCGCAGTTACCGGTCCAAGGTCTTAGGTTCGAATCGCGGATGATTCGAGTCTACGACCGGGGGGCTAACAAGAAATACTAAGGACGGCTAGGTTACCTACCCGTTCCCTAGTTTACGCTTAGGGGTCTACGGTATTGCGTATAGCTGATACCCGCAGAGTGCGGATACCGCGAGTTATACAAAGGGGTTTTCGGTATACCCAAAAACCGGGGTCCTACATTAAAACTAGAGATCGAAAGGATCCTAGGCGTAAGGGCACACCTCAGGGAAAGAGGAGTATAGTTATTACGGCGTAGCCGAACAAGTTACGATACTATACTATATATACCGGACTCTGGGCAGTATCCGTAACTACGGATATTAGTAATCTTTTATGGTCTTATTAGTTAGTGTCCGCCCAGAACGCTTCCGTAATATAAAGCTTAATATAAAAGCTTTAGAAGTAGCTATAAGTCTATAGTTATACTATAAATTAAAAAAGTAGCGTATTTAATATAATTAGCTAGAGCTATATTTAAACGCTTAAGAAGATATAAATATTCCTCTAACTCTATAGCCGCTTAAGTCTTCTTACGGACTCGTAAGGAACGCCGAAGACCTATCTTAGGTATAGTTTAAGAACTACTTTCGATAGTTTTAGGATTAGCCTCGATAGTTTCAGAACTGCCCTCGATAGTTTCAGAACTACCCTCTATAGTTTAAAGATTATCGTCGATATTTCTAGGACTACCCTTAATAGTTTCGGAACTATCCTCTATAGTTTAAGGGCTATCGTCGATATATTTATTCTGTTTATAGGCGAATCTCCGCTTAATCTGTTTACGAAGCTTTTTAAGTTAGACTTCGCGTTTAAATAAAGAAAGTAGTATATTAGACCGCTTAGATAATAGTAGGTCTCCTATTAGAATATAAGGAGATAGAGTTACTAGCTATACTAGCTTATTAGGGCTATTAGCTAAATCTAGCTAAATTAGTTAATCGCTATTAGCCGGTAGGAAATCCGATAGTATATAACGGCGTTAATTAGCTATAGATTACGTAGGAACTAACTTTAGCTCTATATTAAGATCGTATATAGGCTTAGGTAGATCCTTCGTTATATTCTTATTAAAGACTATATTACGAGAGACCATAATCTTCTTTAAATAAATATCATAGAGTCGATATCTATTATATAACGCATAGGCAATAAGTTAATAGTTAACTAGCTAGTCGGTTGACTAGTTCGTGAATAGACTTAGAGTATGGAGTTAGTTGGATAAGTTAACTAGTTAGTCACCGTAAACTAGTAAGTTTACTAACTAGTTAGTCAGCCGACTAGCGAGTTAGTATTAACTAGTAGGTTAGTTAGCTAGTTAATAGATATAGACTTAGGGAGTTAAGGAGGAGATTATATAATCGATATTTACGTTTATAAGATCAGATATTTACCTACGCGTTATTAATAGAAGCCTTATATATATATATACGTTAGAGCCTAAGGATTATTTACCTTTCGGTTTACTTCTATAGAGGAACCTTCTATCCGGGACTTTCTATAAGGATTCTACCGTCTTACTATAGCCCTACCTATAATAGGTATTTAAGGTAGTACTTTATCTTCCTTATTTCTTCCTTTCCTTTTTCCCCTTTATCTTAGTTTTCTTCGTTATATAGGATATAGTTACTTTATCTTCCTTCTTCCCTATATAGGTTATCGTAGCTATACTACCTAGGAGTTATATAAAAACTAAGACCTTTAATATTCTTTTTGCCTTTATACGATAGACCGGCGCTTACTATAAGTTATTAAGTCTTTATATATTATCTTCCCTTATTTTTCTCTTTTCCCTTTAAACGATCGATATAGTAATACCTATTAATATAGTACGCCTAGGTATTAATAAAGAACCCGGTTAGGGAGAGTCGCGTAGTATATATCGATAGAGCTCCTTAGCTAGATCTAACAATCTTCCCCGTAAAGACTACGATATACGTTTTATTTAGGTTACGCCTTAGCTAGATAATCTACTCGAGTATTTACGCGATAGAAAACTTAGCCGTAAGAATTTTATTAACTTAGTACGCGACGAATCTAGGTTTATATTCGACTTAATACGGGATATATAGCGAGCGACGGTCGACTACTTATATTATCTCGATAACGAAGTAGAGGAATAACGCGGATAGCTCGCTATAGCTACCGCTAAGGTAGTTAAACTAATAAACTAGAAGATAATAAACGACGAGCTCCTCCGTAAGTCCGAGGAACGTACCGATCTTAACGCTACTACTATTAAGCTTT